GATTTCTATCATAGACAATTTGAGTACAATATCATCTCCAAAATTGTTAGTTTGATCTTTATCACTAGCATTATCTCATTGTTCTATTTGATTTCTATCATAGACAATTTGAATACAATATCCTTCACAAAATTGTTAGTTTGATCTTTATCGCTAACGCTTTCCTCATTGTTCTATTTGATTTCTATCATAGACAATTTGAGTACAATATCATTTACAAAATCGTTAGCTTGATCTTTATCGCTAACGCTTTCCTCATTGTTCTATTTGATTTCTATCATAGACAATTTGAGTACAATATCATTTACAAAATCGTTAGCTTGATCTTTATCGCTAACGCTTTCCTCATTGTTCTATTTGATTTCTATCATAGACAATTTGAGTACAATATCCTTTACCAAATCGTTAGCTTGATGTTTATCGCTGACGTTTTCCTCATTGTTCTATTTGATTTCTATCATAGACAATTTGAGTACAATATCATCTCCAAAATTGTTAGTTTGATCTTTATCACTAGCATTATCTCATTGTTCTATTTGATTTCTATCATAGACAATTTGAATACAATATCCTTCACAAAATTGTTAGTTTGATCTTTATCGCTAACGCTTTCCTCATTGTTCTATTTGATTTCTATCATAGACAATTTGAGTACAATATCATTTACAAAATCGTTAGCTTGATCTTTATCGCTAACGCTTTCCTCATTGTTCTATTTGATTTCTATCATAGACAATTTGAGTACAATATCATTTATAAAATCGTTAGCTTGATCTTTATCGCTAACGCTTTCCTCACTGTTCTATTTGATTTCCACCATAGACAATTTGAGTACAATATCCTTTACCAAATCGTTAGCTTGATCTTTATCGCTAACATAGTCCTCATTGTTCTATTTGATTTCCATCATAGACAATTTGAGTACAATATCATTTACCAAATCGTTAGCTTGATCTTTATCGCTAACACTTTCCTCATTGTGCTATTTGATTTCTATCATAGACAATTTGAGTAAATCTCCTTACGAAATTGTTAGTTTGATATTTATCACTAACATCTTCTCATCGCTTGATTCGATTCCTATCGCGAGCAATTTGAGTACAATGTCCCTTGCAAAATTGTTAGTTTGATCTTTATCACTAACATCTTCCTCATTGTTTGATTTGATTTTTGTCAAAAACAATTTGAGTACATCGTCCTTATAAAATGATTAGCTTGACGCTATCGCTGTCATTCTACCATTGATTAGTTTGATTTCTACCATGGACAACTTGAGTACATCGTTGCTGGAACACTGTTAGCTTGATTTTATCGCTAGCACTTATTCCGATGTTCGTCAAAATTTCTGTCACAGACGACCTGATTATGTCATTGTTACAAAATGGTTAGCTTGATTTCATCGCTAACATGTTTCAAAATCGATCGATTTGTTTCTATCATGAAAAACGTGAGTATATCGTTGTTAGTTGTTACCGAATGGCCGGTTTGATTTCATCACTGCCATTTTCTTATACAATTTGGCTACCATCATCTTAACACTATTACCAAAGATCAGCTCAAATTCTACTTTTGAGGGTTTCACTTTTCAAAATGTGGTGTCTTTATAGAAACTTTGTATAACTCTTTATACAAAGAGATATACAAAGGGGGGCAACTGTAGACACCACATTTTGTCCGGAACATTCATGCTAGTTATATATATACATAAACAACTAATTGTAGCATCACAATGATATTTGGGGAAGGAAGTTTGAAATAATTTGGTTAAGACTAGCAGTAGCAAGTCAATATGAACCCCGCTCATATACAATCCAAGAATCAATTCGAATGGACACGAGGATAAGTACTATTTTGAAGCTTAATACGCTTTAGGTTTGGGTTTGAATTTGAGCATTGGTTTACAATGCATAGAAGAAAAGAACAAATCAATAAATACAAAAAACATACTTCGCCATTTTATTTCTTCCATGATACATTTGATCGGGAATTACATAGATAACAAAGGAAAGATAGTAATTAAATATATGCAATTAAAAGACCACTCCTTTATAAACCGTGGACCTGCAACAGAAGAGAAGAACTAGTCAGTTCTCAAACCCATACACCAGGTCCACAATTTAAGCCCAAACCAAAGTAGTTCAAGTCCAAGAAGTATAAAGCCAGTTTCTTTTCAAGCCCAAACATAAATCAGATCAGGCCCAACTCGGCCCAAACCCGACAGGCCCAACTCGGCCAACTGGTTCGATCCAGAGACCAGCCCAACAATCCGACCCAGACCAGTTTGGTCTAACCAAATCCTATCTACAACCGACCAGGCACACTCTTCAAAGTCATATTAAAAAAAATTGGACGAATCAAATAGTGACAAGTGGCGGTTTGATTTAGCTATAAGTAGAGCTCTTCAGCTCTTGATTTGGGGGGACGAAAAAAAGACAGAATGAGAAATTTCTAAACACACTGATTTCTTCATTACAACAGCAAACTCAGTCAAGAAATCTCAGGGGAGCAGCAATCAACGAAGTGTTCTTCGAGCAGAAATCCCAACAAGGTTGGTGCTTTTAACTCTACTTCCATGATTCGCGATTTATTTCATCTCATCTAGCATCGCTTTTACTCTATCGTTGTAATCGTCCATCAACTTGCCTACTCATATTAAAACGATTTACTTCGTGCAAACCCCTTTTCATTCAAGCGCTCTATTTATTCATACCAAGTTCACTCATGTAATTTCTTTTCGGATTAAGATGAGTTCAATTAAGCGCCTCCATGCTTTTACATCAATTTCTTATTTAAGTTTTGTCGATTGATTAGAATACTGACTATAACAACTAACAGTAGAAAGTAAAGTAGACAAACTTTAAAGAACCAAAACCTTTTTCTCTTTCGTATATTGGGGGTTATGATAGGTGTGATCTGGATCCAATAGGATCACCCTACATAATTATATTTCATATTTCGAACTCCACTTTGGCAAAGTCACAAGCAGAGGCAGTGATTTTTAGTTGCCAAAATTATCTATTTTAGAGCATATTAATTACTTCCCAGTTATAGAAAATTCATTTTTTTTTCTTTTCTTTGTCATTTTTAGAAAAATCTAGCATCCCACGAGTTACTTCTAAAATTATCCATCAAACCACCAAGCATGAAAACATTCGAGATCATCAAACGCACATACAACATATTTTCGAACCACAGATCTGTAGGCTAAATCTAAACCGCACACAATCCTTTCCATTTTTATTTTTTCAGTTTAACCTCCCTAGTCATACCAAAACCGAAGTTAGAAGAGCCTTACCCAGATCTGGATTTATTTCTCAAACCTACAAAAAAGAACGAACTAAATTAATTATTTTTGTTGATAATAAAAATGATAGATTAACATATATTAAGGAGCCGAAGTCCTACCTTTCTTTTTTTTTTTTGGAGACGAAGATCGTCATCGGCAGGATCTCGCCGCCGACCACATCCAAAACACAAGAAAATGAAATAAATATTAGTCGAATCCCAAATAAATCACCTAAAACGAATTGAAAAGATTTTGCATGTCAAGAATCTTACCTAGTTCGTCTATTTCCGATCGAAATAGGGAGGTAATAGTCATCCTTTTGCCTGATTCCAAAGAGGAGTCTTTCCTCATCTTCTGCCTTTTTCTTCCTCCTCACCGAAACCAAAACCCAGAAACCCTCGATTCAAAGAGAAAAAGGAAAGGTCAGAATCCCATAAAAAAAACAAAAGTCCAAAGAAAAGAAACATGCATGTCGAGTTTTTACCTTGATCGATTTCCCCCTTCACCGTCGATTAGGATTCCCAGTCAGACACGAGAGCGATGGCGGATTGAGGGGGTAAGAGTAGATAGCGACGGTTTTGGAGAGAGGAGGCTAGGGTTTCGGTCTGTGGAGAAGAGAGGGATGAGGGCGGCGGCTAGGTTTCTCTGGAGAAGATGAGGACGAGAGGGAGAAAGGCGAGGGTGAGAGAGAGGCGGAGGGTGAGGTTGGCTAGGGTTTCCTTTTTTTTCTCTGAGAGTGAAGAAGAGAGGCGAGAGTTAGAGAGAGGAGAGAACGGCGGACAAAAAATGAGAGGAGAGAGGTTGAGCGGCGGCCGCTAGCTCTGAATAGATAGGGTTTGATTTTTTTCGACCTAAGAGATGAATATATACCCCCTAATTTTAAATGACAAAAATGCCCTTAGGGTTTCCAAATATTAACGCGGCCGTGCCACCGCGTTTTTGGGTAATTACCACAATACCCTTTCCCCTTCTCTGCTCTAAAACGCGATAAACAAAAAATTTGTAGTTAGCGCGTTTCGAACCCTTGTTCTCTCGGTTAAACGCGAATTTGGTCTGGCGTTTTAGCCAGTTGGGCTGCTGGCCCTCATGCGTCAATATTATAATCCCGTATAGTTTTATTCATTTAAAATCCTTAATACGAAATGTAGAATTGCGGATTAAGTATATCTCGTTTCTTTTCTAATACATCAAAACTCCTCTTAATAATTGAAATTATTACATTATCTTTTTATAATTTCATAATACCAACCTAAATTTTACTAACAATAAATTTTGATACGAGAACCACGATCAGTGGAATGTGGTAATAACTTTACTTAAAATATTCAAAGTCCTAGCGAACTACGTGGACTTTGATCCCGTCTAACGGGTACGTAGGCAACCAATAAGGTTCGAGTCCAATTAATCAACTAACTTTATCTCTAAATCTTTACGTCAGTGGGCGTATAATTAAATTACAACTAATATGATTAAATCATTAAATGGTCCAGTGGGACCCCTAAAATTACAAATTATTACTAAAATACACCCAACTCGTATAAAACTTATCGACTTAAGTAGTACCGATTTAGGGCGTTGTGGGGGTGTTGCTTAACTTCCCCACACGTAACCGTACTCCCGAACCCAGAACTTTATTTTCGCAGACCATGCCTCGGTTCTGACACTAAGGTTAGAGCCGATTTGAAGAGTGTTCGATCCACTCCAACTAAGATCGATGGCGACTCCCAAAAAAACGCCGACGCGACGACATACGGACCCCCCGGACGGGACGGTTGCGACAGATGACACATTCGATAACCAGGGTAGCATCGACGAACTCGAGCTGTTCACTGCTGCCATTGCTAGGTATGTCTAAATTATATGGTTAACCATCATGCAAGACTTTCGCACTACAAAAACAGTACTTTTCGCGACGCTTTATTGCAAAAACGGATATTTTCGTCTGTCTGTCGCCTATACCGAGTCGCCTAGAGAATTTGCGATGAAGAAATTTATACTTTTGTTGTAGTGTTGTAATTGGATTGGTTGAATCAATACAGGTGGGATTGTAGCAGGGAAAAATTGAAACACTACATGATGGTCCTTTTCTCGGGCATCGCAGGGATTTATGCCGAAATTGAGTCAAACACTAGGAAGGAAAGAGGGCTCTAGTGAGATAACAAAAAGTTAGAGAGAGGTTTGCTCTCCCCTCTCCCCTGGTTTTGAAAAAAATGACCGTTGCGGGTCAAGCCCCCCCCGGCGGGGGAAGACCAATGTCTGAAGCCGCTAGATGGATCACCGTCTGTTTTCCGGTGCAGCCAAGCAAAAAGGCAAAGGCGTGCACGAGCACGGGATTCTCTGGCCAGATTGAGATGGAAATTGCTGCTGTCACAGCAAGAGCGGTGGGCGAATTGATGAAATGCACAGATGAGGCAGAGGAGGAACACCCTACCTCTCCGACCAAGAAAGACCAAGATCCAACAACAGGGAAAGCCAGCTACAGGGATTCCTTCTTGGGGAATAGCTCACCTCTCAATGTCCCCGAAGGAGATGATCTGATGTCAGATGAATCGGATACGGAAGATGTTGAAGATGACCTTGATTGCCCAACAATCAGAATAAAAAAAGAACGAATGCCAAAATTTGCAACAGATGGATCACGAGGCTTTGGGCGAAGACCAGGGGAATGATATTGGGCGACATCGGAAACGGCTACTTCCAAGCCACTTTTGATTCTCAGTTGGATCATGCTCACTCTATGGTGGTCCTTGGACGATTGATGACCATTATATCGTCTCTGAACAGTGGAGACTCGATTTTGATCCTGATTTCGATACGATCAATAGGACAGCTGTCTGGGTAAGACTCCCTCGCCTTCCTGTCGCCTATAACACAACGAATGGATTCAAAGGAAACTACGCTCGGATCTGTGTGGAGGTGGATCTGCGAAAAAGACTTGTTTCCAAGTACATGATTAAGAGAAGGGTACGAAGAATCGAGTATGAGGGATTACACACTGTGTGTTTTGATTGTGGCCACTATGGACACCTCCCAAAGAATTTCCCACTGAAGAAAGGCTTGCTGAACCAAAACCAGGAGGATAGTACAAGAGAGACTGCATCGCCGCAATCCAGCCCAACAATCCGCCTAGAGATCCTGGAAGATTTTGGACCATGGATGCTTGCAACTCGTCTAAAAAGAAAAAGGAATCAGCAGCGAGCAAAGAAAGTAAATGTTAAGGGTGATGAGGAGGCTAAGGAGACACTTGATAAAGCCTCTGGATCTCGTTTCAATGCACTGGCCACGAAGAATATATCAACTGAAGAAGGAGGAAATGTAAACCTGAGTGAAAGCCAGGTTGAAACAGAGATGGAGACTGATCAAAGGCAGGAAAACCAAGCAGAGAATCAGAATGTAGAAGCAACCAAAGAAACAAAGCAGGAAGAAGGGGAAACAAAGTGCTGGGAAACAAGATGGGGCTGTGGATAAAGGATAAACCCAACAACAAGGTGACAGCCCGCAAGGAAAACCAGAAGGCCTAATCTGTCTTGTCCAAGCAAGGAAAGGATTATGAGTTAAGCCCTGCCAAAACAATGTACAACCATAGTGCTAAGCAAGGAGCAGAGAAAGACACACACAACTCAGGTGTAAACACTCTGCTATTGGTACTAAGCAGAGCATCCCTTCAAGCCGCCACTCTTCTGAAGTTACAGGGAAAGCTGGTTCTAGTAAGGGAGTTACTACGGAAGCCAAGACTGGACATCAACCCAAAATGAAGAAACCTGCAGAAGGAAAGGAGGACAGGCAGCACATGAAAGGGTTACTTAAAGGTCAAGGTTTTGGAGAGGGGGAACCTAGAAGAATTGACTTTAATCCCAAGAAAGAAGACAAGGAACAAGGGCCAGAAAATGCCAATGAACCAATGCATACTACAAATGTGAGTCATCCAGAGGTTCAAAAGACGGCTTTGGCCGTCGACAAATTTCTTAAACCTCACATGGTTAAGGTACTTTCCTGGAATTGTAGGGGGGCCTTGCACCCTAAGTTTCTCCCTACTATCTATCAGTATAAGGCTAGTTACAGCCCTTATGTTGTTTGCATTCTGGAACCTCGTATTAGTGGTAGAAAGGCAGAGAAAGTCATCAAATCAATGGGATTTTATGCTTGGGAAGTCTCTGATACAGTGAGATTTAGTGGCGGGATCTGGGTGCTTTGGAAAAGGAATAACCTGACTCTGGAACTCCTTGATTGCCAAAAGCAATTCATTCATATGAAATGCACAACTGGGGGCAGAAGCATTTACCACCTCACAGTTGTCTATGCTAACCCAAACGAACATGAGAGAAGAGATCTTTGGAATAATCTGAAGATCATTGATTGTAGTGTAACCCTTCCCTGGCTTCTCACTTGAGATTTCAACTCCATCTCCAAGCCCTAAGAGAAACAAGGGGGAGCTCCTTTCAATTTCGTAAAGGCTAGAGCTTTTAATGAGTGCATTGATGAATGCAGTTTGATTGATATGGGGTTTACTGGACCAAGATTCACCTGGTTCACGAGTGGCACAGGTATCAAAGAAAGGCTGGACAGATATTTGTGCAACCTGGAATGGCAACAGGCATTCCCTGAGTCCACTGTCTTCCACTTGCCTAAGCTGAAGTCAGATCATAGGCCGATCCTTATGACCACTTCAGTGAATAAAGGCTCAAGATGGTTGGAGAGAAGATTCCAGTTCCTTTCTGCCTGGCTTGATCACAAGGAGTTCCAACCATTTGTGAAAGAGAGCTAGAGGCCAAGAGGAGGATTCCTTCCAGCAATGAAAGGCCTTTCTGATAACCTGATTAAATGGAACAAGGAGGTCTTTGGTAACATCTTTAGAAGGAAGAATGACCTGCTCAGAACCTTGAAATCATTGGAAATGGTGAATGAAAGGAAGCCATCAAGAAGATCCCTTGAAAAAGAAAGGGAAAGAAGAGAAGAGTTAGAGGGTACCTTGTGGCAGGAAGAGATGTTGTGGAGGCAAAAACCAAGGGTCAAGTGGACTGTGAAGGGGGACCTCAACACTCGTTATTTCCACAATTGCACCTTAAGTAGAAGAAAAAGGAACAAGATCATCAGACTTCAGAATGGGGATGGTAACTTGATTGATGATCCTGACACTCTCCAAGCCATGGCAAAGGGCCACTTTGTCCATCTGTTCACAAGTGAAGCCCCTAGCAACTGGATCCAGCTTCCTGCCTCTTTCCCCCATGTTGATGAGTCCTGCCTGAGAAGAATTGGAAAGATTCCCAACATTGAAGAAGTTAAAGCTGTCATTATGAAAATGAGTGGACTAAAGGCACCTGGTAAAGATGGGTTCCACGCCCTGTTCTACCAGAAATGTTGGGATGTTGTGGGACTGGATTTCTCCTCATTCATCAGGAGTTGCTTCAGTAACCCCAGCAACATTAGAAGCATTAATGAAACCTTGTTGGCTCTTATCTCCAAAGTGGAGTCTCCTTCCTCAATGAACCACTTTAGAACAATTAGTCTATGTAATGTGGGGTACAAGGTGGTGGCTAAGTGCATTGCCAATAACCTGAAGATGTTCATGACACAGCTGGTTCACCCTAACCAGTCCAGCTTTGTACCAAACCGCCATATTACTGACAATATTATTATTTTGCAGCAGACTGTCCATTCTATGTCTAGGAAGGCTGGAAAGAAAGGGATCATGCTCCTTAAAATTGACATTGCTAAAGCCTATGACAGAATTAGTTGGCAATTCCTTGAGGAAACGCTCAAAGCTGCTCACCTCCCTCATGACTGCATCAGATTGATCATGGCCTGTGTGACCACCACCTCCTTCCAGGTCTTGTGGAATGGGGGAGAGACTAACACCTTCTACCCCTCAAGAGGATTAAGACAGGGATGTCCCCTCTGACCTTATCTTTTTACTTTGTGCATTGAAAGGTTAAGCCACTGCATACTGAAAGATGTGAATGATGGTCACTCGAAACCTGTGTGTCTTTCCCCTGGTGGTCCTGCTCTGTCTCACCTTTTCTTTGTTGATGACCTGGTGTTGTTCTCTCAAGCCAGTTTGTCAAATGCTTGCATTATCATGAAATGTCTTGAGTCTTTTTGTGCTGCCTCTGGTGAATTGGTCAGTAAAGAGAAGTCTAGAACCTTTTTCTCCAAGAATGTCAAGCAAAATGATAGACATAACATTTGTATCTATCTTGGTATCCAAGAAACCAAGGACCTTGTTAGATACCTTGGAGTGCCTGTGATCCATGGTAGACTCACTAAGGGTACCTATAGATACATTTTAGAAAAAATTGACCAAAAGCTCACCTCATGGAAAGCTAGGACTCTCTCTAGCAGGGAGAGTTACTCTTGATCAATCTGTTCTCAATGCTATTCCCACGTATGCTATGCAAGCAACCTCCATTCCCATGTCTGTTTGTGATGATATTGATAGGAGAATTAGGAGCTTTATTTGGGGATCCATGGATGGCAAAAGGAAACCTCATCTGGTCTCCTGGGATAAGATTTGCATGCCAAAGAAATAAGGGGGACTTGGACTTAGATCAGCTCGCTGTTTAAACAAAGTTTACATGATTAAACTTGCTTGGCAATTGTTTAACAAAGAATCTGATCTTTGGGTTCAGGTGCTACAGGGGAAGTATTACAAGCATAGGGATGGGAACATTATTGCTATGAAGAAGACTAACCACTCTAGTCTTTGGAAAGCTGTGGTGAAAGTTATGCCTATGATGAAAGAAGCTTCTTGCTGGAGTATTAGGAATGGGGAGACAACAAGATTCTGGAGACACCCTTGGATCGAGAATGGACTAATCCTAGAGGACTACTTGATCAAAGAAATCACAAAAGAGGAAAGGAGTCTCTTGTGTCTCACTGGGTTACGGAAGGAGTTGAGTGGAATTGGGAAAGGCTTAAAATCCTCCTCCCTGATGACATCCTCTTGCTAATTACAGGAATGGAGAAACCAAATGCAGAACCGGGGGATGATAAGATGATATGGGGATTGGAGTGGGATGGAAGATTCAGACTCAAGTCTGCTTACAACTTTGCTGCTAACCTGGAGGAAGAAGAAGATGCTGAGGAGGGCAATTGGAAAGCGCTGTGGAGGTGGAAAGGCCCTAATAGAATCAAGCACTTCCTGTGGCTTGTTCTCCACGGCAGAGTCTTCACCAACAAGGAACGTGCAAGAAGGAACATCACCACTAATAGCAACTGCAACCACTGCAAAGACTGTGAAGAATCAATTGAGCATATTTTCAGGGGATGCGAGAAGGCAAAAAATTTGTGGGAAACATTTCGCTGCAAGCTGACAACAACTGATGCTAACAAATCGTTCTAGGAGTGGCTTCTCTCTAATCTTCTCCATGATGAAAAGGGAGTCGATTTCGGAGTCATATGCTGGAACCTGTGGAAGCAAAGGAACGAGGAAGTGATGGAAGGAAGAACTTTCAATGAAGCTGGACTTAACATCATTAAGCAAGCTCAAAAAAGGGATGAAGAGGAAGGATGCAGACCAAGTAGGCATTCCAGAACTGATCAGTTCACCTGGAAGCCACCTGAGGTCGATTGGATTAAGCTTCAAGCCGTGGATCTGTCATCACTCCGCCAGGAAATGCTGCATGAGGAGGCCTTTTGAAGGATCACTTTGGGAGGTTCTTGGATGCCTTCACTTGTAATCTGGGCAGCTGCACAATCACAGGGGCTGAACTTAAAGGAGCAGCTGAAGGGTTACAAATTGCTTGGGAGAGAGGTTTCAGGAAAGTCCAACTGAATATGGACTCCACTGCCACAATCGAGATCATCAAAAATTGCAATGATGATGACCATCGCCATGGCATTCTTGCTAGGCAATTCCATGTTTTGCTTAATAGAGATTGGGATGTTAGAATCAACCATGTATTTAGGGAAGCAAATTTTGCTGCTGATTTCTTAGCAAATAGGGGTCATTCTGTTCATTTTGGCATCATCGCTTCAATGTGTGCGACCCGGAACTTGGGAGATGGTTGTTACACGATGTAATGGGCGTTGCCTATGATCGTTTGATTATGTTAATGAGTTAGACGCTTGAGGTCTTTCTTTCAACAAAAAAAAAAAGAAGAGGGCTTTGGTATTTGGACTGGGAAACGGGCGGTAATTAATTAACTATATATACATATATTAATTTTCTACCTATTTACCACTACGTACGATTAATAGAATCCAATAACGTACATTTGCGTTGTATGTTGCAGGTTGGCAATGTAGTAAGGTTGTACTTAGGAGGAAGAAAAACTGACCAACAAAGACTATGTGGCGACGGTGGAGGAATATCGACAGGTTTCATCCTTAACGACTTGTTACGAATGGAAAGCTTACTCCGCCCTCTGTGGATTGGGCGACGATTTGGTTTCGAAGGACGCCTTCGAGTGGCTGCTCTCCAAACCGACCATGCTGATCGCTGCAACCGACTAGTGTCGTCTCCAGGATGACATTGCTAACAACATGGTGCACTACTTGACCGACCCTTCGGATCACAACTTATCGATGTCGATGTTGAAAGAGGATGAGAAAGAAAAGAAGGCTACACTTGTGGAATGTTACATGAAGCAGTACGACGTCTCACAACAAGAGGCAGCCAAGGCAGTGGATGATTTCATTGAAGAGGACTGGATGATAATGAACGAGGAGCTGTTGAACCCACCGCCGAATGTACCCATACAACTTCTTATGGTGCTTCTCCATTTTGCCAAGAACATGGATACGCTCTACAAGGACTATGATGGCTACACGCACTGTGACACCAACACCAAGGATATGATCACGGCTCTTATTGTTACTCTCATGGTCATTTCATGAAATGTTCGAATCGATCGTCTATAATAATGAAAACACGATAAGGGTCACGTCAATTAATATCGTGGATTAGGGTTTAGTCTTGATCATGAAGTTTGTTTTATTTTGGTGTGCTTTTGGACTTTTTGTTCGCTTTGTTTGACCAGTGTGTTCTTCATAGCATCTCTGCGGATATCTTTTTATGACAAATGAAATAATGTTTCGCTCCTAGTTTCTGAGATGGATTTTTTCTTATTATGGAAAATTTAGTTTGCAGCTGGTAAATCTTGCTATTGAGTTTTCCGGATCCCGACACGATCCAAATACCTGGATATCTAAAATACAAAATACGTATCGAACATCAGATCATCACACATAAGTTGATTGAAAACAAGTGGACAAAAGATCAGGTCAAAACTACTACTTATACTAGTGTTGTTAGAATTGGATTGGACATCAAACCGAATTAGTAAAAGATTCAAGGTTTACAAATCAATTACTTACAATTTGTAGAAATGGATACATTATGAATTCATGGTAGTTATTAAAATTAATTAATACCGGTCTATAAATCCTACATCTCATCTACATATTTAAGAGCACTAGTGCACAACCAATATTCTTAATCACATATACAATTTCCATATTCATATTCGAATGGGAGTTGTTTGAGTTCCGATATTAAGATTGAAGACAGGATTAATATAGAAACCAACAGAGAATAACACGACGAATTAGTATAATTACTTGGTTAACTTATCTGGTGATAATTATCCCTACTATATATGGCATCTTTATATATTTTCGAGCATTTTGGCTTTTACTGGAATGTTTACTTGTCCACTTCTGCGACACTATATTCGCTTAATTTTGTCGCAGCTTATCATTCGCAAGCATGTGATTAACACATGTTTCCCTGACATGTTGCAAACTTTTTTGAACAGATGAGTTTTCCCATTATTAATTCATGGAACAGAGACAAAGAGCAGGTGAGCTGCAGGTACTTGATTAACTTACCTAACTATTCGTTTAATATTTTGGGTTATAATAATCATTATTTACCATGGTTAATGGTTTCGCTTAAAATTATTATTGTATACAGGGATGGAGCCAGGATTTGAGTATCAGGGGCTGGGTTTTTTTTCCCCTCGTATCATCGAAAAAGCCATAAAAGCACAAAAATAATTACCAATAATAAGAAAATCAAATTATTATTTGAGATAATTAGATTCATTCAAAGTAGGAATTAATGCTAAAATAAAAATTTATCATATTATTTAACTACAAATGAGTTAATTGCCAACAAAAATCAATAATACATTTCAATATGCAATATGTTTTTAACAATTTTCACAACGGTAAAAGAAATGTTCAATATAAAATTTACTTATTATATGGCAAAAATAATAGTTAAAATTTGGAAATGAAAAGCTAAAGAATTTAATTAATATAGTAATTCACAGATTTCAAAAAATCAAATATAAAAGTCACAGACTATGCGACTAAGTTTGTATCTAAGTAAGACTGGAAACTAAAAAAATAAAGTTGCTCTCACTGGGTTTCATGCCCGAGCTTGGTCGGCATTATTGCACTACAACTTCCGCTAGACCAACTCTACTTTACGTTTCTATTTTGGCAAATGTCATTTATTTATTCACAACATCCTTAAGTAATACGTAATTCGCAAAGATCATATTGAATTTATGTGTAACTTTCAAAATTCTCGTGGCCCCCGAGCCATAAGCTAGTTCCACCCCTGATTGTATACATCGTAAGTTAACAGTAGGGGTGGCTATACGGTCTGATCAGGTTAAACTGGACCAAACTTATTCGGTCACAGTCCGGTCTTTTCGGGAATATAAGAACCAAAGATTGGATTGGATACAATCCAGTCTTGATTTGGTCCGGTCTTTACCCGGTCCGGTCCTAATTTGATCTTGATTTTAGGTGTTGGGGGTCTCTTATCTGGATTTTTTTTTACCTCAAATCTAACCCCGAATATGAGATTGGATTGTTTGTTATCCGCTCCCGGTCTGGGCTATACGATCCGGTTTATGATAAAACCAAGCAGTCCGGACCAAATAGCCAGCCCTAATTAATAGGGCATCCTTGTCCTCTTTTTGTCACAGTTGCTATTTCTGACATAATCTTTGTGGAACATTTTTTTTTTTTTTGAACAGATGAGTTGCTTCTATCTTTATGGAAGAGAGACTAAGAGCTGGTTTGCTTGTAGAATTTTGATAAGGGATTTTGTCTCAAAATCCCACGTATGATGGATTATGTCTTAAATCCATGTTTGTTGAATAAAATGAGGTTGGCGTTAATTTGTGGGGCCCATAGATGTGGGATTATTTTTGGCTCAAAATCAATGGACCCCACGGATTATAAAATCTCACGTTATGAGCTAGAATTTTGAGAGAAGCCAAAATCAATGGACTCCACTAATGATAAAATGGCCAAAGTATCCTTAACTACAAAATAAAAATACTTTATTAATGATATGAATAAAGATATGATGGTAAATTCATCATGCAACTCATAAATCCATTATACTATAATCCATTTTGAAATCCAACAAGCAAACATGTTATTTCTAAAATCCAACACAAATCTAAAATAACAAAATCCAACATAATCCTTTACTCTCAAAATCCAAGGTTTTACCCAAATTTCTCATTTTATAAAATCCAACAAGCAAACGACCCCTAAAGTAGTTAACTTGACCAAGTGAGAGAAGTGAGCTACTTTTTGCTCTAGTTCTGTAAAGGGTTTGAGTTGAGGTACTCGACTTGTAGTTAGAATCATCAAATAAAAAAAAAAGTTAGGAAATTAGGTCAAATAGGGATGGACACCTTTGAGTCAAAACTTAAAGCAACAAGCCCAACTCGATTAACAAAACAAATTTGTGCTCTTACTCATAATTTGTAGTTCGTTGTTTCTCTTACTTTGCTTCTTGTTTGCAGGAACTCTGTTTTGCAACTCCTCTTTTATGCTCTACCGAGCTCTCTAAGGCGGGATGATAACTGACATTAATTTGAAGACGACAGGCCTGTGAACGCCAACTTGGATCTGGGCCCTCGAACTAATTTTAAATGATTCGAGAAATATTAAAAAGTTTGTAGATAAATATATTTAATGTGATAAATAAATAAAAGAATGAGAAAAAGTAGGAGAGAAAATTATCAAGAATCAAGATATAGAATCTCTTTGATTATGAGAGATTTAATATCCGTAGATCTAAGATATTTGAAATCTCTAAAGCTACTATCTATAATACATAAAGCAATAAAAAATATACAACTTTCTACAAAATCTACGAATACATTAAATCCATGCACTAAATATCCTATTCTCCAAACGGACCCCATAAATTGAGATATTTAGTGTGTATTTTCCATACTTCTTTTTCCATTTCTTAAAATGTTAGGTGCTAGCAAAATAAATTTTAACCTGATAATTAGAGTCAAATACCATTAGACACTTTCAATTATCGGTAATGACGCCGGATTATCTTTCTATTATTGTTGCTTCTCTCTCTTTTTCTTTTTTTTTTATACAATTTGTTGCTTCTCTTTTATGCATATAAATTATAAAATAATTGTTCATCACACCGTAGCAGACAGATCTAACAATGACCTTACAAGTTACAACCAAAACAAGGAGCAATCCAAAAACAAAGCTGACACATTTAGTCACTAATTGTGCAGATATGTTTAATTAATAAGATGACCAATAATAATGAAGATTTTGAAGCAAAGGATATCTACTATGACGAGTGCACGGACAAAGACCTTACATTAGTTACCAGGAATCTTATCCCATTAGGGCATAATTCATATTTTAATTCAATTTATTATACAATAGACCAAACCATTTTACATCGCTTCTCCATAAGTTATTATACAATAGGACAAAGGATATCTACTAAGAAAAAAATAGGGTGCTTGATGAGACGACACCTCATTAAGCAGAATCATTAGTAATCAAGCAAAACAAATCAAATATAGGCATTAATACATCCACAGAAATAATGAAATACTCATATTAAATAATGTTCAATCACTACTCAAAACCATCGATGGACTTTCACTCAAAAGCGCGGAGAACGTTGACATAGATTTATTTTGGGTTATATGTATAATATGGGCGCTATGCCCCTCTGTTATGCATTTCTATAAATCATGCCACTTTACTAATTTTTGACATCAAACATGCGTTTCTGATAAAACTTATACCCAAAAATTGTTAACTACAGTCAAACTGTGGTTCGAACGACCCGACTGGACATTGAAGCCAATTAGAAAGGGGGTTCAAAGTTTATCGCTGGTTAATCGGTAGAAAATCGTTTATAAAATCATTTAGTTATGATTTGTACTTGCAAATTTTGTAAATTCATGATAGTTATGAAAATTCATACTAATAAAAAAAAAGTATACGTCGCATCTATATATTCAAGTGTATAATCAATAATATTCATGATCTAAAAAATCTTAATCACATATACAATTCTATATTCAAGCATTTTGGGTTTACTAGAATGTTATTACTTACTATTCTAGTAAGTTAATAGGGTCTCCTTATATCCTTATTTGTCCACCTCTGCCACATGATATTCCTTGTTTTTTTTTCTTCAGATTCGCAAGCATGTGAATATGTGAGCAACTCTGAAGAACATGCTAGTTAATCAGGGAAAGAGATTCCACAAGTTATCGGTACAAATGATTTAATGACCATAAAGTACGACTACACGGTTTTAGGGTTGCAGGGAATCGGAATGAGATACAGATCAGTTTTCCTTCTCACGCTAATGCCAAAACATTCAGACATGTCCAGGTCTCGAGGGTTGGTTTCATTCGGGAGTCGCCAATCAAAATGATAGAGCAAATTGGCCAACAGGAGTTCGGCGAAAGTCATGCCGAAGAGGATGCCGGGACACATTCTCCTCCCCGCGCCAAACGGGATAAATTCAAAACATGTTCCGTTGCAGTCGCTGACATCGGGACGGTCGAGAAACCTTTCCGGATGGAACTTTTGAGGTTCGGCCCAATAATGAGGATCCTGGCCGATCGCCAGCACATTGACATATACCCTCGTTTTTTCGGGTATGTCGTATCCGGCAATCACAACCCTTTCTCGACACTCTGTAGGAGCTAACAGAGGGGCGGGCGGGTGCAGCCTCAGCGTTTCTTTCAGGACCGATTTGAGATAGTTCAGCTCAGCAAGTCCCGCCTCGTCTATCTTTCCTTTTCCATCGAAAACTCGTCTCACCTCTTTGTTTGCCTTTTCCAAGACTTGAGGATTTCTCATCAGCTCTGACATGGCCCATGCCACGATCGTAACCGAGGTCTCACTGCCACCCATAATAATATCCTGCACCCACAAAAAAAAAGGTTATAATACAATATCAAGAACGAGCTGGTTCCAATGAACTGAACTGTTGAGAGAGATGTTCGATTATGAATTTTATACCACGTACATACTATACTTACCGTGATGACGGCTTTAATCTCGACATTGGTGAATGGGAATCCGAGTCCTTGATTCTCTTTGTACTTCAAAAGCACATCGACAAGATCTTCGTCATGATCTTGAGCTCCTATCCTTGCTATATGCTCATCGACGATAGCTTGGAGGATGGCATCTGCTTCTTGGTGAATCCTCTGTGCCCGTCTCTCGGCTCCGGTGAGTCGGCGGAGTAACTTGCTGGACGGAAATACGCTCCCCACATCAAATCCTCCAAACGCCTCTGCCAGTTCGTGCAAGACTGGTAAGAAGGCTTCCTCTTGCTTTTGCAGCTTCCCAAAAGCTGCCCTCGAAACGACGGCGTTCCCCATGGAGCCGAGCATTCGGCTCACGTTTATAACAGCCTGTTGCATATATAGTTAGTAAAATACGGTACAGATAAGTTAGTAAGTTACTGTGTATGAAATATGTATGGATATTTTACTTTATCTTTAAGCTAATGATAAAAAGTAATTATTTCAAAAAAATGAATAAATGTATGAATAATGTTCAAATTAATAAGTTGTCAGATACGAATGTTAAACGTGTTCTACAAGTTTGATACGTATTTAATACAGGAGTCATCAAATGGACGGAGAAAAATGAAATGGTCTGATAATTGTACGTAAACAAAAGTTTTAAGGCTTAGAAGTATAATAATCCCCCCTATTATGCCGTTTTTTTTTTCCAAACATTGCCCTTCTATTATTTTATACATCAAAAATACCCCTGTACTTTGGAAAATTTATGTTCAAATTTTCATAAAAATAATTGTCAATCATGCTTCAGACAACCCAACCTCAGTAAACGAGAAACGTAAATTTAACCCTCTATTTATTTCTCTAATTCTCATTAAAAATGAAATGATTAGGAGTATTGAGATACAGAAACAACGACCAGATTCACTAAAATAGAGGAATATCTCTGATGTAGAAAATATATAAGATCAGTGACATGTTTGATAATAAAAAGACTGCTTAATATAAAGACATATTATACTTATATCCCAAAATTTTCAAATTCAATATATGTACTTCCAGTTCCATCCATACTTTATTTATACGCGTATTAAACGAAATATTATTCGACCTGCTGCTGCAGCTGTATGGAGCTGACCATCTTGCCGATCTCGTCGTCCATGACCGGCCGGAAAAGGGCAACCCGTTTGGGATTCAGCAGCCCGAGAGCACAAACCTTCCTCATCTGCCGCCAGTACTCGCCGTGCGGCGCGAACGAGACGCTCCGGCCGTCGTATGACAGGATCCTGGCGGTGGGGAACATGGGCCTGGAGGCGAAGTTCAGGTCGTGGGTTTTGAGGAACTCCTTGGCGAGCTCAGGGGAAGAGACGAAGACGTTGGAGGTTTCCCCGAGCTGAAGGTGCATGATTGGGCCGTGTTTCTTTGCCAGGTCCATTAGCCGGCGGTGCGGTGGCTGGGGCCCAACCATCTGGTGCAGATTTCCGATTATGGGCAGTTTCCATGGGCCTGGAGGTAACGGGCCGGACGACGACGGCGAGGGCGACGACTTCTTTGACCTATTCAGATTTTTTAGTGCAGTGAGGAATGTGGCGGTTAGGAAGATGATGACGAGGATGGTGTTGAAGAAATAGATGATATGTTGCAGATCCATTGTCGTGAAAATTGACAACCTTCTTTACCTTTCTTTCTCTCTGTTTTGATACTCTAATTTGATTAGATTGATGGCATGCGGGCGGCTGTGTTTTGATACTCTAATTTGATTGATGGCATACGGGTGGTTCTGCTCTTATATATATTAAACAATGTTGTCAGAACCGAACCGGAGTATGACCTGATAATGTGAACGCTTCGCACTTTAGTGGTTCAACCGACATTAGACCGTTTAAAAATCGTTAAGAGAACTGGTACCGAATAAACGTTATCAATATAAATAGTGGACATTTCTTAATCATTGCTCGTCTCTTTCCTTCGAAATTGTGAAGTGGAAATAAGGATTCAGTTTGAGAGCCCGATGTTTTTTGGTTTATTTCAATTTTTAATTTTTTGCAATTTTTTAATTAAATTTAATGGCTGAATGGCAAAAACCGGACGAGCAGCTCGAGCGGTTAACCGTCTCGGCTGCTCGTCAACCGCTACATAAAATCGGAGCGGCTTTTAGACTATTTCGAGCAGATTTTGTGACCGGGGGGCGGTTTTACCGGTCGGGCCGAGCAGCTCAGCTTGGCTTTAATAACACTGATACTAAGTCAAGAGTTTAAATCGGTAGACGGTTGGACCTGGAAAAATCTTACACCAGAGTTTAAAGTGGTAGATGATTTTTAATAGTAAGAAATGATTAAAACACGAATAACAAGAGGAAGAGGTGTTGATGTAGTTTAAGCGCCAAAGGGAAGATTAGTATAGGGGGAATTCGGCTCAAGATAGAGTGCATCAATAACTAAATCTCGACTCTTCTTTTAAAAAATCTAGATCTAAGGATGGAGAATTAAATGTCGTTTTTAGTTTTCCTATATTTCTTAATCGACTCATGTTTTTCGTTTTAACTCGGATTTCAATTTTTTTTTGCATAGATGGAACGGGTTTGTTGTGCTCTACAAAATGATATCCATTTTCAATATTTTTTGAGAATTTTTTTTCTTGCCTCTCGGTACCCACTGCGTACCATATGGCATCTTCTTCGTTTTTAATTTGTTTTTGAAAAGGTTTGTGCAGAAGGAACGAGTTCATCATGATCTATTGGATCTACAAATTTCTGGATGAACAAATTACAGGACCAAACAATACCACACAATACCACCCTGGTACGAGGTGGTATCTTGTGGTATACAATGTTAAAAGTCGTAAATGACAGTTAATATATTTCTACTATCATGTATTCAACCATCCTACAGTCTTGGTTTGCTCATACCACCATGGTACGCTTTTCAAACCATAGGTATGACCTTATTTCAATACCAGTCAATACCATATGGTATAGACTAGTAAAAAAAGACTCAATTTTTTTTGTTCCAAAAATATATCAAACTGGATATCATTTTGAAGAGCACATTTAATCTGATTTATCTGTGCAAACAAATTTAAATTTTGACTTAAAACGAAAAAAAAAATTGTTCGTTAAAGATTAAAGGGAAAAAGATAAAAGACTTTCCAGGAGAGATGCTAATGTCATATTGATGTGGACGGGGAACTCATGGTTACTCACCACATTTGCTCCCGGGGAATTCGGCTACTGAAAGCCAATGTGGGGTATATTTTAGTTATTATTGGGTTAGGGGGATAATTATGGTGTGTTTTGTGAGTTGGATTAAGATTAGTATAAAACTTTTATTGAGCGACACACCTGTTCAAAAGTGGATAGCATTACTCCTTGGCTTCATTCTAAGGTCATTGTCCGGTCAATTGTCATCCTATATCTCTTTTCCTTCAAAATCTTCATGTTGGACTATTTCCTCAACAAACCATATATACCAGCACAATTATTGTCTAAATCCCTTTAAACTTAATTTGTATATATAGGGGTGTGGCTGGCGGCCACTTGGCCATAATCAAAAGCGTAATTTTATGTAGAAGTATTTTGGTGATTTAGAGGCGTAAAATCGTAAGTTTTTAACTTTAAAGCATCGATTTTAACTACAATTGTAAGGAAAATGTGAGATTATGTGTAGAAGTGTTTTCGTAATCTAAAAGCGTATAAAAACATAAGTTTTTTAAGCTAAATCACGATTTTGACGGCCTACTTCGCAAACACATGGGAAATGGGAGAAACAAGTTCCAAAAATTGGCCACACTCCGTAGGCACGTAAACTGACGTATAGAATCCAAGTAAACTTGCGATTATGATTCAAATTTTTACTTTTCTTTTTTATTCAGTGTATCTTGATTCATTTAGTCGGGATGTTACACAAAACACGGTGTGGCCATTTCTTTCACTTTTTTTATTATAAAATGTTGGACAAAACAAGCCACCAACATATTAGAACAAATCAAGACTCTCTTGTGTCAATGCAATTGTTGAAAGAACACTTGCTACAATAAGCAAAGTAAATAAACACTCCAGAATAAGACGAGTTGTGGAATCATGAATGATTTCGTTGTGGTATCTTAACATCTATCATAATTTGCACGATGAATGTATTTTAGAAATTTTTTTGAACATGCACACATCCTGAACATACTTTATATATATTTTTCCACGTTTGACCTACCTTGGATGAATTTCTGACTACGCCATTGTTCATAGTATCAGCAATGAATGTATTGAATAAAACTTTTTCAATATAAAAAGTTATCATAAATTGGTATTAAAAAGAAATTATGAACTTTAAGAATTAAGAATTTATATGTATTGAATAAGTTATTTATTTTTATTGAAGGGCACACCTGTTCAAACGTGGATAGCATTCTAAGGTCATTGTCCGGTCAATTTGTTGGGAATTTGATTCACCCGGACTAACTAGACCGGTTTGAACAAATGTTATCACATGTTGCATGGCAAAGCTTTGGCATGGCAGTTAGCCAGGAAAGCAACGTTTCATAATTTAAAATTAATGGCATGAAAGCAACGTGTTGTTATTTTTAAGTTAATGGACAAAACTACCATGAATTTGAAATGGATAACTTATACGTCCATTGTTTGGTATGGTAGTTTTTCCTTGGCTTTGAAATGAATGAACATTTACGTCCCTTGGCTACATGGAACCTCCTCCTTATCACCACCTGGACGTTCAGTTTTGTTTGGTAGAAAGAATATGTGCCTTGGCCAAATGGGAAAAGACACTTCTTCTCCAAATAATTGCACGTTGCAAATTAACCGGATACCATGAAACTATACAATGTTTCAGGAGTTGGGCGGTTAGATGTAAACCGAGGTGATGCTTGGCATTGGTATCTATAAATAGATGGAATCGGCTGGTGGGAGGAGACATCAAAACAGATTCTTCTTCCTATTAAACTTCTAAGTATGCTTTAGTTTCTTAAGCCTAGATTCTAAAGTGATGATAATTTTATACTACGAAGAAATTTCCTGTAACCCTAGGCTTGTTGAGGGTGGAAATATTCTTTACGGAAAGTGAACGTTGTTCACGACTCTATCACAATCCTAGTCACCCGGTCTCGACCTATCGTACGTGTACCCTCATCCCTAAAAGTCCCAACACAATTGTCATCCTAGATCTCTTTTGGTTCAAAATCTTCATGATGGACCATTTCCTTAACAAACCATATATATCAGCACAATTATTGCCTAAATACCTTTAAACTTAATTTGTATATATACGTGGCACGATGATGACCAATGCAGAATCCAATATAATTTATAGACTAATAAAGTACTAATCGAAAACTACTGCTTTAAAAGACAAGATTATATGATAGAACCCGCTGACCCGAGTTCTATCTAGGGATTAGGGATTCGGGGTCAACGAGATGATGACTCTGTTGGACTCGGTTTGGAAGCTAGAAGAAGAAGGAATCCGAATCCCTAGCGGAGAAGGATTGAAGCGGCCAGTTGGGAAGACTGAGGTTTAGTGGAACTACGTTGTTTGGTTTATTCAGACTGAAGTTGAAAGGAACTACGTCGTTTGGTTTGGTCAGTGTCCGTTGCGATCAACAGATCAAGCAACCAGAGTGCTGATCTTTAGCTTTGTTTGGTTAGTAGTTGCAGATTCTTAGGAGAGTAGTTGTTTCTTGGCCGATTTCTGTGGCCAAGCTCCTTGTATTTAAATTTTTCTCCTCTTCAATAAACAACTTGTCAGATTGCAAACCGATTTAGGCTTTCATTGTGGTATCAGAGCCGATCTGCAAGCTGTAACCAGAGAGTGAGTGAGATCTGTAAACAATTGCAGAGTGGGTATTTGGGAAACACGAGAGATTAACGTGAGGAATCAAGAACAAAATTTGGGTGTGTGAGAAATATGAGTGAAGGAAGCAGCAGCTATGCACAGGTGTGCATACCCAGATTCGATGGAGATTTTGATCACTGGAGCTTGTTGATGGAAAATCTCCTTCGATCGAAAGAATACTGGGAGGTGGTAAGTGAGGGTTTCAAGGAGCCTACCAATGGGGAAGTTCTATCTGAGGCGCAATCCAAAAGGCTCGAAGAACTCAAGCTCAAGGATCTGAAAGCCAAAAACTATCTTTTCAGCTCCATTGATAAGGTGATCCTGAAAACCATCACAAACAAGAGGACTGCTAAGGAACTGTGGGAATCCATGAGGATCAAGTACCAGGGAAGTGCAAGGGTGCAGAAAGCTCAGTTACAAGGGCTAAGAAGAAGTTTTGAGCTGCTGGAAATGAAAGAAGGTGAAACTATAACTGAGTATTTCAGTAGAGTAATGGTTATAGCAAATTCTAGGAGAAATTGTGGGGAAAATTTGACTGATGTGAACATTGTTGAGAAGATTCTTCGAACTTTGACTGAAAAGTTCAACTTTGTGGTCTGCTCAATTGAGGAGTCAAAGGACATAGAAACCTTGACTGTTGATGCTCTCCAAAGTTCCTTAATTGTGCATGAGCAAAAGTTTCAAAGGAAGAATGCTGGTGAAGAAGATCAGGCTCTAAAGGCATCACATGAGTATGCTGGAAGAGCTGATGGCAAAGGCTATGGAGGCAGGAGTTATCAAGGAAGAGGTCGAGGAAGAGGAGGAAGAGGAAGAGGTTGGAACAAGGAATCTGTGGAATGCTTCAAATGCCACAGATTGGGACACTACAAGTATGAGTGCCCAGAGTGGGCAACAAATCAGCAATCCTACTATGCTAGCTATCAAGGAAGAAGTCAGGGAGATCTAAAAGATGACATGCTGCTTATGGCTTACCTGGATGCTGAGCAGAACTCCAAAGAAGTGCTTCACAATAATGAAACCTAGTGGTTTCTGGACTCTAGCTGCTCAAATCATATGAGTGGTGACAGGAGCTGGTTCACTGAACTAGATACCAAGTTCAATTGCACTGTGAGACTTGGTAATGATTCCAGGTTGCATGTTGTGGGAAGAGGAACTGTCAAGTTGCTGGTCAATCAGCAAACTTTTCTGGTGCAGGAGGTGTTCTTTGTGCCTGAACTCAAATCTAACTTGTTAAGCGTGGGCCCGCTACAAGAAAAAGGGCTTTCTTTTCTCATTAAAGGAGGAATGTGCAAACTGTTTCATGAAGAAAGGGGTATGGTGTTGCAAACAGAAATGAAATCCAACCGAATGTTTGTTCTACAAGCTGAAGCAAGAAAAGGAAGAGAGGGCCAGTGCTTGCAGGTGGATCAGTCAAAGGAAGACTCCCTGGAGTTGTGGCATAGAAGATTTGGACATATTAGTGTTCAAGGACTGCTGGAGGTTCAAAAGAAGCAACTGGTTCAGGATCTGCCTAGTCTAAAAGGGGAAACTGGAATTTGCCAGACTTGTATGATGGGGAAGCAGCACAGGCTTCCTTTCCCTAAGAAGAGCAATTGGAGAGCTACACAAAAACTCCAGCTTCTTCATGCTGATTTGTGTGGACCTATAACTCCAACTTCTAATGGTGGCAAGAGGTATATCCTGACCTTAACTGATGATTTTAGTAGAAAGCTCTGGATATACTTTATGCCAGCCAAATCTGATACCCTGGAACACTTCAAGAAGTTTAAGAGTTATATAGAAAAGGAAACTGGAAACAGCATTCTGTGTTTGAGAACAGACAGGGGAGGAGTGTTTATGCTACAAGAGTTTAAAGAATTGTGTGATGCAGCTGGGATAAAAAGACAGCTTACTGCTGCTCTTACACCTCAGCAAAATGGGGTAGCTGAAAGGAAGAACAGGACTGTGATGAACATGGTAAGATGTGTATTGAAGGATTGCAAGGTTCCTGCATCTTTTTGGCCAGAAACAGTAGCTTGGGCTACTCATGTACTCAACAGGAGTCCCACTGCAGCTAATCAAGGGAGAACAGCTCAAGAGCTTTGGACAGGGCATCCTCCATTAGTCTCACACTTAAGGGTGTTTGGATGTGTGGCCTATGTCCATGTACCAGACCAGAAGAGAAAGAAGCTGGACAACAAAAGTGTGAGATGCCAATTCCTGGGTATCTCTGTGGAGTCCAAAGCATACAAGTTGTTCAATCCAACTACTAAGAAGGTGATAATAAGCAGGGACGTGGTATTTGATGAGCAAAAAGGCTGGGATTGGGAGACTGAAACTCAACCAGCACACACACAGATACACTGGGAAGGGAGTGATGATGACTGGCTTGATTCAGACAGTGAAGAAGAAGAAGATCCTACTGAAGGATCAAACAGCAACCCTGCAACAAATCAGTCACCACCAGCAAGTCCTGTACAAGTCACTCCAAGCACAAACCAGGAAGATGAGGAAGAAGAAGGCTCTGGCTCTCCAACAGATGTTCTTGGCCTGCCTGCCACAGAACTAGGACCTCGAGTAAGACATCCTCCTGGTTATTTATCAATCTATGACTGTGGATTTGCTGATACAGAATGGAGGGCTATGGTAGCTGTGTCAGATGATCCTATCACTTTTGAAGAGGCAAAAGCTGATCCTAAGTGGAGAAAAGCAATGAATGAGGAGATGGCCTCCATATTAAAGAACCAGACATGGAGTCTACACAGCTTCCAGAAGGAGTAGTTCCAATTGGCCTCAAATGGATATTCAGAACAAAGTATAAGGAAGATGGAACAGTTGATAAATACAAAGCCAGACTGGTAGTGAAGGGATTCACTCAAAAGCAAGGAATAGACTACAATGAGGTATTTGCTCCTGTTGCTAGATGGGATACTATAAGGATTCTGTTAGCTTTTGCAGCATTTCATGGCTTTGAAGTTTATCAATTAGATGTGAAAAGTGCATTTTTATATGGGGAGCTTGAAGAGGACATCTATGTGGAGCAGCCACAAGGGTTTGTGGGTGCTGGGGAGGAAGCTAAAGTGTATAAACTGAACAAAGCCTTGTATGGCTTGAAACAAGCCCCAAGGGCTTGGTACAACAGGATTGAAACTCATTTCCTGAAGTCTGGATTTGAAAGAAGTCCATATGAACATACACTGTTCATTAGGAAAGAGGGGGAGGAGATTTTAGTTGTAAGCCTGTATGTGGATGATTTGCTATACACAGTAAACAGTTCCAGGCTGATGAATGAATTCAAATCCTCCATGAAGGCAGAGTTTGAGATGACTGATCTCGGGAAAATGAGGTTCTTTCTGGGAGTGGAAGTTATTCAGAATGATGCTGGGATCTTTATTTGCCAGCAAAAGTACATTAAAGATGTACTGAGCAAGTTCAAATTGGAAGCCTGCAACTCTGTATTGAATCCTCTAGCACCAGGAACAAAGATGACTAGAGCTGGAGATGGTTTCACAGTCAATCCTACTGAGTACAAAAGGCTGATTGGCAGCCTGCTGTATGCCACAGCAACCAGGCCTGATCTTATGTATGCGGTTTGTCTTCTTAGCAGGTATATGGAAAACCCTACTAGACAACATATGTTGGCTGCCAAGAGGGTACTTCGATACCTCAAAGGAACTTTGAGTTTGGGAGTCTGGTACAAGAGAAGAAGTGAAGAGGCTTACTTGCTTGGTTTCACTGATAGTGATTATGCAGGTGATGTTGATGACAAGAAGAGCACTAGTGGTTACACTATTTTCCTTGCAGGTGGAGTGGTGTCATGGGCGTCCAAGAAGCAACCAGTGGTTACCTTGTCAACCACAGAAGCCGAATTTGTAGCTGCCTCATTCTGTGCAGCTCAATGTGTGTGGATGAGAAGGATACTGGAGCAGATTGGATGGAAGGAAAGTGTCACTGGAGCCACGAAGATTATGTGTGACAATAGCTCTGCCATCAAGCTTTCCAAGAATCCTGTGCTTCATGGCAGAAGCAAACACATCGACATTCGATTTCACTTTCTCAGGGAGCTGGCTGCTGAGGGAGTTGTGGAGCTGGAGCACTGCAGAACCCATGAGCAGATTGCAGATATCATGACGAAGGGGCTCAAGACTGAGACCTATCAACTGCTGAGAACAGAACTGGGAATGGTGGATCTGTCAGTGTTCGAAGCTGCAAGCAAGGAAGTGAACTAAAGCAAACAAACCTGCTTCAGTTCAGGGGAGGATCTGTTGGACTCGGTTTGGAAGCTAGAAGAAGAAGGAATCTGAATCCCTAGCGGAGAAGGATTGAAGCGGCCAGTTGGGAAGACTGAGGTTTAGTGGAACTACATCGTTTGGTTTATTCAGACTGAAGTTGAGTGGAACTACGTCGTTTGGTTTGTTCTTGTTTAAGCACCTGTTTTCTTTAGTTGTGTCAGTTTGGTCAGTGTCCGTTGCGATCAACAGATCAAGCAACCAGAGTGCTGATCTTTAGCTTTGTTTGGTTAGTAGTTGCAGATTCTTAGGAGAGTAGTTGTTTCTTGGCCGATTTCTGTGGCGAAGCTCCTTGTATTTAAATTCTTCTCCTCTTCAATAAACAACTTGTCAGATTGCAAACCGATTTAGGCTTTCAGACTCTGAGAACTAGAATTGAGGTGAGTGGAAAGAAGAGATTTTGGAGATTGAGGGAGGAGAGAGCAGATGCTGCTCGGCAACCAAGGGAGGGAAAAGAAAGGGAGGTTCGGCTGAGAGAGAGGAAAAGAGAGAGTGGAGATTAGGGTTTTGATAGGTTTAACCTTGCTTGTCCATTTCTACGTAGCATCATAGTTTAAGTACTAAAACACAATTACCTATCACTACCCTAACTTATTAGTCCCACTTATCCCAAACTAACAAATCAAACCCACATAAACAATTCTTAACAATCAAATCCAAAACACAAATCCGAATAACTAAGTGTCTATCATTATATTACAGGGATCTAATCAACAACTTCTGCACATAATTATGAACAAAAAGACTTTGTGGTTCAGATACCATGAGCTTAACAAAAGTTAAGGGGGTCATCGGTCGAGATTCAAATAGAAGATATTTTGATCATAGAAGACTTCAATATCATGTCAAAAATCAATTGATCTTAATAATTCAAGTTGTTAGAAAATGTTCTATTGTGAATCATTATTAATATATATATATATATATATATATATATATAAAAAATATAAAGCGCCAGTTTGCATTAGGGTTCAGTAGCATGTGTGCGGGTCCACCATATGTTTTATATGCATCAGTTTTCCTTCTGTTCGCTTTTTCCTGATTTTGTTTCCCTCTTCGTCATCCCCGTTTTACCCCCTTCAACGGTTTCTTGGAGGCCGGCCAGGTTCTTCCTTTCTAGAATCAACTAGGAGTGATGGAAATAAACACGTAGAACACAGTCGGCTATGTTTTCGGTTAAAAGAGGATGAATATTGGGTCTTCGAATAAATTGAGTATTCTTCCATTCCAATACTTTGATAAATTAAGAATCAGAAACATGGAAATTGTAGAACCCAACTCCCTTTCTCTCTAGCTCTGTCATGGAGCTGGAAATCCTCCTCTAAAATCACACATGCAAAGAAATATCAAAGGAAATTTTTATTTGTCCCGAGCTCTGGCTGGTAGGGGCTTAAGTTTGACCCTAAATACCTACTGACGTGACAATGATTTTAATAAAAAATAATCTGATGTGGCAATGATACGGCATCTACGTGGCAGTTTAATTTTTGCCACATTCAAAAAAGTCAATATTGCTTTGACCATCGTTGGTCAAACGTTATCTTTAACGGTCAACAAAATAGTCAGGATACAAAAGTCACAAAAGTCCGATATTTCGGGACATGGATGGAATATTGAATAAAATAGGACACAAATGACATTTTTGCAATAGTTCGGGTGTTGTAGTGGTATCAGCTCAAAGTTTAAGTGCTAAATTGTAAAAAAATGGTATCAAAAAGTAATTTTCCATAAAAATTTATGGACTTATTTATAAATAATAAATTTTAGGTACTAAAATGTAATAAAAAATAAATTTGGGTACCAAATCTAATTTGTCAAAAATTTGTGGGTTTATTAGTACCGACCAACTGACACGACACTCACGACCCGCCCCGACCCTAAAGGGTCAGACTGGATCAAGAAGAAAACAGGGGCGGGCGGGTCAGTTATATATTTTAACCCTTCAGAGGCGGGTGGGGAGAGGTTCAGGGACGGGTCAATACAATTTTCAGTCCTACAGTGGCTGGGTACCCAATTTATTCTTTTCATATTTCATGTGTGCATGTGTTAGAAATGTTTGTGTTTGCAATAAGAAGATGTCACCTGTTGTTTTTATATATTCGATAAAGAAAAAAATGTCAAATGATGTATTTAGTTTTGAAGAATAAGAATATGAAGCGGTCATCATACTTAGCTAGGTGAACGTATATTAATCCTCTGAACACTACTGGTACGTTTGGAATTTTTGATTGTTAAATAGATGTATTGTTGAGAATGCATGTATAATATTATACATGTATTGTCGAATTTGATGCATTGTAGAATACAACATTTGGTATGTGTAATTGTGTATGTCGCATCAGCTAAAAGCTGAGACTAAACAATCTCAACTCAACTATCTCAACAATCACAACTAAAAGTTGAGATATAACAATCACTCAAAATGAGTGATAGTTTCTGTCACATCACATAAACAATCCATGTATTGTTTCTGCAAATAAAACAAAAAAACGATGCATTTTAAACAATACATGCATAATGACAATCTCAACAAAACAATCGTAACTTCCAAACGACCCCTACATACACCTCATGTGTGTATAGTTGAATGTTGTAATCAAACATGTTTATTAGATATTGACAAAGATTAAACACCACATTAGTATGCAATTCATATTGTGCTACTAAAACTATTATAAAAAACTAGAGGGCAGAAAAATAAGCTATCAAAGGATCATGAGTGAAATTATTTATCAAGTGTGGATGACAGAACCAATAATTATTTAGAAAATACCATGCTATATTTGCATATATTCAACTACTCAATTTAATGTCATGTTGTATAACTGTGAATCCAACTACTTACTAAAACGTCCTAAACAATTTTCTAAAGTATAAGGAGATTGAGAAGTTAATATAATCAGGGTACTAATTACATCAGTCTCAAGTTAATACATGATTATTCTCAAATCACTTAATACGTTCACCTCGATTCAGCGATCGATAATACAATCTTTCAGAGCTAATTGTTTGATTTTTTTCGAGAACCCGGCTCCAATTTTCTAGTATACCATTATTAGATTAACTCATTAACACGTATAATGAAAAATCTTAAACTTATTACCAAGTGGTGTACTGCTGAGAATAATTAAGAAAGGAAACATAAAAATATATATGTGACAAGGGTAGCGGTTTGGCTATATATATAGCCAGTACGTGGCAGAGAAAGACTTGCATTGCATAACCAAAACTTTTGCTAAAGAAACAGAGTACGTATATTGATCTGAATACCCTTTACCATTTCTGGTTTGCTCCAAAAGGACCGAGAAAGAGAAGAGATGGCCGCCGCCGCCGCCGCCGCCGCACCTAAAAACCGGCGAACTATGGATTATGACCCAACTGTGTGGGGTGACTTCTTCCTGACCCACGTCCCCCAAACTGATGAGGTAACCTTAATTAATGTATAAGAAGCCATGATGAATTAGCTAGCTAGGTTTAATTAGCTGCTGAACGTATGTGTTAATTATTGTTGCTAATTAGTGATGACATGTATATATGTGTAGGTGGTGAAGGCTTGGGAGGAACAGATCGAAGTGCTGAAGCCAGATGTGAAAAGGAGGTTATCAGCTCCCATAGACCATTTAGCAGAAAGGCTGAATCTCATCGATGTAGTCGAGCGACTAGGCCTTGACTATCATTTCGAGGAAGAAATCGACCATATCATGCGACAGGTTCATCAAAACAACCATGGTTGCAACAATATTGATGAGGACGACGAACTCAACACCGTCGCACTTCGTTTTAGACTGTTGAGGCAACACGGCTACAAAGCCCCAAGTGGTACATTGTTTCTTGTCTAATAACATATATATCGATCGGTCAATCACTAACATTTGGTGACATGTTATATGCAGATGTGTTCAACAAGTTCAAGACGGAAGGAGGGGTGTTCAAGGAAGATCTAGTGAATGACTTCGAAGGGATGTTGAACTTGTATGAAGCTGGATACCTGAGGATCAAAGGAGAGGGTGTATTGGACGAAGCTATTGAGTTCACAAGGTCACATCTTACAGCAAAAGCTGCCGAGTTGGAGTCCCCTCTCGCAGACCGAGTCACCCGTGCTCTGAAAAGGCCCCTTCGCAAGGTCATGGCTAAGTGCGAGCACCTGTTTTTCATCTCGTTTTACGAGAAGCTCGTGAGCCACGATCCAACCCTCCTCAAACTGGCCAAGTTGAGCTTCAACGTGCTGCAGAATCTGTACCAGACAGAGCTGCGAACTCTCACCAAGTAAGTTAAGTTAACCTGTCATGTCGTCATAACTCAACTGGTCCCTATATAATTCGAGTTACGTTGCTGGAAGAGGTTCATGGTATTTAACCACTTCCTCATGCACGCACCTCAAATGAAAGCCAACTTATAAACTAGAATTTTGCATAGACCCGCCATACCAGGTGCTTTAAGACAACGAATAATATTGAGAGACGCGAGAAATCGCACACGTAATCTAAAAAACAAACCAGCTCTGATACAATATATCCTAAACCTAACTTTTGGAGAGCACTGTATAATGATTCAGGTGGTGGCTGGAGTTGGATACTCCTGCAAACCTGCCCTATGCGAGAGACAAGTTGGTGGAGAGCTATTTATGGGCTTTAGGAGGACTGTGGGAGCCCAAGTATTCCGTAGCCAGACAGTTGGTTACCAAAGTTACTCAATTCGGTACCCTAATGGACGACACATTCGATAACCAGGGTTGCATCGAGGAACTCGAGCTCTTCACTGCTGCCATGGCTGGGTATGTCTACATTAATTGTATATCGTCAATCTGTCCCTTAATTATATATGATCATTAATTAATTAAGGAATCGAAAATTGATCACAAGACTGTCATATTGGATAATTGGGTTGAATTAATTAATTAATTAATTAATGCAGGTGGGATAGTAGCATGGAAGGTCTGAAACCCTACATGATGGTCCTTTTCGAGGGGATCGCAGAGATTTATGCTGAAATCGTGTCACACACTACCAAGGAAAGAGGGGTTTGGTATTTGGACTACGGGAAACGGGAGGTAACTAATTAATATATTTTCTAGCTACCTAGTTTAATTTCACTACATACAATAAAATCAAATAACCTTTGTGATTGTAGGTTGGTAATGCGGTAAGGTTGTACTTGGAAGAAGAAAAACGGACCGACAAAGACTACGTGGCGACTGTGGAGGAATATCGACAGGTTTCGTCCTTGACCACTTGTTACGAATGGATAACTTATTCTGCGTTCTGTGGATTCGGCGACGACTTGGTTTCGAAGGACGCCTTCGAATGGCTGCTCTCCGAACCAACGATGTTGATTGCCGCAACCGACCAGTGTCGCCTCCAGGATGACATTGCCGACCACTTGGTGCACGACTCCGTCGGCGACCCTTCCGACCACGACTTATCGATGTCGCTGCTGAAAGGGGATGAGAAAGAACAGAAGGCTACCCTGCTCGAATGTTACATGAAGCAGTACGACGTGTCGCAACAAGAGGCAGCAAAGGCCGTGGCTGATTTCATAGAAGAGGACTGGATGATTATGAACGAGGAGATGTTGAACCCACCGCCGAATGTGCCCGTGCAGATTCTTACAGTGCTTCTCCGTTTCGCCAAGAACATGGATACGCTCTACAAGGACTATGATGGCTACACGCACTCTGGCACCAACACCAAGGATATGATCACGGCTCTTATTGTTACTCCCAGACATTTAGGTGAAATTTAACGTCAACTTTCGATCGTATAGCCTAAAATAATGAAAACACGATTAGTATCGTGGATTAGGGTTTAGTTTTACTCCGACGATCGGTCCCACGTCGTTCTACTTTGCATCTTTTTTTCCCCTATGCTCCCTCTCTCTTGATCATGAAGTTTTTTTGTGTCTGTGAGTGTGCCTTTGGACTTTCATTTGCTTTGTTGTATCAGCGTGTTCATTTCATAGCCTCTTTAAAGATGTCTTTTACGATATGGTTTGTATATTTTGTAATATTTTTACTTATGTAATCTGGTTTGTATACTCTGTGTTGTTGGACGTATACTTTAATTGTCTGGATTATATACTTTGGTTTGTGCGCTTTTATTATCTGATTTGTATAGTTTGTTTAATTAGTTTGTATATTTTCATGATATGTTTTTTTATATTTTATAATATTAATTTTTATATTTGTCATGATATGATTTGTATACTTTTGTATTCTTATTTGTATACAACCTATTATTGATTTGCACACTTTTATTCTATAGTTTCTATAAATTGTATTTACATGTAGTTCATATACTTTCCTGTTTACTTGATAATCTTAGTCATATATATGAAGGGTTAATGCCACATTTGGTCATTGTTACTAAATTGTGTCATGTTTAGTCACTAAAAAAAATTAATATCAAATCTGGTCACTCGAATTACTAAAATAGGTCATATTTAGTCATTCTTCGTTATTCCGTCCAACGGAATGAATTACTGGAAACAGATTGGAAAGTGGGGAATTCGACAATAATGGAATGAAATTCCGTTAAGAATTGGAAAGATTCCCAACATTGAAGAAGTTAAAGCTGTCATTATGGAAATGAGTGGACTAAAGGTAGCTGGTAAAGATGAGTTCCACGCCCTGTTCTACCAGAAATGTTGGGATGTTGTGGGACTGGATTTCTCCTCATTCATCAGGAGTTGCTTCAGTAACCCCAGCAACATTAGAAGCATTAATGAAACCTTATTGGCTCTTATCCCCAAAGTGGAGTCTCCTTCCTCAATGAACCACTTTAGACCAATTACTCTATGTAATGTGGGGTACGAGGTGGTGGCTAAGTGCATTGCCAATAACCTGAAGATGCTCATGCCACAGGTGGTTCACCCTAACCAGTCTAGCTTTGTACCAAACCGCCATATTACTGACAATATTATTATTTTGCAGGAGACTGTCCATTATATGTCTAGAAAGGCTGGCAAGAAAGGGATCATGCTCCTTAAAATTGACCTTACTAAAGCCTATGACAGAATTAGTTGGCAGTTCTTTGAGGAAACGCTCAAAGCTGCTCACCTCCCTCATGACTGCATCAGATTGATCATGGCCTGTGTGACCACCACCTCCTTCCAGGTCTTGTGAAATGGGGGAGAGACTAACACCTTCTACCCCTCAAGAGGATTAAGACAGGGATGTCCCCTCTCACCTTATCTTTTTACTTTGTGCATTGAAAGGTTAAGCCACTGCATATTGAAAGATGTGAATGATGGTCACTGGAAACCTGTGTGTCTTTCCCCTGGTGGTCCTGCTATGTCTCACCTTTTCTTTGTTGATGACCTGGTGTTGTTCTCTCAAGCCAATTTGTCTAATGCTTGCATTATCATGAAATGTCTTGAGTCTTTTTGTGCTGCCTCGGGTGAATTGGTCAGTAAAGAGAAGTCTAGAACCTTTTTCTCCAAGAATGTCAAGCAAAATGATAGACAGAACATTTGTAGCTATCTTGGTATCCAAGAAACCAAGGACCTTGATAGATACCTTGGAGTGCCTGTGATCCATGGTAGACTCACTAAGGGTACCTATAGATACATTTTATAAAGAATTGACCAAAAGCTCACCTCATGGAAAGCTAGGACTCTCTCTCTGGCAGGGAGAGTTACTCTTGCTCAATATGTTCTCAATGCTATTCCCACGTATGCTATGCAAACAACTTCCATTCCCATGTCTGTTTGTGATGATATTGATAGGAGAATTAGGAGCTTTGTTTGGGGATCCGTGGATGGCAAAAGGAAACCTCATCTGGTCTCCTGGGATAAGATTTGCATGCCAAAGAAATAAGGGGGACTTGGACTTAGATCAGCTCGATGTTTAAACAAAGCTTACATGATTAAACTTGCTTGGCAATTGCTTAACAAAGAATCTGATTTTTGGGTTCAGGTGCTACAGGGGAAGTATTACAAGCATAGGGATGGGAACATTGTTGCTATGAAGAAGACTAACCACTCTAGTCTTTGGAAAGCTGTGGTGAAAGTTATGCCTATGATGAAAGAAGCTTCTTGTTGGAGTATTATGAATGGGGAGAGAAAAAGCTTTTGGAGACACCCTTGGATCGAGAATGGACTGATCCTGGAGGACAACTTGATCAAAGAAATCACAGAAGAGGAAAAGGAGTCTCCTGTGTCTCACTGGGTTACTGAAGGAGGTGAGTGGAATTGGGAAAAGCTTAAAATCCTGCTCCCTGATGACATCCTCTTGCTAATTGCAAGAATGGAGAAACCAAATGCAGAACTGGGGGATGATAAGATTATCTGGGGATTGGAGCGGGATGGAAGATTCAGGCTCAAGTCTTCTTACAACCTTGCTGCTAACCTGGAGGAAGAAGAAGATGCTGAGGAGGGCAATTGGAAAGCGCTGTGGAGGTGGAAAGGCCCTAATAGAATCAAGCACTTCCTGTGGCTTGTTCTCCACAGCAGAGTCTTCACCAACAAGGAACGTGCAAGAAGGAACATCACCACCAATAGCAACTGCATCCACTGCAGAGACTGTGAAGAATCGATTCAGCATATTTTGAGGGGATGCGAGAAGGAAAAAAAAATTGTGGGAAACATTTTGTTGCAAGCTGATAAGAACTGATGCTAACAAACCGTTCCAGGAGTGGCTTCTCTCTAATCTTCTCCATGATGAAAAGGGAGCCGATTTTGGAGTCATATGCTGGAACCTGTGGAAGCAAAGTAACGAGGAAGTGATGGAAGGAAGAACTTTCAATGAACCTGGACTTAACATCATTAAGCAAGCTCAAAAAAGGGACGAAGAAGAAGGATGCAGACCAAGCAGGCATTCTAGAACTGATCAGTTCACCTGGCAACCACCTGAGGTCGGTTGGGTTCAGCTTCAAGCCGATGGATCTGTCATCACTCCGCCAGGATATGCTGCAGGAGGAAGCCTCTTGAGGGATCACTTTGGGAGGTGCTTGGATGCCTTCACTTGTAATCTGGGCAGCTGCACACTCACAGGGGATGAACTTAAAGGCGCGGCTGAAAGGTTACAGATTGCTTGGGAGAGAGGTTTCAAGAAAGTCCAACTGAATATGGACTCCACTACCGCAATCGAGATCATCAAAAATTGCACTGATGATGACCATCACCATGGCATTCTTGCTAGGCAATTCCATGTTTTGCTTAATAGAGATTGGGATGTTAGAATCAACCATGTATTTAGGGAAGCAAATTTTGCTGTTGATTTCTTAGCAAATAGGGGTCATTCTGTTCATTTTGGCACCATTGCTTCAATGTGTGTGACCCAGAACTTGGGTGATGGTTGTTGCACAATGTAATGGGCGTTGCCTATGATCGTTCGATTATGTTAATGAGTTAGACGCTTGACGTCTTTCTTTCCCCAAAAAAAAGAGGGCTTTGGTATTTGGACTATGGGAAACGGGCGGTAATTAATTAACTATAAATACATATATTAATTTCTACCTATTTACCACTACGTACGATCAATAAAATCCAATAACGTACGTTTGCGTTGTATGCTGCATGTTGGCAATGTAGTAAGGTTGTACTTGGAGGAAGAAAAACGGACCGACAAAGACTATGTGGCGACGGTGGAGGAATATCGACAGGTTTCATCCTTAACGACTTGTTACGAATGGATAGCTTACTCCGCCCTCTGTGGATTGTGCAAAGATTTGGTTTCGAAGGACGCCTTCGAGTGTCTGCTCTCCAAACCAGCCATGCTGATCCCTGCAACCGACCAGTGTCGTCTCCAGGATGACATTGCTGACAACATGGTGCACTACTTGACCGACCCTTCGGATCACGACTTATCGATGTCGATGATGACAGAGGATGAGAAAGAAAAGAAGGCTACACTTGTGGAATGTTACATGAAGCAGTACGATGTCTCACAACAAGAGGCGACTAAGGCCATGGATGATTTCATTGAAGAGGACTGGATGATAATGAACGAGGAGCTGTTGAACCCACCGCCGAATGTACCCATACAACTTCTTATGGTGCTTCTCCGTTTTGCCAAGAACATGGATACGCTCTACAAGGACTATGATGGCTACACGCACTGTGACACAAACGCAAAGGATACAATCACGATTCTTATTGTTACTCCCATGGTCATTTCATGAAATGTTCGAATCGATCGTCTACAATAATGAAAACACGATAAGGGTCACATCAATTAATATCGTGGATTAGGGTTTAGTCTTAATCATGAAGTTTGTTTTATTTTGGTGTGTTTTGGACTTTTTGTTCGCTTTGTTTGACCAGTGTGTTCTTCATAGCATCTACGCGGATATCTTTTTATGACAAATGAAATAATGTTTCGCTCCTAGTTTCTGAGATGGATTTTTTTTTATTATGGAAAATTTATTTTGCAGCTTTTATTTTGCTATTAAGTTTTCCGGATCCCGACACGATCCAAATACCTGGATATCTAAAATACAAAATACGTATCGAACATCGGATCATCACACATAAGTTGATTGAAAACAAGTGGACAAAAGATCATGTCAAAACTACTACTTATAATAGTGTTGTCAGAATTGGATTGGACATCAAACCGAATTAGTAAAAGATTCAAGGTTTACAAATCAATTACTTAGGTCCAGTTTAGTATTGTTGCCTGTTTTTGTTTTCTGTTGTGTTTTTCAAGATTGGAGAAACCAAGAAAAAAAAACATATTTAGTTGGGTTTCTATTTTTTGTTGTGAATCAGATTTGCACAACAGGGCCCAAATTTGAGAAACAACAATTTATTGCTTTGGATTTGATTCTTCTACATGTTTTACACAGGATTCCCGTTTGTTTTCATTAAAACAACCCTCAATTCGAATCCCACCTAAAGCAAAAAAAATCTTTTTTTTTTAACTCACAAACCCACCTCCAAACCCTAGTCGGCCAACCCAACCCTCATCTTCTCCCAAACCCGCCGCCCAACAGCTCCCTCCCTCTCGAGACCCAGGCCACCGATATCGTCCATCTCCCCCCTTGCCGCCGATTTCGTCCCTTTGCCCCGCCGCCTCCCTTTACCCTGTCGCCCGACCTCGCAACCTCTGCCGCCTCCTCCTCTCGATTCCCGTCGTCTCCCTTTCCCCCGCTACCGACTTCGAATCCTTTCCCCCCGCCGCCTGCCTTTTCCCCTGTCGCCTCCTCCTCTCGATTCCCGTCGCCTCCCTTTCCTCCCGCCACCTCCTCTAGATTCCCCGCCGCCGACTGCGAATCCTTTCCCCCCATCGCCGCCTCCTCTCTTTTCTGGTTTTTAGTTCTAATAGTAGTAACTGGACGCGTTTTTGTTTCTTGTTGTCTTCTTTCATTATTTTTCAGATTATCAACTAAACAGGTTTGTGTTTTCTATTTTTTTCCTGTTGTGGTTGTACATCTGTTTACACAACACCACTGCAACCACAACAACAACAAATCGATACTAAACGAGGCCTTACAATTTGTAGAAATGGATACATTATGAATTCATGGTAGTTATTAAAATTAATTAATACCGGTCTATAAATCCTACATCTCATCTACATATTCAAGAGCACAAGTGCACAACCAATACTCTTAATCACATATACAATTTCCATTTTCATATTCGAATGGGAGTTGTTTGAGTCCCGATATTAAGATTGAAGACAGGATTCATATAGAAACCAACAGAGAATAACACGACAAATTAGTACAAATTAGTAAATATCATCCAATTACTTGGTTAACTTATCTGGTGATAATTATCCCTACTATATATGGCATCTTTATATATTTTCGAGCATTTTGGCTTTTACTGGAATGTTTACTTGTCCACTTCTGCGACAATATATTCGCTTAATTTTGTCGCAGCTTATCATTCGCAAGCATGTGATTAACACATGTTTCCCTGACATGTGCAAAATATCTCAATCATCACTTATATTTGATGAACAATAATGCACATGAATTTGCACAAAAAACTATTAAAAATTTACTTTAATTTGAAGGATTAGAGTTTAGAGATTTAGGATTAGTATTAGGGTTTATAATTTGGGGTTTACGGATAGAACTCAAAATTGGAGGTCTAGGCTCTTGGCGGAAGTGAGTGATCTCCCGCTGGATCTTTGTGGTCTTCGATGCTGGATAGTACCTGTGCACGAACTTGTCGGCCAGATCGTCCCAAGAAGTGATGGACAATGTGGGTTGGGTCTCCAACCATCTCTTAGCATGCCCCTCCAGAGATGGGGGAAGAGGTGAAGGCGGATTGCGTCATCAAGGATACCGTTTAGCTTGAACCCGTTCGACCGCGTTGCTTAAGAATCGGTTTCCGGTTATCGGTTGTAACCGGCGGTTATCCGATAACCGACAACCGATCTGCCACCCCTACTTTAAAGAACCTTGAGATTGTGATTGGGATGAGAACAATATATATGTAATTATATGTGCAGTACTTGTAGTACAAATATCTGTACTATTCTTGTCTTTTAAAAGCAGTTGTCACTATTACAGTAAAAAAAACAGTTTTCATTAGTGTATAAATATTAAATAGTACTCTGCATTTGTCATATATTTAGCCAATATTTGTGCTTATATATGCCAGTACGTAAGAAAATATATAACCAAAAGTAAGATAGTCTAACGGTAAAACTATCGCGACAATGAAGGTTTGGGAGTTGCAGATCCTAGGTTCGAATTCAAGCGAGGCTCGTTGGTATTCCCGGGGTACAATGCTGCTAGGGGCGAAGCCCCATTAGTGTCGAATTTGATAGCAGGTAGCCCCCATATTTAGTAAGACCCGTTGTCACAAAGTCACACGTTGAATTGAGATTCCTGAGTAACGACAAACCGGTATTTGAGAATACACATATCCGTTCCGTTTTCTGAGAGTTACGGGTATCCAAATTAGGGGTGGCTATACGGTCCGGTCCGGTTAAATTGGCCCAAATTGATCCGGTCCAGTCCGGTCTTTTTGAAAATATAAGGACCGAAGATTGGATTGGATACAGTCTGGTCTTGATCTGATCCGGTTTTGATCCGGTCCGGTCCCAATTCGGTCTTGATTTTACATTGAGATTGTAGGATTTGAGTGGCCTAAGGCCTTAAAGGGTGAGGAGTTGGTTAAGTTTTGTACTAAGTGCAAAGGTTTGTGACCGTTTATGCAAATTACCCTTAAGTTTTGGGTGTTGAGCTCTCATATCCGGTCTTTATCCGGTTTTTTACCTCAAATCTAAGCCCAAAGATTGGATTGGATTGTTTACTATCCGGTCCTGATCCGGTCTCGGTCCGGGTTATACGTTCCGGTTTCCGGTTTTTAATCCGGTCCCGGTCCAAATAGCCACCCCTAATCCAAATATCATAATATTTATTATGATATAAGACTTGGGATTAATATTTTTTAATATTGGGTATCCACGGGATTATCCGCTAACACCCGTTTGGATAATAAGGATACCTGTAATACCCATTAAGATTTATTCCCAATACAAATACAATAGTTAATAATATGGGTACCCGTAATACCTATTATGATTTTGTTCATTTTCTCTTTTTAATGTATACCAATCCGCTAGAGTGATTTCTTTATTTTTGCTAGACTTTATCAGTGGCGGATCTGGTGGTCGTCACCTCGGGTCGCGTCCTAACCCTCATCTTAATTTAGAGATAGTATGATAATTAGGAATTTTTTGGTTTCAGGTATTCGGTTCAATATTATTTGATAATAAAATTTTGTTCAATTAGAAAAATAGTTCATATGAACATATTCAAATTAGTGGCTAGAAATTCTATCCCAAATGATTTTCCTTTGAAATAATAAAACAATGAAACATAAAGGTAAAAAACGTAAAGACTTAAAAATATGAGGTTTCTTCCCTTCCGAAAGTACTATAGAAGCTGGTTGAAACATTGATGAACACACAATACAAATTGATTAGTCGGTTGATTCGTCTAGTGTTGACCGTGAACGTTTCAACGACTACTACGGGGAGAACCTATTGAGCAATGAAACATGTGAAAACTTATTTGCGCAATAAAATGAGCGATGATATTCTTGTTGATTGTTTAGCTATTTTTATTTGAAAGAGGGTATGCTATTGGTATTGATGACGACTCCATGATTGATGACTTTGCTAAGTTAAAAGATCGTCATGTACCATTGACATTGTAATGAACACTATTATTATACTTCTTTTACATTATCTAATTTTTTAATGTAATGTGGCAGAGTGCTCTACTAAGTTTTGTATCCACTGCTAGACTTTATTCATTTAGAATTATGCTTTTAAAACTTCAAAATTACTGTCCCAAATGATCACTTATCTTCTAATAAATAATAGAGCAGCTAAATCTAAAAGTAAAGTAAAACAAAAAAAGTAACGCAAACTATATAATTTGGTAGATGCTCCATTGCTGCTACCTAAACTTAACTAGCTTGGACCCGGCCCGTTTTCCGGATTAATTTAATTTACTAATTATGGAATGGGGAGAGAGCTAGAGCATAAAAACATTTATTTGGGTCGAACTCACAATTTGAATCTATTTAAATCCATATAGTTATACCTATAAAGAAATATCGATAATCTTGGAGTGCTATTCGGTATTCGGGATTACGAGATTGAGATTAGTATATAACGAAATACCGAGAAATAAAATAAATTAAAATTAATTAAATATAGCACACAACCTTTAGCCATTCCTCACTTTTCACAACTTAGAAGCCCACAGCTAACTCAATTTTGACTTTCCAGTTGAAGTCACTCTCATCTATCATCTAATCTTTTTTTATTTTCATAATACCAACACTATTATTAGTCGTCTCTCAGCCTCCAATTCCTCAAATTAAATATTACCAATGACAATAATTTGAGATGCCACATCTCCTCCATTGTGTTTATCCATACCATAGCTCTAGGCTAACTCAAGACTATTTGCTTAGTCTCTTTGCCCTAAATTAAACAATCAAATTTAATTGATATATTTAATTATTAATTACAAAGGTAATTAATTTCGTATTCGATAATACCGATTGAGATACCGCAATACCAATTGGGATACCAAAATATTAGGGGTTTGGGATTGGGATACCGAAATTATTTAGGGATTGAGATTGACTTTAGAGTGTAATTCGGTATTCGGGATTTAGGTTCCGATTTCCACCCCTACTTCCGGCCCTAATCACACTAACACCATACCATGATATCATACCACTGTACGTGATACTATCGTGATATGACAGTGGTATGATGACCTGGAAAAAAAATTATTAAAAAAATATCAAAATGAATATCATCTTGTAGAGCAAAAATATGATATTTATATGTTTTTTTTTTTTTGAAATCCAACGTAAAACGAATGAACTATTATCTGTTGAATTTTCATTGGAGATTTGAAAAGTGTTCTATCATTTGTTTGGGAATCAATGCTTGCCCCCCAAAATCCGATCAGCTATCCCAAAACTCTGGTTAGCTTCCTCTTCCCAAACTCCTCATTTCCCTACTTACCCTCTAGAAAGTTGACCATTAGATCACTTCACTCTCCATCTCAACCATCCAATATAGTTTTGTAGTCTAATCCAAGCCCTAATTTATTATGGCTTAAGTTTAAAGTAGAATGTATATTTAGTACATTCAATTAGTACCACTAGAATAATCCACAATTTTTTTATTATTATAAAAGTTGCTGTTTTGAATTTGGTGTAATGTATGTCGTCATCTACACTGTGATTGCCTGGTAATTTGTGTTCTTATTTTTTCCAATTAAATTATGATATCTCGAGATATTTTTGTTCCATGTATATGTCACACCATCGTACTTTATTATTCTTTTCCAATTAACGTTTATCTTCTATATTTTTGCCATTTAAGAGATTAATTTTGGGAATTTCATTATCTACACTTTTAAGCAAGTCTTTATTTATGTAGCCCACTAGACAGTAATTGGAAAATTGAATACTATGCAATTCTAATATTATTTGTTAGCTTAACTCAAAAATAGAAATTGTCTTTCAACGTTTGCAATAACAACTTGTAGAATGAGCAGTATCTTTGATATTTGATTAGGCATATGAAGTTCGGAAGCTTGTTCTTTTAAAACTTATATATAACAATCAATATAGTTTATTGAACAAAATTGATGAGAAATAAATGAAAATGTACGTAGTTTATATAATTCATTTTATAAACTTGTAGGTCTAGTTTTCACATACTATTCGGAGGTTAAAAAATTTATCAACATTTTAGAGAGAATCCTTGACCCTCTTACTATAACCAAATACCATTACTTGACTTCAATTATTGGTTTGAGGGAGGATTATTTCTATATAATTGTCCTTGTCTTGCGAGGAGATTTAGGCAAAAGACATAATAGCTGATATTACCCACTTTCTGTTATTGTTGATCTCTTGTGTCTTCTTAGACGGGTGTCACGCTCACGCTTAGCTAAAAATGGCGGGTGAAGATTTTGGTGCCCAAAAGATCTCCAATTGGCGTCTCACCGGACAATGACCTACAATGATGCCAAGGTGCAATGCGAAAAACATTCATGCATGCATTCGTCGCCATCGTACTATTGCTATATCATGATATTACCACTCACAGTAGTATGATATAATAGTGATATCATGTTGATATTACGTTTTATGTTTGAAAAAAATTTATTTCCTGACATCATATCATTGTCATATCGTAATATTATCACTATGATATAATGATAATACAATGATATGATGTTAGTATAGGGTATTATGTTTAACAAACTGAAAATATGTAAATTACCATGCTGCCCTTTTGACAACTAGTAGAAAGAGCTTCTATCTCTCATCTGCGATCGTAATGAGCTGTCGGCCAAACTGAAAATATGTAAATTACCATGCTGCCCTTTTGACTCCGTTACTTATCAGTGTATTTTCTTACCATTAGATGAGACAAATCTGAACGGTCAGAGATTACATTTTGTAAGGCAATACGAGTTTTGTACCCTATTCACTGTTTTACTTAACTTCAACTATTGATTTAACGGAGTATTATTTCTATAATTGTTGATCTCTCTTGCTCTACATATAGAAAAAAATTGTGATCCTTTTCTTTGTCCTCTTGGACGGGTGGATAGTTTTTCATTCAATCACAATCCGTAGTATATAGGTAGTGCAGTTATAAACAATAATGTAGGAAACTACATTTTCAAGTAGTCATTTAGTCAGTAATTGTGGTGTCACAGCTTAATTAAAAATGGCGGTTGAAGATTTTGGAGCCCAAGAGATCTCCAATGACGTCTCGCCGGACAGTGACCAAGAATGAAGCCAAGTATTTCTACACTTACTACTTGGTCTCTCAGATTTGTTGATAAGTGGTGGGAAGGGTGTTACAAGTTGATGTCTGGTGAGGGTTAATGGTCCGACCATTTTAGCTCGATTTATCTTGGATATATGAAAAAGTCATTATAGTGTTCATACATTTATAATATTATACCAAATCTCATCTAACATTTGAGTAATAACTTATAACATTACACCAAAATTTGGGTTAGGCGAAAAGCAAAATTGGAAAATAGGCGCATTTCACAAACCAAAGAAGAAGAAAAAATTACACAATTTGACCCCCAACTCGATACCTAGCATCAGTTGACCCGGCGGGTGAGTGCAACCCAATTTTCTCACCAGATTAGAGTCAAAGTGGGTCAACCGGCAGATCGACCCCGCGGGTTGACAACCTTGATAACAGTACCACTCCACCGATGGAGTGGGGGGTGGAATTTGTTGCTTCATATAACATTCTACTGATATAGTAACATCGTTATATTGCTTAATGTAGCACTGTCCGGACGAAGAAACACGGTCGGGTTGTTTCATATAGCACTCAACGGCCGAAGCGACCATGGTCATGCTGCTCCATATAGCATTCCACGGCCGAACCGGCATGTTCTTGCTGCTTCATGTAGCATTCCTCTTTGTAGCACCCACTGCAAAATTTGCATAAAGGAGCTGGTAAACCATACATATTAAGATTGACTCCTTAGTGTGCAGAGGACAACGGTAGCATTACCTTGAATGAATATTAAGATTCAAGTTGGCTAACTTGAGGAGTAATAGCTTAGTTTGATACAAGTTCTGCAAGATATTAAGATTCAAGTTGGCTAATTTGAAAAGGGCTTGATCGTGGCCCTTGAGCTTTTCATTGATGAAAATAAGTTGCTCCAGCTTCTCCACGATTTTGTGGAGAGGCCTTTTTTGGAGCAAGAGTGGCTTGCTCGATGCTGTTGTGGAAATTGTTCACATATACTATTTTCTTGCAACACAAGCAAACAAATAAGATTAAGAAAACATGCAAAGACACATGCAAGCGTCCTAGCCGATAGAATTCACTATCTCTCCTTAAAGAATCTTATTCCCCTCTAGTACCCAAGGTTATGGAATGATTCCTCCCGGGATAGAAAGGACGTACTTTTTTCGGCGTAGCGGTACCTCAAACCCCAGAACCCATCGAGCGCAGCGAACCGGCGAGAACCATACTTGACTCGATTTTCTCTTTGAAAAGAATGTAGAAAAACGAATTTTGGATTTTAGCAGAGTTTTTGGTACCTGGAAAACGTGTGTTTCTCGTCATCAAAACTAGAGGGGGTATGGTGCTATGTATAGAAAATGAAGGGGTGCGTACAAAGAAAGCAACTCTTCGTATGAGTGGTTAAACCCCAACCAACACATTGGTTTGTTTTAAAATAATGAACCATTGCATCGGTTCGACCCATGGTAGTTGGACCGGTTTGATTATTCCAACCGCCACTTTGGTTCGGTTTGATTTGGTTCAACTCAGTTTGGTTCGGTTGGTTACACTAACCAATATTACCGATTACCAACATATTACATCAAATCGACCGGATTCGCTGCCATGCCTTCCCATAGCTTACCAACATGATACTTCAAGAGATTCTCTTGGATCTTTCCCCTTTTATTTCCATTCACACCATTAAAAATCCCAACAATCCCCCACATGAATGGAGAATGTTGTACTTTAAAAATTATGCAAAAAATCGTGTGATTCACGACTAAGAATTAGTTGCATCGGAATAGGTAGGTTTCCCTTTGAACCTTCGTTAGTGAACATATATCAAGTATACTTACCAATTGGTAGATGTGATATCTTTGAACCGCCGGTTTTGCTTGTATACTAAGACAACATATGTCACACACCTAACTCTTATCTGTTCACTGGTTCTCATTGTTTTGTCATTTTAGCCATGAACGTCACCTAGTCTCATGAGTGCTTAGAGAACTGGCCTTCTTTTATTCTCCTTGAAGTGCTCCACTTCACACTCACATAGGTGATTTCTAAACGTGTATTCCAAAAATACACTATTTGATCACATCCTCTGTCAAACTTAGAAATCATTAAAAACCTTCCATCTTTATGTTTACCCTTATAGTTGAACATTGTCTCATCATGACAATGGACATTGAATAATTTGATAATGTGGGATAGGAATGGTAATGGGCTAGTAACTTTATATTCATACGTGTCCTGTGGTGGATCAGGTGCAATTCGACTTAATTAATTAAAGTCGTTACATTATATTAGCTTGATATTCTACCTTAAGTTCAACTACAACCATGAATACTAAATCTAACATCTTCCCTATTGAATATCCATTATTTTCATTCTCAAATCACTTTTCTTCAACTGTACAAATCTCAAATCTAACACTCTGCACCTTTTGATGGGAGGATCGGCAGCGACAACTGGGTGGATGACAGTGGTGAAATCGACTGTCGGGGATTCGAGATCTGGGTGGTGATGGCCGATCGACGACAACAGCTACTTTGATGGTGGATTGGCTTGACAGAGACGATGTTGGTGAAGATTGTGCACCAGCAACATGGCTGATGACGGTGGTGATATGGACTGAGGCGTTGGAGATCTGAGTGATCATGGCTGGTCAGGGATTGTTGGGGGTGGATTGCTGCGTTAGAGATGATGTTGGCGATGAACAGGGGAGACAACGGGAAAGTCGGGGTTCGGGATTCCAAGCGGTGGTGATTCGATTGACTAGAAGCTTGAGAGTCGAGATATTGGTGGTCATAGTCGGCTGGCGCAAAGACCCTTAACGCTGATGATATGGTGGTGGATTTCCGGTGAGAATCGACGGAGTCAGCTTGCTTCTCACGGGACCAAGAAAAAATTAACAGAGTGAAGGAGGTCACGCAACGTAACCCTTAGCTTGCAGTTCTTTGCTTTGAACTTTTTAATTTGTTTTTTCGATTTGTCTTTTCCGGTCGAGAGAGAGATAATTATTCCCATCCCACCCTCACAGATCAAATTATTTCGTGTATTTCGTGTATTGGATTTCACTTGACTGTCTACGGCTCCATTGCGTGTGCTGCGTAGCTGGGGTCCTCCAAACAGCGCCGCAAATTGGATGGGAGACTCCTGGGTCTTCTTCCTCATCGGTCAAGGCATATAGCACTTCAGGGTTAACTCCCCGTTGGGAGTGAGTCGCCAAGACAGGCTTTCAAATATATATATATGAAGATATGAACCCCAATGAAAACTATTCGCCCCACACGAGGTTTGTGAATAAGTGATTGTCTGCTCTAAGTTTAAGCCCTTTCTAGCGGGCTTGGTATGAACGAAATGAAGCCCCTTTATTATAAGCAGGAAAATCCTTTAAGGTTAGACCGGGGCTTAGGAGATAATGATAGGAAGATTGAAGCAAAATAAGTATTAAACGATGACTTTGGTTTACTATAGACATTGGCTTCTTGTTCTAGCTCGGTAGAAATAAAATGACTCTGTTTAGTCTGGGACCCCAACGAAGGTATCCGCGGAAGCTGCTTATTATTTGTTTATAATTTAAAAAGAAGAGTTTTAAATAAAAAAATAGAAAAAGTCGTTTCTCGAAAAAAGATAGCGAAAAAAATTATTCCTAGAGTCGAGACTAAGAGGAATGTATAAACCAATGCTTCCATAGATTCGATCGTACTATTTTACTAGGTGGCGATGTCGCGCCTTGACGCGGGGAAGATGGCATATGTGCATGTATTATGTGATCCGTTATGATGTTTTGTTAGTATTATTAGTCTAAAATTAATGTTTTGTTAGCATTTTTGTAAGTAATATTGACTTGACATTATGAAATTGATCAAGAAGAGATATATGGCGGTCAACATCCAATTTTTTAAAATAAAAAAAATTGGCTAATAAATGAATGCCATTCTTATGATGGAAGTTTTGCCTAGTGAGATATGGACTACAGTCTTCTCCATGGGCTCAAAACAAGCTCCGAGATCAAATGGGTTCACCGGAAAAATTTTCAAGTCCTTTTGGGATATTGTTGGTCCCTCGGTAACTGAGTCAATATGTCTTTCTTCAGAACAAGTCGGATGCTCTGGAGTTTTAATCACACGTGATTAACATTAATTCCGAAGGTGGATAATGTGGAGTCCATCATGCAATTGCGCCCAATCAGCCTATGTCAATTTGTGTACAAGATCAACACTAAGAACATGGCAGAAAGGCTAACGGGTCTCCTGCCTCAGATCATCTCAGAAGGACAGAATGCTTTCATCCTTGAAAGGCAAATTGTGGATAATATTTTAATTCGATACAACGCGCAAAACCTTACCAGCCCTTGACATATGAACAACAAAACCTGTCCTCTTGGACATGCGTTCATGCATTACCTGAAAATCAAAACTCGTGGTAAGAAAGGATACATGACTCTGAAGGTTGACATGGAAAAGGCCTATGATAGAGTTGAATGGTCCTTTCTGTTAGCGGTTTTGGAAAAGGCTTTAACTCTGTTTGGAGAGGTTGGATACATGAATGTCTTCAATCCTCTTCCTTCTCGGTCCTCATGAATGGCACTTCGTTTGGTTTCTTCTCACCCTCCAGGGGGTTAAGGCAAGGGGATCCTCTTTCCCCTCTCTTGTTTGTGATCTGCTCAGAGGGGTTTGCGGCTCTCCTCAGTAAAGCAATCACAGCAGGAAAGCTGGAAGGAGTGAAAGTAGCCCCTCGTGCTCCCCAGATTACCCACCTATTTTTTCCAAATGATTCTTACCTATTTATGCGTGATTCCCTACAGGAATGTGAGGATTTGGTGGAGGTGTTGAATGAATATTAGGAACTGAGTGGCCAACGGGTTAATTTGGGGAAGTCGGTAGTCTGCTTTAGCAAGAATATTGCGCTCCCAGACCAAGAGTTTTTGGCTCGGCCTGAGAGTGGGGGGCGGTAGGGGTTCATGACAAACACCTGGGGTTGTCCACTCCGATTGCTCGATAAAAAATGGCTATGTTCTGATATTTGGAGGCTAAGCTGCTGGAACGCCTCCAAGGTTGGAAGCAAAGGACTTTGTCTTGGGCGGCTAAAGAGACTTTAATTAAATCAATTGCTTTAGCTTTGCCGTTACATATTATGTCATGTTTCAAACTACCGCTCTCCATGTGCCGTATCCTGGAAAAACATGTGGCCAGGTTCTGGTGGGGTGTGGAGGAGGGCCATCAAAGGATTAATTAGGTATCCTGGCGAACAATGTGCCAGAGTAAGCATGAAGGAGGAATGGGGTTTAGGAGGTTTGAGCACTTTAATCAAGCTCTGCTAGCCAAAATTGGATGGTGCATTCTTCATGAACCTCACTCTCTATTAGCCTAGGTCTATAAAGGGAAGTATTTCCCTACAGGGACTTCCTTTGTGCTATGGCTCGCTCTCGTCCATCTTGGGGTTGGCAGAGTATCCTCTATGGCCATCAGTTATTGGACATGGGCTTACGAGGGAATATTGGTAATGGCCGCACTGCTTCGCTCCTCCATTTTAATTGGATTCCTAGGTTGCACCCTGGTCATCCGATGTATATTCCTTAGGTACTGCCAGAGGGGGGGTGATCCAAGGGTTGTGAGGTTATATGCCAGGAGGAGGGGCATTGGTGTGAGACCAAGGTTAGTCAGTGGTTTGACCCCCCACTTGTCAGGTAGTAAAGACTATTCCCCTTACGAGGGAAAATATTGAGGATAAGCTGATCTGGCATGCCACAACTGAGGGGGTTTTCATTGTTAAATCCGCATACCACTTTGCAGTTCTTTTGGATAAACAGAGGGGCCGTTGGCGATCCTTGGTGAGTTGGTTGGATAGAGCAGCTGGATTCGTCTATGGGAGGCAAATATCTCACCCAAGATGAAAGTTTTTGTCTGAAAAATATTTAACCATATTCTGCCAACTCCGGAAGCTCTCATTGGGAAAAAGATTCTTGTGCTTCCTAGATGTCCGGTATGCTGGGCTGAGGAGGAAACTATGGAGCATTTGTTCCTTGACTGTCCGGTAGCAAGGGCTCTATGGGACTATTCGGGATTGGAATATCTTGGCCAAGGGTTGCCTCGTCATACCTTCCCTCTGTTCCTCAAGAAGTTGATGACAATCATTCGCTAACCATCGTTATTCCTGAAAGTTGTCATGGTACTTTGGTGAATTTGGCGGTCTCAAAACTGGGTGGTTTTTTAGGGTAAATAGTTCGGGATCCCTGCCTTGATGCTCCAACTTAACCAGCAATACGAGGAGTGGGTCAATTTGCCGATGGAACAAGTTCCCCATCCTCCTGCCCCACAGGTGCAGTAATTGAGTCCTGCAGAGACAAGTTATGGTGTTTGTATGTGGGATGGTGCAACCAGGAGGGGCTCTCACTCGCCTAGAGGGATCATTATCCTTAACAATGCAGTCAAAAGCGCGATTCTACCTAGAAGCGGTTGGGTGACCTAGAAGCGTAAAACCGTAAGCTTTTAAGTTTTAAAGCATAGATTTTGACTACATTTGTAAGAAAAAATCATGATTCTACGTAGAAGCGTTTTGGTGACCCGAAAAGGTAAAATCGTAAGTTTTTAAGTTTTGAAACGCGATTTTAACTGCATTGATCCTTAATCACGTGCGGGAGGTCCTTTATACCAATGAGATGCAGTTCATGTTGATTGAGGATCCAATGGTGGTGGAATTACTCATTCTTCGTGAAGCTCTCGTTTGGTGCATTACTCATGGTTTCACGAAAATGCGGTTTGAGGGTGATGCGAATGTGATTATTGAGAAGATCATCCATGCGGATACTAGCGACAGTCGGATGGGTGCTATTCTTGAAGAAGTTGTTCGGTACTTTGCCAATTATCCAGGGTTAGTGTGTGATTTGTATGTCAGCGTAGCAATAGGGTAGCCAATTTAGTGGCTCGAAAGACCCTTTCTTTGTATCCGACTACGTGTCGTTATTTTGATTTTCAGACCTGACTGCATTACAGGGTGTAACTATCTGTTTTTCTGGATCAATATGTGATTATCTTTTGTAAAAAAAAGTTTGAAATATCGCGATGAGTCCGAGTTTGGGCCGAAGGAGGGGGACAATTTATTGTTGGGTTATTCCTAGTAGGTGGGATTGTGCTCTAACTGATGAATGATGACTAGAGAGATGGCAAAATTAGAACTAAGAGCGTGGTGGCTGTTGTGCTCTAACTGGTGACTTGTGAGAGATCCGTTTAGTTAATGAGTTTAGCATTATGATCTCTTGTGAAATTGAAAGGTTTTTGACAACAGTATCCTGTTAGCATGATATATATATGGTGGCTACTTCGGTGCACTCACTTTTTTGGGTGTACAAAAGCGTCTATAATACATCAAATTTTAAACTTTAATTAGTACTCTCAATATAATATGATAATATGACATATAATCATAACAAATCAATCCATTACCATAACCCCTTAACCTTAAATTTTGAATCCCAACCCAAAATCCCAAACTGTAAACCTAAACCCTAACCCTAATTCCCTAAATCCTAAATCCTTCGAATTAAAGTAAATTTTGAATGAATTTTTTTAAAATCCATGTGCTTCTTGTTCATAATATCATAAGCAACAATTGATACCGTTTTCACATGAATCGCATGGTCATAATAACAATTATGAGGCGGGTGCACCCGAAAAAGTGGGTGTACCGAATACGCCACCATATATATATGATTTATTTTCGGGACATTTTCCTGAATCATTGGGTGTCTCTGGAAGATGACATTTCTCTAAATTATAATGTGAGTTATTTAATTAAATAGTTAGTTTACAATGATTTTAAAAGATCTTATTGCAGCCGCCGACAATAACATCTCACTACTCCTATTGAGTATTGATGATATTTCGTCATCAGCAGTCAGCAGTCAGCCTCGATAATTTGCCATATATATCCAACTTGCTAAAAATAGAAGATCACGAACGCGACATTTGAATTAAAAAGATAACTTATTCAAAGTGGATAAAAGATTTAACCAGAGCATTACATTTATTCGTTATTGTTTTGACTCGAACCCAGCTGAAATAAACCAATGAAACGAAACGAAACGGGATACACAAGGTACAAAAACATTTCAAAGGAAATTACACGGCCATGGGAGTAACAAGAAGAGCCATGAGAATATCCTTGGTCCTGGTGCTGGAGTGTGTGTAGCCATCAAAATCCTTGTAGATTGTATCCATAAATCGCACAAGATTAAGGAACACCAGAGGAAGTTGTTTACAAATATGAGAAGGTACATTCGTCAACAACTCCTCGTTCATTATCATCCAGTCCTCTTCCACAATCTCCTTCAATCCATCCACCGCCTCCTGTCTCGACACGCGGTACTGCTTCATGTAACATTCCACAGACGACGCGAAATATTCCAGTTCTCGCTCTTTCTGCATCCGCACGTGCACAAAAAAAGATTTTACGTACCAGGCCCCATACACATATGTGCACACTTATTCACTAGCTAATAAAGATTGGTAACGGACTCGCTCACTCTTATATATACACATGTATTAAACGGAACATATAGGATACATACCATGTTGTCGGCAAGGTCATCTTGGAGGCGACATATGTCGGTCGAAGCGATTAAAATTTCGGGCGAAGAAGCTAACCATTCGAAGTTACTCCTCGGAACCGATTCGCCCAATCCGCAGAGGACGGAGAAAGCTATCCATTCGAAACAAGTGGTCAAGGAAGAAAGATGCCTGTACTCCTCTAGCGTCGGCACAAAACCTTTGTTGGACTGGGAAACCCTTTCTTCTTCCATGTACAACCTTGCTACATTACTGAGCTACAAGATGTACAAAATCAAAGAAAGGATCGTGATTAAAGGGTATTAATAACCGTAGCTGTTTCATCCATTTCATTTTATAAGAACAACATGATTTGATGTATAATAATACCCCTCTTTTCATGTAGTCCAAACACCATGGCCTTCCTTCTTTGCAAGTGACTGCCTCGATTTCGTCATGAATGCCAACCAGTGCGTCGAGAAGGACGATCATATAATCTTTCAGCCCTTTCGCGCTCGTATCCCACCTGTATGTAAATATCAATCCGCACGATCATATCAACTATATAGCGCGTATATTATATTATACCTCAGGTGTACGCTAGTCTTTGTCGTATATAATCTATACGTACCTTTCGATGGCAGCAGTGAATAGGTCGAGATCTTCAATGGTACCGTGAATATCGTATGTGTCATCCAGTAGAGTTCCGATGAGAGTGATTTTGGTAGCGAAGTGTATGGCTAGGGAGTGTTTGGGCTCCCAATAGCATCCTCCTAAAGCCCAGAAGTAGGTCTCCACGAGCTTGTCTCGAGCATAAGGCAGCTTCGCTGGTGTATCCAGCTTAATCCACCACCTGTATCATAAGGTCAGAATGTTTTGCTGAAACTTATAGAAAAATATTTTTCAAAAACCGGTTTTGTTGAAAAGTTATTAGAAGTTCTTTTTTAATATAAGAATTCACGTAAAAAAATACTAAAAATGATTTCTAATATAAATATAATTTAGAAACAAATTAAAAAATAATCAAAATAAACCTTGTTAGATTTCATTTTGTATGACATATATTAGTTTCTAATTTATTTTTTTTTTAAATAAGATGAATGAAAGAAAATTACGTTTTCAGGAAAAAAAAATTTAATAGGGTAAGAACAATCTTGTAGTTCTAAAATAGTTTTTTTTTTTCCAGAAGCTCCGAGCTTCTGCTTTTATGTTACAAAAAGTACTTCTTCAGAATTTTAAAAAGCTGAGCTTATAGATGTGTTTGGCCCAACTTTAGTGTTTGAAGAAGAAAATCATTTCTAAAAGACGGGCCAAACAGACATAGTCTATACATGTGTTTGGCCGCCGTTGTCTTAAACCACATGGTATGAGGAGCCTTTCCAAACTTCAAACCCCTAAGTTGACTTTCATTTGTAGGATGTGCAAGAAAGTAGTTAAGAATCATATATGGATCTCTCCCAACAACTCGAGTTATTGAAACCGATTGGTCTAGCTTAATTACTCAGTGAGTGGGCGCAGTTCATCCTGATACAAGTGCTGCAACACATTGAAGTTCAACTTGGCCAGCTTGAGGAGGACTGGATCGTGGCCCTCGAGATGTACATAGGCAGAAGAGGTGAAGTACAGGTGTTCAACCCTTTCCACGACTTTGAGAAGAGGCCTTTCCAGAGCACGGGTGACTCTTTCAGCAACGTGGGTTTCCATCTCTGCAACTTTGGCTCTTAGGTGTGCAGTGGTGAACTCGATAGCTTCGCCTAATATGCTTTCTTCCCGTGTCCTCAAGTACGCAGCTTCATATAGATTCAACATGCCTTCAATGTCGTCCGTTAACTCTTTCTTGAACCCTTCTCCAGTTTTGAACTTGTTGAACACATCTGCATAGATATGTCAGTAATATCACGACTCACGAGCTAAGCTGGTCGAGAGGAAACTAATTACATGGCGGAAAGAAAAGTGGGTATTGTTTACTGGAGACAAAAGATGGAGTCATCGATCAATGATAATAAATTAATAATAGTAATAACCTGAAACCTTAATTAATCAAGCTACGAACCACATGACGTATTATAACCGTGTTGCCTCAGCAGTCTGAAACGAAGTGCAACAGTGTTGAGATCGTTATCGTCATGAATGTTGTAAATGTTTTTATTTTCATCATAAACTTGTTGGAGAACTTGTTCTATTTCTTTCTCAAAGTGATAACCAACGCCTAATCGCTGCGCCGCGTCGACGAGCCTCAACCTTTCCAGCACATGTTTGATTAATGGATATGATAGCTTCTTCTTTATATTCGACTTCAAGACTTCAATTTCTTCATTCCAGCCGTTCACCACCTGTACGTACCATGACGATGCTTATTTTACTAAGAATTTAGAATCTACCAAACAAAAACTCCTGACTGCGCCATTGACCGCACATATATATATACGATGAGTTTTCGATTCAGAAAGCGCATATAATTAAGATCAATTGTTTACTTCCAATTAATTAATCACTCTAGGTTATAATAGGAGTAAATACAATGGTTTACCTCATCAGTTGCAGGGACGACTTGGGTTATGAAGAAGTCTCCCCACACAGTTGGGTGGTAATTCTTCCATGGATGGGCGCTTTTAGTAGCAGCCATATATAACCTAATCTCTTGCTCTTTTTTTTCTTTCTTCTTTGGGCTAGAACCAACCACTACCACGTTTGGGCTCTGCAAGAAAGCATCCCGCTTCTATATATAGCAAAATTAAACCACTTACCACTACCCCTTAATATAATAATGGGATTTCCTACTGTAACTTGAAGTAAGGTAACTTGAATTTTTTTATCTGCTACGGTAGGTTTCACAGGTCGTATTACGTAAAATATAATAGGCATTACGTAATGGTTACGTAACATATGATAATCTTATGTAACTGTTGTAAAAGATCATTACGGAAGCCTTACGTAATAGAATGTGTCTTTACATAATGAGTATTAACCTCGCGTTACGTAAAATGCTAAGTCATTCCGGAAGCCTTACGTTACGCTACCGATTTAACTGTTACGTAAGAAATAACTATCGTTCCGTAACATTTACGTAATGGAGGGTCTTTTTACGTAATGAGTATTAACTTTGCGTTACGTAAAGTGCTAAGTCATTACGGAAGCCTTACGTAATAGAAGGTCTCTTTACGTAATGAGTATTAACGTCGTGTTACGTAAAGAGCTAAGTTATTACGGAAGCCTTACGTAACGCTTCTAATTCAATAAGAATTAAAAAAGGAAAGGTTAAAATATGGAAAGACAACTAAATGTGAAAAAGGAAAGAAAAAAATAACAAAGGTAACTTAGGAATGTGGTGACCGGCAACCCATGTTGCCATTTATTTTTATACTTATTTTTTATTTCTTTAATCAATGGGTTAAAATAATTTTTGTCAATTTTAACGGTTTAGATCTATGCACGTTACCTAACTTAAAATTATACTCAAGTTACTGTAGGAGATCCCTATAATAATAATCTATATATATATTTACGTTCACACTATCTTATTCTCGTCGAGTTTTACTATTTAAACAACGAATTTACTGAAGTTTGGAGCATGATACTATATCATAACCTCTGTTAGATGAACTCCAATCTCTAAAATTATAACTCGATTAATAAGTGTTTGTGGCCCATAAAATTAGGGTGGTTGTCGGATGGGTCATTGTCCACAAATCTAGGTCCTAATTATCTAAATCATATACCCTAAGATCAATTTAATTAGAAACAATAATCGACGGTTGTGATTCGTCCAAATATAGGCAAAAAATCAATGCACCATCTTAGGGTTTATAGTTTCTGATTTAGATAATTAGGACCTAGTGTTCAGTCATTAAGAGTTAGGGTATTGTATCATGCCCAAAAATCCTGCTAATTCGAAGTATAGATAGCATTTCAAACTCAAGGCATGCGGTACCCCGGATTTCACCCGGGGTACCGTAGAAGGCACCATATAAAAATCAATGTTCAAGAAGATGTTAGGCGCTATCTAGGCAAGGAGGCACCGCCCAGCGTCCAGACTGATTAGTCGTTTCCTAGGCGAGATTAAACGTTGAAAAAAAAATATGATAGATAAGTTATATTCCACAAAAACCCAAGTCGTCATATCATTATTCATCCATTCATATACCGTATATACGTACACATACAACCCTTTTCCACAATCTCAAACATCTCAAGTCGCGCGCCAACCATGAGGAGGGATCTCGCTGCTGGTCGATGAGGGGGAGCGCCTGCTCGAATGGAAATAAGAAATAGGATAAGATTTGTGATTTTTACCCCCCCCCCCCCCATTAGTTGTTCTGGGCGTCGCCCACTAGAGTGAAAACGCGTGTTCGAGTGCCTAGGCGCCAATATGGCGTTTTCCATGTAGATTAATCGTTTAGCATGCCTAGATCAATCACCCAGAACTATACGGGATGATTTCTTCCTGCCCAGCTATTAATCGCGCCTAAAAGATAATTAGTTAAAAAAAAATTCGCTTGACCTACAACATAAACTATATGTCCACTATTAATAAAACCTACTTCATAAATTTTGGGACAACTACACAAAACTACATCTTTAATTATGGGTAACTCCTCCCTTCTGTCTATAAAATACTATTAATCCTTCTATATTAATCCTTCTATTATTGTCGCACGTTGTATTGCCAAAGAAGCAGTTGATCGTCTTTGTCTTCTTAGAGGAACGTATTAAATGCTAAAAACCAATTACACTTGCGCTAGGAAATTTAGGCAAAACATAATCCATGTTTGGCCCGATTTTTAGAAGTGGTTTTTGACTTCAAAAGTCGAAGCAGGGTCAAACACCTTTAAAAGCTCGACTTTTGAAAAGCTGAAAAGTGCTTTTGTATAACATAAAAGCAGAAGCTCCGATTTGGAGCTTCTGCAAAAATCTGTTTTGAAAATACAAGATTATCTTTACCATATTTTAATTTTATTTCATAAAATATAATTTTTCCTCATTTATATCATTTTAAAAATAAAATAAATTATAAAATCATATTATTTAATATAAAAGAAATCTAACAAGATCCATTTTGACTACTTTTTATTGTTCAGAGTTTTTATTCATATTTTATATTATAAGTCCTTTATATTCATTTTACACAACCTCTCATTAAAAAGCACTTCTAATAGTTTTACAACCAAACACTCAACTGCTTTTTTTGAAAAGTACTTATCTAAAAGCTCCAGCCAGAAGCTGCTTCTGCAAAAGCTACAGTAGGGCCAAACTAAGCTAATAGATTACGTTTCTGATTTACAACGTCACTAGTTTTTTTTTATAATTCAAATTATTTATTTATTTATGATACGGTGAGATCTATTTCATCAAAATTAAATCACCAGCAAACCGCCTTCTTAGCTGGGCAAATCTCCAAGAGATCAAAATAATAATTGTTAGTAAATGGTATAAGATCCTCAGTTGAAATTCTCACAACAATTCGAGTTATTGAAACCAACTGGTTCATGACATTGTATTAGAGTCTTCTGTGATAGAGAGATCTTCACTCTCTTCAGTTCACTCATATATTCAGTTGAACACATTGTTTCTGATACCTAGGCAAACTTCAAGCACAAATAAAGGATTGTTTTTCATTCAATCGCTCTATCTTGAGTGCATGCGCGGTACGTACTTCAATTGTTGGTTCAATGGAGGATTATTTGATTTATTTCTATAATTGTCCTTCCTTCCACGAGGAGGAAACCCGCCCCATTGCCATCCTATCTGTGACCCTTCTGCATCCAATTGGCCGACTAACCGTTAGTAACCGACTGTAAGTCTCCTTCCTTCCACGAGGAGGAGCAAACCTGCCGCAACTGTTGCCGGAAGACTTTGCGCCGCCGGCCGACGAGCCTTGGAGTACTGGTGGAGGAAGGAAGGAGAGAAGAAGAAGTGGTTTGGTGGTCGTGAGTGAAATGGTGGAGGAAGGAAGGAGAGATGAGGAGATAAGGATTGAGATGAGTGATGCATAATTTTATTTTATTTTTTTTTTTTTATAGAAAATGTAGTTTTTCGGTTGGCCGGCTAATCGAGCCTAAAACCGAAACCGACCGATTGGTTGGCCGGCTAACCGTGACCTCTCTCACGGTCGGTGGTCGACAGCTATAGGGAGTGGCTCGATTTAACCGATAATCGGGTTTTTGGTTTTCGGTTAAATCAAAACCGACCGACTGCCACCCCTAGAAAAAATCCCTAGCTCTAAAATCAAAACCCCTTTTCCCAACTCCTCGCAACACCTAGCTCCCGACGTCTTCTCCCAGATCCAAATCCTTGCCGCCGTCGCCGATCATCCTCAGCAATGTCCCCAGATTGACAACGTGGTTTGAATCTGCCGCTGCCATTTGAGGAGTTTCCGTCGACATCTCCGCCCAGGAAACAAAGATGGGCCACTGTTATCGTGATACGCTAGATGGGATGGAAGTTCGGCTAACGTTGCCGCCCTCTCGCAAATCGATTATCTGTTAAAGGCTCTATATCATCGGTCATCTTCAACCTTCAAAGACATCCATATCTACTAAATCGAGCCCTCTCTCAATTCCAGGCAAAAGCTTTTCTCCCGACCTCTTCTCCTAGATCCAGACCTTTTCCGCCGTCCCAAGCATCTTCAGTGACGTCCCCGGTAAAGTAGTTTGAAGTTATCGTTCAAGGTTTTGTACCGGTGTCCTGGCCCAGTAAGCAAAGGTAGTGTTTGAAGTTGTCTATCCCAAACACGCCATTGTTCAAGTCTCTTTTGTCGCATCACTCCTCCAGCTTGGTTGCTAACACGCCTAAAAGATAAAATATAAGGATCAGACCTTTACAAGATAGATCTAACAATATAAAACTCATGCACATGTGCACAAAAAAGTTTATAAATCTATAGCAAGCTAAACCATTGAAGCAAACCTTAAGATATGCTTTTGAGCTAATGAAATATTATTGACGACTATATTTTATTCATCACAATTAATGGTGGCACCATTTTTTCCCTCCAAAAAAATGCTTTAGTGACGAGTGTTCTTGTCTTTACCGATGGGTTGTATATTTGTCACAAATACACAACTATTTGACGAAACATTACCGATGACAGTAAAAAAATTTGTCACTAAAAGTCACTTTAGTGATGAATTTAAACTGTCGTCGCTGAATTTCATCACTAATGACCAACTTTTTGTAGTGCCTTTGTACGCACCCCTTCATTTTCTATGCATAGTACCATATCCCCTCTAGTTTTGATGACGAGAAACACACGTTTTTCAGGTACCAAAAACTCTGCTAAAATCCAAAACTAGTTTTTCTACGTACATTCTTTTCAAAGAGAAAATCGAGTCAAGTATGGTTCTCGCCGGTTCGCTGCGATCGATGGGTTCCGGGGTTTGAGGTACCGCTACGCCGAAAAAGGTACGTCCATTCTATTATGGGAGGGATGAATCATTCCATAATTTTGGGTACTAGAGGGGAATAAGATTCTTTAAGGAGAGATAGTGAATTCTATCGGCTAGGACGCTTGCATGTGTCTTTGCATGTTTTCTTAATCTTATGTGTTTGTTTGTGTTGCAAGAAAATAGTATATGTGAACAATTTCCACAACAACATCGAGCAAGCCACTCTTGCTCCAAAAAAGGCCTCTCCAGAAAATCGTGGAGAAGCTGGAGCAACTTATTTTCATCAATGAAAAGCTCAAGGGCCACGATAAAGCCCTTTTCAAATTAGCCAACTTGAATCTTAATATCTTGCAGAACTTGTATCAAACTAAGCTATTACTCCTCAAGTTAGCCAACTTGAATCTTAATATTCATTCAAGGTAATGCTACTGTTGTCCTATGCACACTAAGGAGTCAATCTTAATATGTATGGTTTACCAGCTCCTTTGTGCAAATTTTGCAGTGGGTGCTACAAAGAGGAATGCTACATGAAGCAGCAAGAACATGCCGGTTCGGCCGTGGAATGTTATATGGATGTTGACACCTAAAATTAATTTGGCCTAAATTAAATGCCGCATTAATTAGTCTCGGCATTTAATTCGATACCGCGGGTAAAAAACGGTGTCGTTTGGAGTTTAGCGGCGTCGTGGAGAGTTAAAACGGTACCGCGAAATAGAAAAACGGTACCGCAAGGAAGCTCACCGGTACCGCGACAGTGGAAACGACAATGTTTATCAGAAAACAGGATGGGGCCGCGCGCGTAGTATTGGTGTTGGAAAAGGAGTTATTATTATTATTATTATTATTATTATTATTATTTTATTTTTATTCCTTGTGGGAAGGGGAGAAGCGGTACCGCATGGAGACAAGCGGCACCGCGGAGAGTTAAAACGGTGCCGCAAGGAGGCTCAGGGGAACCGCGACATTGGAAACGACACCGTTTACCGGGAAGCAAGATGTGGGCCGCGTGTTTGGTATTGGTGTTGGGGAAGGAGTTTTGATTATTATTATTAATTATTATCTTTATTCCTTGTCGGAAGGGGAAAACCGGCACCGCATGGAGACAAGCGGTACCGCGGAGAATTAAAACGGTACCGCAGATTTGAAAACGATGTCGCGAGAGCCTCGTAAGCGGTACCGATTAATTAAACCAAAATTCGCATAGTCCAATGCGAGCGCCGATTGGCGGTGGTTCCATGGAATTTGTCTCGACTATATCAGCGGTGTCGTTTAAGTTCAAAACAGTGCCGCGAGTAGGCCCAACGGTGCCGTTGTACTAGCAAACGACAGTGTTTAAAATAACAAACAATGTCGCGAAAGGAAAAGCAAACGGAGCCGTTTTGGCGCTAATGATGTCGTTGGTCAACACGCGTATTTGACTTGTGATGGCCGGATTAATCAATTAATATTTTAATGACTGTTTGGGACGGTGTCGTTTAGTTGAAAAGCGATGCCGCGGAAAAGTAAAACGACACCGCGGTAGTGGTAAGAGTTCGGCCAAAGGCAGCCCGCCAAGCCCAACGACGGCGCAAGAGTATAGAACGACGTTGTTTGATGGACTAACAATGTCGTTGGTTAAACCGGGTCGGGGCAGTTGAGTTGGATTATAAAACGACATCGGTAGGTGAAAGGCGATGTCGTGGTATTGGTGAAACGTCATCGTTACATGGATAAGGTTGTAAGTCGTTTCGCCAATTTCTGCAAAGCAAGAGCGGTTTCGAGGGCACGTGATTATCACGCAACAAGGAGGAAGTTACCTGCACGGTTGACAGGAATGAAGACGTGGGAGACAAAGGCGCCAAGGCAGTTACTACGACGGGGAGAAGCGCGAAGTATAAAGATTGGGAAGAGAGAGAAGCTCGGGACGGCAAAATCAATTACAACTGCATCGTCGCAGAATTTATCTTTTTTTTCTCTCTCTAGTTCGTAGAACTGCTCTGTCAAAGACCTCCTTTGCAGAGTCGTAGATCGTAGCTCGTAGTCGTAGTTGCGGAGCTCTCCAGAGGAACCTCCATAGGAGTAGAGGTAACGTAACTTAGAACACTCCTGGTTCGATTTCTGGTTATTCGTCGAACACCCTCGTTCGAACGTAGTTTGGAGAGGTGGTGAACCGAATAACGGTTGTTTGATTAGAAGTCAAAGGTGTATCGATCAAATCAACATCGTCGTCGCCGGTGGTGGATATTTGACGGTCGTCCTGATTTCTGTTTTAATCGGTCAAATCAACGTCGCCGACATTCGGCGGCGGATATTTGACGGTTTTTGCTGACTTTGTGTTTGTGCTTACTTGAAAACAGTGCGCATTGAACACGCGAGTTTCGCCAACGAAACAATGGAGCAGCATGACCATAGTCGCTTCGGCCGTTGAGTGCTATATGAAACAACACGACCGTGTTTCTTCGTCCGGACAGTGCTACATTAAGCAATATAACAATGTTACTATATCAGTAGAGTGTTATATGAAGCAACAAATTCCACCCGCCGCTCCATCCGTGGAGTGGTACTGTTACCAAGGTTGTCAACTCGCGGGGTCGATCTGCCGGTTGACCTACTTTGACTCTAATCTGGTGAGAAAATTGGGTTACACACACCCGCCGGGTCAACTGCTGCAAGGTATCGTGTTGGAGGTTAAATTGTGTCATTTTTTCTTCTTCTTTGATTTGCGAAATGCGCCTATTTTCCAATTTTGCTTTTCGCCTAATCCAAATTTGGGTGTAATGTTATAAGTTATTACTCAAATCTTAGATGGGATTTGATATAATTTATAAATGTATGAACACTATAATGACTTTTTCATATATCCGAGATAAATCGAGCTAAAATGGTCGGACCATTAACCCTCACCAGACAGCAACTTGTAACACCCTTCCCACCACTTATCAACAAATCTGAGAGACCAAGTAGTAAGTGTAGAAATACTTGGCTTCATTCTTGGTCACTGTCCGGCGAGACGTCATTGGAGATCTCTTGGGCTCCAAAATCTTCACCCGCCATTTTTAATTAAGCTGTGACACCACAATTACTGACTAAATGACTACTTGAAAATGTAGTTTCCTACATTATTGTGTATAACTGCACTACCTATATACTACGGATTGTGATTGAATGAAAAACTATCCACCCGTCCAAGAGGACAAGAAAAGGATCACAATTTTTTTCTATATGTAGAGCAAGATAGATCAACAATTATAGAAATAATCCTCCGTTTAAATCAATAGTTGAAGTTAAGTAAAACAATTAGGAATTAAATGCACCATATTAATTATTTGTTTTTTTTTTCAAATTAAAACCTACACTAAATACATTTTCTCTCACTATATTTGATTTTTTCTTTTTCAGCAGTCTCCGACCACCAGACTTCCTCCGACCGCCACACTTCTCTGGTGAAAATCCCATCGGCGGACTCCCTCCGACCACCTCCAAAAAATATACCACTACACTGATACGTTGTACCACTGTACTGGTAGATATACCACTGCACTGGTAGTGATATCAGTGCATTGGTAGCAATGTCATATCTGAGTATCAGTGCAGCGGTACATATACCAGTAAAGTGGTACAACATATCAGTGCAGTGGTATATTTTTGCATGTGACCGGAGAGAGTTTGTCGGCAGATTTTACCGGCGAAGTGTGGTGGTCGGAGGAAACTTGGTGGTCGGAGGCTGCTCGGAAAGGAAGAATCAGAGATAGGAGTGAGAAAGATCAAAGATGAGAGAGAGAATTGTATTTTGTATATGTTTAGATTTTTTTAAAAAACAAGTAATTAATGTGGTGTATTTAATGCTTACTTTGTATTTAATAACAAAACATTTATTATGTTTACTTTCATTAATACTTGTCAATAATTAATGAAAAATTGACCAATTAAAAGGGGGGTGTCAAAAAACCAACCCCTTAAGGGGTTAGCATGCTAACCCGTCCCTTACAAAATGTAATCTCTGACCGTTCAGATTTGGCTGACAGCTTATTATGATCGCAGATGAGAGATAGAAGCTCTTTCTACTAGTCGTCAAATTAATGTTGCTTTTTTTAATCATCAATTTTTTCTTAATCAGGTCATATCTCATTCGTTTTAATTCATAATTTAAAAAGAAGATTTGCATAGAAATGATGCATTAATTAAGGTCTACACAATGATATTCATTTCGTTATGTTTTAAGCAAGAAAAATATTTGATTTTCAATACACGTGTTGATTGTAGTATTGTCACTATCATATATGTCATATCATGGTCTTATCACTATGATCATACTAAATGCACATTATATCGCTATCATATCTTGATATTTCCACTATTATAGTGATATTATCATGATAAGACATTAAATATGATGCCATCAAATTATTTCGTTAAACATAATACCCTATACTAACATCATATCATTGTATTATCATTATATCATAGTGATAATATTACGATATGACAATGATATATTGTCATGAAATAATTTTTTTCAAATATAAAACGTAATATCAACATGATATCACTATTATATCATACTACTGTGAGTGGTAATATCATGATATAGCAATAGTACGATGGCGACGCATGCATGCATGAATGTTTTTCGCATTGCACCTTGGCATCATTGTAGGTCATTGTCCGGTGAGACGCCAATTGGAGATCTTTTGGGCACCAAAATCTTCACCCGCCATTTTTAGCTAAGCGTGAGCGTGACACCCGTCTAAGAAGACACAAGAGATCAACAATAACAGAAAGTGGGTAATATCAGCTATTATGTCTTTTGCCTAAATCTCCTTTCAAGACAAGGACAATTATATAGAAATAATCCTCCCTCAAACCAATAATTGAAGTCAAATAATGGTATTTGGTTATAGTAAGAGGGTCAAGGATTCTCTCTAAAATGTTGATAAATTTTTTAACCTCCGAATAGTATGTGAAAACTAGACCTACAAGTTAATAAAATGAATTATATAAACTACGTACATTTTCATTTATTTCTCATCAATTTTGTATAATAAGCTATATTGATTGTTATATATAAGTTTTAAAAGAACAAGCTTCCGAATTTCATATGCCTAATCAAATATCAAAGATACTGCTCATTCATTCTAGAAACAGCAATTTTTATAATAAAAAAAATTTGTGGATTATTCTAGTGGTACTAATTGAATGTTCTAAATATAGCTTGTCTCGCCATATGATATAACCCGCTTTCTATCATTGTCGATCTCTCCTGCTCTACGTATAGAGAAATTGTGATCCTTTTCTTGTCCTCATGGACGGGTGGATTGTTTTTCATTAAATCACAATCCGTAGTAGGTAGTGCACTTGTACAATAATGTAGGAAAACTACATTTTCAAGTAGGGTAAATTATATTATTGGTCACTTAAATTATACAAATCTTTCACGCTTGCCATTCGAATTACTTTTCTTTCTTGTTCGTCACTAACTTTACGAATCAATTAACCGTTAGTAACCGACTGTAAGTCTCCGTCAGATTTCATTAACTCCGTCAATTTTTGATGACGTGGCTTGATTAATGGTGGTGGTTGGGGAAATGGCGTCGGATCTGGAGGTGAAAATGTGATGGATGGGCAGAGCCACGCAACCAGTCAAAATTGGTAAGCCAGCGAGTGATTCAAGATTTGTCAGCGCATTAAAAGGAGCGAAAGTAACTGTATTGAATAGATTATGGAGATAAAGCCGCTTACATCCTGTGTGTTCTTTTGGCCAGCTTCAAGCTCCATAAATTTACTTGAGGATTTCTCCATGAACTGCTCGATGTTTGTGAACTTATTAGCACTACAAGTGGCTAGAGAACCCACCAGATCTCGTAAATCGGCCATCGGATCGCTCTGTAATGGGACTGCGGGAGCTGCACCTAGGGCTGTCAACCGGTCGGTTTCGGTTTAACCGAAAACCGATTTCTCGGTTTTCGTTTAAACCGAGACCAGGTCAGCCCTTATCGCCGACCGACCCTGGCCATCGGTTATCCGTAAAACCGACCGGGCGGTTTTGGTTAATGCTCGGTTAACCCGTCGCAACCGAAATAGAAGGGGACTGGCAGCGGAAAATCTCATCCACAACATCAATTATTCAATCTTACATTATCACTTTCTTCTCTCTGCTGTTCTGTTCTGTTCTGGAATTTTTTTTCTTGTTTTGGTCGAAACCCTGCTGTTCTGGACTCTGGCGGGTGGCGGAGTAGAGGGTGGCGGCGATTGGAGGGTGGTGGCGGGCTGGCGGCGACGGATTGGTAACTGGCGGCGGCGATTGGTGACTGGCGGCGCGATTGGAGACTGGCAGCGGGCTGGCGGCGATTCGTGACTGGCGGCGGGCTGGCGGCGATTGGTGACTAGCACGGCGACTGGAGGCGCGGCCGACGACTGGAGGCGCGGCCGACGACTAGAGGCGCGGCCGGCGATGGCGTGCTGGCGGCGGCTGTGCTCTGGCCGACGACGATGGCGACTCTGGTCAGTGGAGCTGCTTCGAAAGGTCGGAGAAGATGAGGAGGAGAAAGGAAAACGAGAGGGCAAATGGGTCTGGCGGCTGTCCACGATTGACCCGAGTGGCTAGGGTTAGGTCGTTTCTCACTTGCCAAAACGACGTCGTATAGGACGGTCGGTTAGCGCCGGTTAGCCGGTTAACCGGCTTCGGTTACTCGGCTAACCGTCCGCCCAGAACCACTTACCGCCCACCGACCGAGCCAGCTTTCCTTCGGTTTTTGGTTAGCCGCTAACCGGCGGTTACCGGTTAGACCGACTGGTTAGCCGCTATGCGGAAACCGAAATGACACCCCTAGCTGCACCTGACTGCTGAAATGGCCTCATCTGTGACTGAGGAGGAACTTGCCCCTGTCTGGGCGGATAGATAGGTTGTTGATGTTGCTGCAATTGCCCCTGCCTGGGCTGGTAGGGTGGTCTCTAGAAGCCTGGAGGTCCTTGGGAGGCTGGTGACTTGGGATTATTTCCACTCCAGGAGAAGTTGGGATGTTGGCGCCACCCCTCGTTATAGGTGTTGTTGTAGGGGTCGAAACACCTAGCATTGCCGATGAAGTCCAACTGCTCATGGGGTATAGTTGACTCCCTCATCGCCTGACAGTCTTCTACAGTATGGTGAGAGCTCTCACACCACTGGCAACGCATTACCTGCTGATATCCTGTCCTTAGAACCATCTCAGAACGATCAATAGCCAAGACCAGCTTAGACACAACCTGCACCAACTCAGACGACTAGGTGGTTACAACATGCACACCCCAACAAAGTAAAATACATGTCATATTTTTTACGGTACTTACACGTACCATATTTTACTAACTATACTAGAAAGGAATAACCACGGTAGAATAAAAAAATAAAAATACGAGTGCTGTGACGTAGGATTATCTCTCTATTATTGTTGCTTATAACTTTCATTAATTTTGAAGTTATTAGGTCAATAATTGTGCTGATAATATGGTTAATTAACCCGGAAAGTGAGGCATAGAGATTTTGAAGCTATCAAAAGAGATGTACTAGGCTACTAGCTATGACGTGTGCCCGGACGATGACCCCAGAATCAAGCCAAGAAGCAATGCTATTTAAAAACCTTATATTGTTTTTTTTTTTCATAGATAATGGTCTTATATTGTTACCACTTGGACCACCAGTTGATCGATGGTTGCTATAATGTAAAATCATATTATCTGCCGAAAGTCACGATATATGAGTTTATACATATTTGTTTTATTGTATTGGATTTGGTCTGTAATAGAGTTCGGTGTCTGTCATAGATATATATTGTTGACACCTAAAATTAAGTTGGCCGGAATTAAATGCCGCAGTAATTAGTCTCGGCATTTAATTTGATATTGCAGGTAAAAAACAGTGTCGCATAGAGACAAGCGGCATCGCGAAGAGTTAAAACGATACCGCGAAATAAAAAACGGTACCGCAAGGAAGCTCAGCGGTACCGCGACACTGGAAACGACACTGTTTGCCGGAAAACAAGAGGTGGGCCGCGTGTGTAGCATTGGTGTTGGAAAAGGAGTATTTTATTTTATTTATTCCTTGTCGGAAGGGGAGAAGCGATACCGCGTGGAGTCGAGCGGTGTCGCGGAGAGTTAAAACGATACCGCGAAACAGAAAAGCGGTACCGCAAGGAAGCTTAGCGGTACCGCGACACAGAAAACGACACCGCCGGAAAATAAAAGGGGCCGCGCGTTTTAGTGTAGGTGTCGGGAAAGGGGAAAACCGGCACCACATGGAGACAAGCGGTACCGCGGATAATTAAAACGGTACCGCGGATTTAAAAACGATGCCGCGAGAGCCTGGTAAGCGGTACCGATTAATTAAACCAAAATTCGCATAGTCCAATGCGAGCGCCGATTGGCGGTGGTTCCATGGAATTTGTCTCGGCTATATCAGCGGTGGCGTTTAAGTTCAAAACAGTGTCGCGAGTAGGCTCAACGGTGTCGTTGTACTAGCAAACGTCAGTGTTTAAAATAACAAACAATGTCGCGAAAGGAAAAGCAAACGGAGCCGTTTTGGCGCTAATGATGTCGTTGGTCAACACGCGTATTTGACTTATGATGGCCGGATTGATCAATTAATATTTTAATGACTGTTTGGGACGGTGTCGTTTAGTTGAAAACGATGCCGCAAGAGGAAAGAAACGACACCGCGGATTATAAAGCAGTGCCGCGAGTAGGCCAAACGATGTCGCAACAGTTAAAACGACAGTGTTTAAAATTAAAACAGTGTCGCGAAGCTCAAAAGTTCAACAACATCGCGGGACAAGGAAACGATGTTGTTTAACTAAGAACGACGCCGAGGAGTGAAAGTTTGACGGCGAGTTAACAATGAGGGCTGGTTTAATTAATTAGTATTTTATGATTATTTTAGACGGTGTCGTTTAATGAAAAGCGATGTCGCGGAAAAGTAAAACGACACCGCGGTAGTGGTAAGAGTTCGGCCAAAGGCAGCCCGCCAAGCCCAACGACGGCGCAAGAGTATAGAACGACGTTGTTTGATGGACTAACAATGTCGTTGGTTAAACCGGGTCGAGGCAGTTGAGTTGGATTATAAAACGGCATCGTTGGTGAAAGGTGATGTCGTGGTATTGGTGAAACGTCATCGTTACATGGACAAGGTTGTAAGTCGTTTCGCCAAGTTTCTGCAAAGCAAGAGCGGTTTTGAGGGCACGTGATTATCACGCAACAAGGAGGAAGTTACCTGCACGGTTGACAGGAATGAAGACGTGGGAGACAAAGGCGCCAAGGCAGTTACTACGACGGGGAGAAGCGCAAAGTATAAAGATTGGGAAGAGAGAGAAGCTCGAGACGGCAAAATCAAATCACAAACTGCACCGTCGCAGAATTATCACTTTTTCTCCGTAGTTTTGTAGAACCGCTCTGTCAAAGACCTCCTTTGCAGAGTTGTAGATCTTAGCTTGTAGTCGTAGTTGCGGAGCTCTCCAGAGGAACCTCCATAGGAGTAGAGGTAACGTAACTTAGAACACTCCTGGTTCGATTTTCTGGTTATTCGCCGAACACCCTCGTTCGAACGTAGTTTGGATAGGTGGTGAACCGAATAACGGTTGTTTGATTAGAAGTCAAAGGTGTATCGATCAAATCAAAATCGCCGACATCGGTGGTGGATATTTGACGGTCGTCTTGATTTCTGTATAATCGATCAAATCAACGGCGGCGGATATTTGACGATTTTGCTAACTTTGTGTTTGTGCTAACTTGAAAACAGTGCGCATTGAACACGCGAGTTTCGCCAACGAAACAAATTGGCACACCTGGTGGGACTCAAACCCACAATCGTTTGATTAGAAGTCAAAGGTGTATCGATCAAATCAACATCGCCGACATCGGTGGTGGATATTTGACGGTCGTCTTGATTTCTGTATAATCGATCAAATCAACGACGCCGACATTCGGCGGCGGATATTTGACGATTTTGCTGACTTTGTGTTTGTGCTTACTTGAAAACAGTGCGCATTGAACACGCGAGTTTCGCCAACGAAATATATATACACATTCTCAATTTTTGTTCTCAATTTAGCGTTGCTATCATGTAAACTCATATTATCTGCCGGCGAATGAAAGCCACGATATATGAGTTTATAAATATTTGTTTTATTGTATTGGATCTGGTCTGTAATAGGGTTTGGTCGTACGTCATAGATATATATACTCATTCTCAATTTTTGTAATCTGTTCTTCTCAAGTATAGTGAATCTGGTCTATCCTGCCAGTGAATTAGCTATAACACACATCATGTTAGTGAGCCACGTAAATATGTATAATTTTTATTTTCTTGCATTTCGATCTCCCAATCCATTACAACATTTAGGGGTAAGATATTTTATATTGAAATCGTGATTCAACCATTACTTACCGTTAAAAACCTTCTACCATCAGTTTAAATTCTGGCATAAGATTTTCTCGGTTGAACCGTCTGCCGATTGAAACTCTTGACTTTTATATATAGGAGCAGAACCTGCATCAAGTGATGCCATAATTCAAATTGGTATCAAAAAGAGGGAGAAAGAAAGGTTCGATAATGGATGTGCAGCATATGATCATCCCCTTCTTCAACACCATCCTGGTCATCGTCTTCCTAACCACCATATTCCTCACTGCACTTAAAAGTCTGAAAAGGTCAAAGAAGCCGCCGGCGTCGTCGTCTGGCCCACTACCTCCGGGGCCATGGAAGCTGCCCATAATCGGAAATCTGCACCAGATGGTTGGGCCGCAGCAACCGCACCGCCGACTGATGGACCTGGCAAAGAAGCACGGCCCAATCATGCACCTCCAGCTCGGGGAAACCTCCAACGTCATCGTCTCTTCCCCTGAGCTCGCCAGCGAGTTCCGCAAAACCCACGACCTCAACTTCGCCTCCAGGCCCATGTTCCCCATCGCCAGGATCCTGTCGTACGGCGGCCGGAACGTTTCGTTCGCGCCCTACGGCGAGTACTGGCGGCACGTGAGGAAGGTTTGCACTCTGGGTCTGCTGAATGCCAAACGGGTTGCTTTTTTCCGGCCAGTTATGCAGGACGAGATGGCCAAGTTGGTCACCTCCATACAGCTGCAACAACAGGTAGGTGACATTCAGTAAATACTCCGTTTTAATATGCGTGAATGTAAGGATGGATGTAGTTACGTATCTTGTACAGGTTAGGTTAGATTCTCTATTTCCGTACTATTATCAAATCGTTTTATTTTTCTCCGCCCATTTGATGGCTGACTCTCATATTAAACGTGGGTGGCCAATAAGATGTGTTGGGACTTGGGACCAGTGGCGGATCCAGGAATTCTTTATAAGGATATCCTCTTGCAAAAATTAAATTTAAGTAAAATTTAAATTTAATAATTCATAAATCAGAAAATATCCTACTAGTGAAAATATATCATATTAGACAATAATTCACGAACTGATCGCATATTCGATTTCTAACTTTGTTCTTGATGTAACTCAAACTTGAAAGACTCTTTCAATTCTTGCAGTATACCTATAAAATCAATTCAAATTAAGGATAGCTCGAATGAGTTTAATTCTTAGGTTTTTAAAATATTTGGGAATAAAGAATAGTGTTTTACTATTACATAGTGTTTAAATTAGAACAACAAATGAGTTGCAACCTAGAGAATATGTTCAATAATAGTAGTGTCCTAGGTTTTAATAACACAGAGTACTACTTATATATTTATAATATCATGCGCAAACTACTACCAAGGACAGGATAATCATTTTTTCAAAATTTAAGGGTGTCCCGGATTACCAATAATTTTTTTTTTATCCATACAAAACTACTACCTAGGGTTGGATAATCGTTTTCCCAAATTTTAGGGGTGTCCTAGGACTGGGAGGCCCTTCTGAATATTAAGGAGGCCTCCAACTGGGTTTGTTAGTTAATTTCATCGTATACTGTATTGGTTGTATTTGTGGTGTACGATTAATGGATTACTATTTATGATAATGCCAGTGCTAGTCATTGGTAGACAAGAGGCACTTGTAAATTGTAATGAATGTTAAAGTTCTACTAGCTTAGTAGGTATAAAATGCAAAACTTACTCGCGCGCTCGCTACCGTATTTTACTAACTATATTTTTTTGCAGGTTGTTTTAAACATTAGCCGCATGCTGATGTCGGTGGGGATCACCATCATTTCAAGGGCGGCTTTTGGGAAGCTGCAGAAGCAAGAGGAAGCCTTCTTACCAGTGTTGCACGACATAACAGAGGCGTTTGGAGGATTTGATGTGGGGAGCGTATTTCCGTCCAGCAAATTCCTACGCCGACTAATCGGAGCCGAGAGACGGGCACACAAGATTCACCAAGAAGCAGATGCCATCCTGCAAGCTATAGTCGATGAGCATATAGCAAGGGCAGGAGGAGCTCAACAAGATCACGACGTTGTTGAGGCTGCGGAAGATCTTGTCGACGTGCTTTTGAAGTACAGAGAGAATCCAGAACTCGGATTCCCTTTCACTAATGTCGAGATTAAAGCTGTCATCATGGTAAGTATATATGTCTTCGATAGAAAGTTAATTGTATATATAAGATCAACCTTTGAGCTAATTAACAACTCGATTTATTGGGAGATCGACCAACTGGCGGTGCTTGACATGGTATTATAGTCTTAATTTTGTGGCCGCGAGAGGTTTTTCTGTTTGAATTCCGACCAGTTAATGAAACTTCAATTCTATATAAGTGACTTGGGTTTGAAAGAGCATGTTAGTATGTGGCGTTACTGTTACTGTTCGTCCCCGAGTACCATAGAATTTAATTTCTTTATGAAAACTTATACACATTTTTTTTTTATGAATGCCCGCGCAGGACATGATTCTTGGTGGCGGTGAAATAACAGCTACGACCGTGTCATGGGCTATGTCAGAACTGATGAGACATCCGCATATCTTAGAGAAAGCAAACAAAGAGGTGAGACGAGTTTTCGATGGGAAAGGAACAGTAGACGAGGCAGGGTTTGCCGAGCTAAACTATCTCAAATCAATTTTGAGAGAAACTCTAAGGCTACACCCTCCCGCCCCTCTGTTAGTTCCTTTAGAATGCCAGGAAAGGGTTGTGATTGCGGGATACGACATACCCAAAAAAACAAGGGTCTATATCAATGTGCTGGCTATCGGCCAAGATTCTCGTCACTGGGCCGAACCTCAAGAGTTTTGTCCGGAAAGATTTCTCGATCGTCCGGAAGCCAGCGACTACAAGGGAACATGTTTTGAGTACATCCCATTTGGCGCGGGGAGAAGAATGTGTCCGGGGATCCTCTTCGGCATGACTTTTGCCAAAATTATGCTTGCCAATCTGCTTTATCATTTTGATTGGAAACTCCCGAACGGAATCAAGCCTCAAGATCTCGACATGTCTGAACGTTTTGGCATTACCGTGACAAGGAAAAATGATCTGCATCTCATTCCGATTCGCTGTCACCCTAAAACAGTGTAATCGTACTTTATGGCCATTAAATCATTTGTACCAATAACTTGTGGCATTTCTTTCCCTGATTAACTAGCATGTTCTTCAGCCAATTAGTACAACAACTATTTTCTTTCTCATCGTCCTTCGAGTCATACTTCGGGTCAAGGGATACACACATAGAGAGGGAATCGACTATTCGGACACATTTGCTCTCATGGTCAAAATTATTACAATGAGAGGTTGTTTTTAACAGCTAGTTGCTTCAATAAGAAATTGACATTTTCATCAGTTGGACATTAACAATGCATTCCTATATGGTGAACTCAACAAAGTTGTTTATATGAAGCTTCCTCCAAGTGTTGTCAGTCCTCCCATCCCAATGATGTGTGCAAAATCAACAAGGCACTATATTGACTAAAGCATGCTTCTCGACAATGTTTTTCAGAACTTTCAGACAGTCTGATTAAAGAAGGATATATGCATAGTATGGTTGATCATTCACTCTTCACTAGAGTTACTCGCACATCTTTCACAATAACTCTTATTTATGTTAATGACATGATAGTTGGTGGAGATCATCTGGTAAAGATAGCTCGCATTTAAGGTCATCCCTTCATCATACCTTCATCATTAAGGATCTTGGTAACCTCAAGTATTTCCTTTGACTCGAAGTTGCTTGTAGTCCAAAGGGTTGCTTGTAGTCCAAAGGGAATCCATCTCTCACAGAGGAAATATTTGGTGTCAAACAAGTCACCACTCCAATGGATTACAAAACTCACTTACAGGTTGAAGATGATATTGATCTTGTTGATGTCATTGCTTAAAGAAGCTTATTAATTGGTAAGCTCACATACTTAACCATAACTTGTCTTGATTTAAGCTTTGCAAATCAACAAGTCAGCTAATCCATGTGCCCTCCTACTATCACTCATCAGAAAGTTGTCACTCGCATTCTCATATACATCAAGAAACACTGGATATTGATTTGTTATTTCCTTCTCATTCTTCTCTTGATCTCTAAGCATTCAGTGACTCGGATTGGAGCACATGTCCTCTTTGCTCGTTGTGCTGCAAATTACCAAAACCTTATAAATAAAAGCACGACACGAATGAGTCGTCGTCGAACAATTGATCATTTCATGGTTATGCTAAGATAACATGGCTTATTGCTAGCCTATGTGCTTAGTAAGATATCACAATACTGGATGCACATGTTCTCTACGCCTAGGAAGGTTTTGCAAATGAATGAACAAATCAACCGTCCAAGAATATAAAATGGGTCACAATTTCTAGAGAAAAATAGAGCAATAATAATAAAAGAAATTGTCTTACTTCGACACAACAAGAGTATTTTATTGACAAATTTAGTGATTTACAATGGATACGGATGAGATAGCTGAGGAAAACAATTTATAAAAGAAGATTTTAAGTACGCGCTTACTTGTTACATGAATAAAATGAGGTTCAACATATTATTATGGTTCTTCATTATCTGTATATGGGCTCTTCTTCCTAGATGCTCATTTTCTATGGATATTTAGTTTCGATTATAATTTGTTGTGGGAGATTTGAAATGAAAAAATTAATTTGAATTCTGAGTCAATATTATTTTAATTTGGTTTTTCTTTTTTCACTTTAGGACAATAGATTCACATTTCGCGGGATATGCATGAATATTTTTAGCATTGCACCATGGCTTCACCTTCATTGTTAGTCACTGTCCGTTGAGACGTCATTGCATCTCTCTTCGGTTCCAAAATCTTCACCAGCCATTTTTAATTAAGTGTGAAACAACCGTTTACTGTCTAAATGACTTGAAAATGTAGTTTGCTTACATAATTATATAACTGCACTACTGCTACGGAGTGTGATTGAATGAAAAACAATATACCAGTCCAAGAAGACAAGAGAGATGAACAATTGTAGAAAGTGGGTTATATGATATCAGCTATATTATGTCTTTTGCCTGTATCTTCTGGCAAAACAAGGACAATTAAAGAAATAATCTTTCCTCACAGCGGCGGATCCAAAATATAATAAAGCACTGGGCCACATTTCATTAAAAAATTAGATATCGTAAAAAAAAATATGATATCAATTGTACACGTCGATCTTTTAATATAGTGAATAATCAATAATGGAGTATACATCCATACCAATAGTATATTACTCTCTTTCAAATAAAATACTTAACCAATCTGCAAGAAATTCATCGATCATTTTGTTGCGCAGATCTTTTTTCACATTTTTCATTATTTAAAAGGTTCTCTCCATAGTAGCTGTTGAAACGGCCAATGTCAACATTAGACAAATCAATCTACTAATCAATTTGTATTGTGTGTTCATCCCTATTTCGGTTTGATTGTTTGTTTTCCTTTAGACAAGAATCATTGGAGCTTGAATTTTTAGGCTAAATTTAGAGTTGTGATTTGAATATGTTCATATGACCCATTTTCCTAATTACACACAATCTTATTATAAAATAACACTGGGCCAAATGACTAAAATCAATAAACTTATAAGGGCTATACTAGCTGCGGATACAGAGTAGGGCTGGGCCGTGGCCCGGGGTGGCCTCTTGGATCCGCCACTGCTTCCTCAAACCAATAATTGAAGTTAAGTAATGGTATTTGGCTGTAGACAGAGACGAGGAGCCAGCTACCCCTAACTGAAGTAGGTTATATCAGCTGAATAGTTATTTTTTTATGATTCATCTTCTGAATACTGGTATGTACATTTGTAGAGAGAAATTAACATTAAAAAGTGGTAAGATAATATATCAATAGTCAATTATGTTCTTATTAGTTGTTGTAATTTTATTTTGGTGAAATATATTTGTATAGTCCAACGTTTAACCTTTGTGATAGTTAGGCAGACCGCTAGCAAAATGATAAATTGATATTTTACCCTTTTAGCATCTAAAAATGTCTCCAGCGAGCCAAGGGGCTAAAAAGTTGATAAAAGAAATTTTTCGGACATATTTTAGATGAGAACTTCTACTACGCTATATAGTATTGGTGCTTTAATGTACAACTTAAAGTTGTACCATAACATTAAATGTATAAGTTTAGGTTGTACCATAAAGCAATTTGTACCATTATGTTATGGTACAACTTTATAACTTGAAGTTGTACCATCACATAAAGGTACAAGTTCAAGTTGTACCATAAAAGAATTTGTACAAAAAGTATAGGTACAATCTGAAATTGTACCATAACGTAGTTGTACAATTTTAAGTTGTACCATAAAGGCAAAACCCTATAGCACCAATATTATATAGCATAGTAAAATTTCTCATTTTAGATATGATTTGAGTGGAAGGGCTTAAAGAGTGTTGAGGTTCAAAATTGTGGAGCCCACCAGCCGAAAAGCAACCAATTATCTACGAGGGTAAGGTCAGGGAAACACGTGTTAATGACGCGAATAATAAACTGCGACAAAAGCGAATGTAGGGTCGTTTGGAAGTTGTGATTGTTAAATAGATGTATTGTTAAAAATGCATGTATAATATTATACATGTATTGTCGAATTTGATGCATTGTAGAATACAACGTTTGGTATGTGTGATTGTGTATGTCGCATCAGCTAAAAACTGAGACAAAACAATCTCAACTCAACTATCTCAACAATCACAACTAAAAGTTGAGATATAACAATCACTCAAAATGAGTGATAGTTTCTGTCACATCACAGAAACAATCCATGTATTGTTTCTGCTAAAAAAACTAAAAAACGATGCATTGTAAACAATACATGTATAATGACAATCTCAACAAAACAATCGCAACTTCCAAACGACCCCGTAGTGTCGCAGAAGTGGACAAATAATCAGTCCCGTAAAAACCAAAATGTTTGAAAATATACAAAGATACCTTATATAGTAGGGATAATTATCACCAGATAAGTTAACCAAGTAAGCTATACTGATTTGTCGTTTTATTTCTCTGTTGGTTTCCTTATTAGTCCCGTTTTCAAAATTTTATTATTTTAATTAGGAAAATTAGTTTTATTCCCAATCTTAATATTGTGACTCAAACAACTCTCATTCGAATATCAGTTTAGACGACCAACGAGGTCCAACGGGATCTGCCAGAACGGCATCCTCAAGCCTTTCGACGAGGAAGCAGAACTCCTGCTCCGGGCTTGGAATGGACAGGTCAGGGTTCAACTACACAAGGCCCAACCTCTTCAGTCAGCGCAATGTTCCAACACCTTAATGCTCCCACTTGGGTCACAAGCCCGCGTTACCAGGCTCAGCAACTCTCATTCGAATATGAATATGGAATTTGTATGTGTGATTAAGAATTTGAGATTATAAATATTGGTTATGCTCTTGAATATGTGGATGCATGAGATGTAGAATTTTTAGATTAGTATCATCAATTTCAAGAACTATCATGAATCCTTTTCTTTTATAGTAAGTTACTAGTTTCTAAATGATTTGTAAACCCTGAATCTTTTGCTAATTCATTTCGATGTTCAGTCTCGTTTTGGAAATACTATGTTTTGACACGATCTTTTGTCCACATTGTTTTCATTTAACTTATGTGTGACTGTGTGGGATCCTATGTTCGATACATATTTTGTGTTTTAGATATCTATGCATTTAGACCAAGAATTCACTAGCCAGATTGATGAGATGCAAACTAAATTTTCCATAATAAGCTGGGGTTTTTCGTATTAGTATGTGATGAAAATAATGATGAAAATAACATAATAGTAATAATAATGTAGAATGCGTCAGAACATATAAAGGTGACGTCGGAAAATCAAATTATTGACAATAAATAATTTCTCTAACGACACTTGGAAAAAAGTGCAGTTATGATGATACTTTGTTCGCGTCAATACAAATGATTTTTTTGACGACACGTTGAAAATATTATATTTTTTACGCCGTAAGAACCTCACAAATGTATGTATAACGTATAAAAAAATCATTGTCCTCAATTTTTTCGTTAAAAATATTTGTTTCCGATGTGTTGATGACGTCGACATAAATAGTATTTCTGATGGCTAGTTAGAAATAATTTATTTCTTACGCATACAGTTCGTCGATAATAAATAAATAAGTTGTCGATAAAAACTTCATCAACTTAGCCGTCATGAGTAATTTCTTTTTCGACGTCTTAATTTTTATTATCGATGACCTTTTGACGTCGATAATAATATTTTTCTGACGACTTGTCAGTATCATAGTATTAGCGATGGGACAATTTCTGACGACCGTATGTCGTCGAAAAGGTCATTTTTAACGCAAATCGATTTATTTCTACGTGACGTCGGTAATGAGTCCCTTTATGTAGTGAAGAAAAATTCATCTTAGAAAACAGGAGCCAAACATTCATTTTTCATAAAAAGACTCTGCCGAGAAACTATGAAAAACACACTGCAGTTACAACAAAGCGAACGAAAGTTAAAATGCACACCGGCACACAACAAACTTCATGATCGAGAGAGAGTGAGCGAAGGGGAAGAGAAAAAAAAAGATTTGAAGTAACCGAAACCCTAATCCATGACATAAATCGATGATCCTCGTTGTTTTTTTCGTTATTTTACGCGAGAGTACGTGTAGCCATCAAAGTCCTTGTAGAGCGTATCCATGTTCTTGGCAAATCGGAGAAGCACCGTAAGAATTTCTACGGGCACATTCGGCGGCGGGTTCAACTAACTCTCCATTTATAATCATCCAATCCTCTTCAACGAAATCAGCCACTGCCTTCGTCGCCTCTTGCTGTGACACGCTCTATTGCTTCATGTAACATTCCACAAGTGTAGCCTTCTGTTCTATCTCGTCCTCTTTCAGCATCGACATCATTAACCATGGTAAATAATGATTATTATAGCCCAAAATATTAAATTAATAGTTAGGTAAGTTAATCAAGTACCTGCAGCTCACCTGCTCTTTGTCTCTGTTCCATGAATTAATAATGGGAAAACTCATCTGTTCAAAAAAGTTTGCACATGTCAGGGAAACATGTGTTAATCACATGCTTGCGAATAATAAGCTGCGACAAAATTAAGCGAATATAGTGTCGCAGAAGTGCACAAGTAAACATTCCACTTTCCAGTAAAAGCCAAAATGCTCGAAAATATATAAAAATGCCAGATATAGTAGGGATAATTGTCACCAGATAAGTTAACCAAGTAATTATACTGATTTGTCGTGTTATTTCTCTGTTGGTTTCCATATTAATCCTGTCTTCAATCTTAATATCGGGACTCAAACAACTCTCATTCCAATATGAATATGGAAATTGTATATGTGATTAAGAATATTGGTTGTGCACTTGTGCTCTTGAATATGTAGATGAGAAATTGAGAATTGAGATGTAGGATTTATAGACCGGTATTAATTAATTTTAATAACTACCATGAATTCATAATATATCCATTTGTACAAATTGTAAATAATTGATTGGCAAAATACAGCTGTATATCCACAACTATCAGGTTTGTGACAAATCTATCCACTTCCGTCTTAAACTATAGCGGCGTGTCAGACGGCGTTAAATTGACTAACGGAATGCTGAATCGATGCCAGCTCACCTGGCACATAAGCCAAAAAGCAACCAAACTTTACACGTAGATACCAAATAGGCTAGTTGAATAAAGGCAAAATACAACTGTATATCCACAACTATCATGTTTGTGACAAATATATCCACCACTATCAGGTTTGTGATAAATATATCCATTTCCGTCCACTCCGTTAACTCTGTCAGTTAACTTGATGACTGGACAAACGGTGGATGCTTAGTTGACGTGTTTCTGACCCCACCGAATGACGTGGATTAAAAGAGAAAAAAAATTAAAAACCCTAAAAACCACATACAACGAGACTAAAAATCCAACCTAGAAACACGCCCGATAACCACTGATCCTCCTCCGATCGACGCCTCCACCCCCAAATAACCCTATCCCAAGCCTAGGTTTTGATTCCAACCACAATCCCCAACCATTGCCTCCCTTTTACTCCGACGGCTTCCATGCAGTCGGTGCCATGGTGATACCAAGTTTGAATCTAACCAAATCGCCAGCAGAGAAGACTACAACATCAAGGTCTAACAGGTAACGGTGTAAAGTTTGGTTGCTTTTTGGCTTATGGCAGGTGAGATGACATTGATTCAACATTTCGTTAGTCTATTTAACGTCGTCTGACATGCCGTTATAGTTTCAGATGAAAGTGGATAGATTTGTTACACAACTTCCGATTTTTGGATATTTCGTGTATTTCAATAGTTGTGGATATATTTGTCACAAACCTGATAGTTGTGGATATACAACTGTATTTTGCCTAATCTTTTTTTCTCTTTTAATCCACGTCATTTAGTGGGGTCAGAAGCACGCCAACTAAGATTCCACCGTCTGTCCAGTCATCAAGTTAACTGACGGAGTTAACGGAGTGGACGGGAATGGATATTTCGTGTATTTCGATAGTTATGGATATATTTGTCACAAACCTGATAGTTGTGGATATACCGTTGTATTTTGCCTAATTGATTTGTAAACCTTGAATCTTTTACTAATTCAGTTTGATGTCCAATCCAATTCTAAAAACACTATTATAAGTAGTAGTTTTGACATGATCTTTTGTCCACTTGTTTTCAATTAACTTATGTGTGATGATGCGATATTCGATACGTATTTTGTATTTTAGATATCCGGGTACTTGGATCGTGTCGGGATCCCGAAGACTCAATAGCAAGATTTACAAGCTGCAAACTAAATTTTCCATAATAAGGAAAAATCCATCTCAATAACTAGGAGCGAAACATTTCATTTGTCATAAAAAGATATCCGCAGAGATGCTATGAAGAACACACTTGTCAAACAAAGCGAACGAAAAGTCCAAAAGCACACCAACACACAACAAACTTCATGATCAAGACTAAACCCTAATCCACGATTTTAATTGCCGACCCTTATCGTCTTTTCATTATTGTAGACGATTCCAACATTTCACCTAAATGACCATGGGGTAACAACACCTTAATGCTCCCAGTTGGGTCACAAGCCCGCGTTACCAGGCTCAGCAACTCTCATTCGAATATGAATATGGAATTTGTATGTGTGATTAAGAATTTGATATTATAAATATTGGTTATGCTCTTGAATATGTGGATGCATGAGATGTAGAATTTTTAGATTAGTATCATCAATTTTAAGAACTATCATGAATCCTTTTCTTTTATACAAATTGTAAGTTACTAGTTTCTAAATGATTTGTAAACCCTGAATCTTTTGCTAATTCAGTTCGATGTCCAGTCTCGTTTTGGAAATACTATGTTTTGACACGATCTTTTGTCCACATTGTTTTCATTTAACTTATGTGTGACTGTGTGGGATCCTATGTTCGGTACATATTTTGTGTTTTAGATATCTATGCATTTAGACCGAGAGTTCACTAGCCAGATTGATGAGATGCAAACTAAATTTTCCATAATAAGAAAAATTCATCTTAGAAAACTGGAGCCAAACATTTCATTTTTCATAAAAAAGACTCTGCCGAGAAACTATGAAAAACACACTGCAGGTACAACAAAGCGAATGAAAGTTAAAAAGCACACCGGCACACAACAAACTTCATGATCGAGAGAGAGTGAGCGAAGGGGAAGAGAGAAAAAAAAGATTTGATGTAACCGAAACCTTAATCCACGACATAAATCGATGATCCTCGTTGCTTTTTTCGTTATTTTACGCGATATATCGAGAGGGGATGTTCATTTCACCTAAATGACCATGGGGGTAACAATAAGAGCGGTGATCATATCCTTGGTGTTGGTGCCAGAGTGCGTGTAGCCATCAAAGTCCTTGTAGAGCGTATCCATGTTCTTGGCGAATCGGAGAAGCACCGTAAGAATCTGTACGGGCACATTCGGCGGCGGGTTCAACAACTCTCCATTCATAATCATCCAATCCTCCTCAACGAAATCAGCCACCGCCTTCGTCGCCTCTTGTTGCGACACGCCATACTGTTTCATGTAACATTCCACCAACGTAGCCTTCTGTTCTATCTCGTCCTCTTTCAGCATCGACATCGATAAGTCGTGATTCGAAGGGTCGGTCGAGTCGTGCACCAAGTGGTCGGCAATGTCATCCTGGAGACGACATTGCTCCGTTGCCGCGATCAGCATGGCAGGTTCGGAGAGCAGCCATTCGAAGGCGTCCTTCGAAACCAAGTCGTCGCCCAATCCACAGAGAGCGGAGTAAGCTATCCATTCGTAACAAGTGGTTAAAGATGAAAGCTGCCGATACTCCTCCACCGTAGCCACGTAGTCTTTGTCGGTCCGTTTTTCTTCTTCCAAGTACAACTTTACTGCATTACCAACCTGCACCATATACATGGAGCATGAAAATTGTCAAGAACGAGTTGGTCCAAATAACTCGAGTTGTAACACGCCCCCTCAATCGAAAGCGACTTATAAGTGCTTGAAGTTTGCACAGGTTCGAATACCATGTGTTTAAAAAAATGAGGGTCATGATCTCTCGATTACAGAAGGCTCTTATACCATTTCAATAACCAATTGAATCCAATAACTCGAGTTGTTGGGAAAAGTTCAATAATGTATGTTATACCTCATATTAACAAAACAAAAAACAGCTAGAAAATCTAAGCATATATAGTTACCGCTTTTTTCCCGTAGTCCAAATACCAAAGCCCTCTTTCCTTGGTAGTGTTTGACGCGATTTCACCATATATACCTGCGACTCCCTCGAAGATGACCATCATGTAGGGTTTCATACCTTCCATGCTATTATCCCACCTGCATTAATTAATTCAACCAATCCCAACTCTTCATCGAGTCTAGGTCGTCGTGTGATAAATTATCCGACCATGATGCCCTCCCTTCCTCTCATTAATATTTATTACCAATGATCAGAAGGGTAAGATTTGATTATGTAAAATACAATGTAGACATACCTAGCCATGGCAGCAGTGAACAGCTCGAGTTCCTCGATGTTACCCTGGTTATCGAATGTGTCATCCATTAGCGTACCGAATTGAGTCATTTTGGCAACGATCGGTCTGGTTACGGAATACTTGGGCTCCCACATTCCTCCTAAAGCCCATAAATAACTCTCCACCAGCTTGTCTCTTGCATAGGGCAGCTTTGTTGGAGTATCCAACTTCAGCCACCACCTGAAATCATCCATTCATAAGGTTAAGAGAAGATTACAATAACTTAATGCATTATTATTATTACACAGGTTAACTTACTCGGTCAGAGTTCGCAGCTCGGTCTGGTACAAATTCTGCAACAGATTGAAGCTCAACTTGGCCAACCTGAGGAGGGCTGGATCGTGGCTCGCGAGCTTCTCGTAAAACGAGATGAAAAACAGGTGCTCGCACTTAGCCATGACCTTGCGAAGGGGCCTTTTCAGAGCACGAGTGACTCGGTCTGCGAGAGGGGACTCCAACTCGACAGCTTTTGCAGTAAGATGTGACCTTGTGAACTCAATAGCTTCGTCCAATACACACTCTCCTTTGATCCTCATGTATCCAGCTTCATACAAGTTCAACATCCCTTCGAAGTCATTCACTAGCTCTTCCTTGAACACCCCTCCTTCCGTCTTGAACTTGTTGAACACATCTGCATATAACATGTCACCAAATTTTAGTGATTGACCGATCGATATATATGTTATTAGACAAGAAACAACGTACCACTTGGGGCTTTGTAGCCGTGTTGCCTCAACAGTCTAAAACGAAGTGCGACGGTGTTGAGTTCGTCGTCCTCATCAATATTGTTGCAACCATGGTTGTTTTGATGAACCTGTCGCATGATATGGTCGATTTCTTCCTCGAAATGATAGTCAAGGCCTAGTCGCTCGACTACATCGATGAGATTCAGCCTTTCTGCTAAATGGTCTATGGGAGCTGATAACCTCCTTTTTACATCTGGCTTCAGCACTTCGATCTGTTCCTCCCAAGCCTTCACCACCTACACATATATACATGTCATCACTAATTAGCAACAATAATTAACACATACGTTCAGCAGCTAATTAAACCTAGCTAGCTAATTCATCATGGCTTCTTATACATTAATTAAGGTTACCTCATCAGTTTGGGGGACGTGGGTCAGGAAGAAGTCACCCCACACAGTTGGGTCATAATCCATAGTTCGCCGGTCAGGAGCGCTTTTAGGTGCGGCGACGGCCATCTCTTCTCTTCCTCCTCTTCTTTTTGGGGCAAAGCAGCAGTGACCAGAACTATGCAAATCGTTCTCTGCCACTTGCTATATATATAGCCAAACCGCTCCCCTTGTCACATATATTTTTTTATGTTATCTGTTAATAAAATGGTATATGAACCTCTCTCAATAACTCGAATTATTGGGATCGACTGGTTCTTGACATAGTATCAGAGGTTTATGTGATCGAGAGGTCGTCTTTTGTTCGAATCCCGATAACCCCATCTGTTTCTGTTAAGCACATGGTGTTCTGTCCGGACCTGTGCAAACTTCAAGCCCGTATATGGTGGCTTTCGTTTGAGAGGGTGTGTTAATAACTAGTTCTTGACATTATCCACGTAAGAGAGTGATATATGATTCATAATTAGTCTTATCCTAACAACTCGAATTATTGACATCAACTGATTTTTGGCATAGTATCGGAAATGATTTGATTAGGTAGTTGTATATGTTGAATCTCCGAAACACTCAATACTAAAAGTTGATTAAAACACATGAATAGTAGGCTTTTGCGAACTTCCGTAATCAGATAAATTTTCCATTATATATATATATATATATGTTAATCTAATCTTGTTCTCTCTACCGTGAAGCCTTGTCTGTAATTATGTGCATAACTTGTTGCTTGGATTTGGGATCGGTTAGCATGCTAACCTCTTTGAGGGGTTGGAAATATGACACCCCTGTGTATTAAATACAATTATAGAATTTAATACACACATTAAATACACATTATGAATTAAATGCACCATATTAATTATTTGTTTTTTTTTTCAAATGAAAACCTACACTAAATACATTCTCTCTCCCTATATCTGATTTTTCCTTTTTCAGCAGCCTCCGACCACCAGGCTTCCTCCGACTGCCACACTTCTCCGGTGAATATCTCATCGGCAGACTCCCTCCGACCACCTGCAAAAAAATATCACTGCACTGATTCGTTGTACCACTGCACTGGTAGCGATATCAGTGCACTGGTACCATTGTCATATCTGAGTATCAGTGCAGTGGTACAACATATCAGTGTAGTGGTATATTTTCGCAAGTGACCGGAGAGAGTCTGTCGGCGGGATTTTACCGGCGAAGTGTGGTGGTCGGAGGAAACTTGGTGGTCGGAGGCTGCTGGGAAAGGAAGAATCAGAGATAGGAGCGAGAAAGATCAAAGATGAGAGAGAGAATTGTATTTTGTATATGTTTAGATTTAAAAAAAAAAGTAATTAATATGGTATATTTAATGCTTATTTTGTATTTAATAACAGAACATTTATTATGTCTACCAATTGAGAATGGGATGTCAAAAAATCAACTCCTTTAATGGTAGGCATAGTATCCTACCCATTGGATCTTTGTAATCTCTTCTAGTCTCTTAAAAGAAGGGTTTCCATTATGTATTTTGGTCAATAATTGTGCTGATGTGTTATGTGGTAGGTAAGAAAAATAGGGCATCATAAAGATTTTGAAGCGAAAGAGATCCAGTGTGACAGCGGACCGGAAAATGACACCTTAGAATGAAGCCAAGGAGTAATGCTAATATGCTATCCACGGGAGAGGATAGAGCCGGTGACAAAGCTGCGGCGAACCCATTCATGAACACGTGTTAGCCAACAAAAATAATAAAAAAAACATATTTAGATACAAGCACCCTAAAATTGAAAGGGGCGATCACGCAGTTCTTGGTCTATGAAGATCATGATTGTCATGTCGGTGGCTTGCCACTCGGTTCAACCTGTGCTGGTCATGAAATCGGCATGACACCACTGGTATGACCGGTATGATCGACTTACACATTATAAGTAAAATGACATTATTTTAATGAATTTAATGAATAAAAAAATTAATTTATTATTCATTTTATGAATGTAATAGTTTAAGTTGATGATATTTGTTGGATTGTAACTAAATTGTCCACAAATATGTTTTATATATGATCAAATACATTGGATATTAATTGTTTTCACATTTTTTTTAAACCGGCATGAACCGGCACAAACTGATTATACTACCGGTCGTACCATTCCACTTGCCAAACCGGCACAACAGTATAAACCGGTTTGACAATCTTGGTGAAAATACGTTTGCTAGGTGCTCCATTTTATCTTTCCATTAAGACCAAACCTAAACCTGTACTCGAAAGATAGTAGTCCATACACTAATAAGGGATGGTAATTCGTCTATTTTTGGGGGGAAATCACATCCTTGGGTAGGCTATGGGACGAGACGAATATCAGCCGCCCGATACGAACAAAGCAAAAGATTTGTCAGGTGTTCTGCGTTCTGTAAAACTCACTTTACACCGTCCGATTCACCTACTCTACTTTTCATTCGACGGTCCGGCTATCATCGTAGATTACACCAGCTGTTCTTCAGGACCAAAAGCTCGTTCTTTTGTGAAAGCAAGCTAGTGATCTCCCTTTGATTCCCTGATTATATCTCAAGTCCGCCGGTAGTACTTGAAAAGACGTCCACTGCATGCATGCAGCTTTACAACGAATAAGTGACCTCAAGGGTGCATTACGTTTTTTTACCCCAAGGATGAAGCCCATAAGGCATTGATAAGAAGCACATACGGGAAGGTAGTAAGTAACAACATTTCGTTACTCATTGTTTTTCATTAGTCGCCAAGGTTGAGAATCGGTTCGATTGTTTACAGCCATGGGCGTCTCTAAGAATAGCAATGAGCCAGGTCCGGGGCGGGTATCTCGATACCCGTACCCGTCCCGTGGCAGTTGGTCTTTTATAGGGTGGATTGAAGAAGAGTACGAAGGCAGAAATTAGAAGAGCACATAATATCAATGACTGAAATTATAAATTGGTCGACATACCCTGGTTGTGATGACAAGGAACCCGAAGAGACTATCAAGTATGAACCCACGACTAGAAGCAATAGCAAATCGAATGTAACGCTAGCTACCTGTAGAAACATCCGTGTTAGACTGTTAGTAAGCTGGCAAGTACACTTATACAATGCTATTGTGGAGCAAAATTATGTCAGACGAGAAATATCGTAGAAAGTAAGGGTGGGTATTGGGTGGGTCGGGTGGATTTTGACTATAAAACGCACTCATCCCCACTTAATTGGATTGATAATTTTTAACCCATTATCCACCCATATTTAGTCTCGGGTTGGGTCAGGAGGATGGTGGATGATGCGGGTGGGTTTGCGGGTTCACTCACATCACAATGTATATAATATAAATGAGTCGACTTTAGATGATAATCGGTGGAGAGAGTTACCGGGCGGAAACAAGAAGATGGAATATGAAGGGAAAAAATGTCGATTTAGTTTTGAAATTGGGTAAAAATTCTATTATGGAGGTGTTTTCTACAGATGGAGATGATTGTCAAGTGCAGAGTACTAAGGAAAATGATTCAACGGAGGAAACAGAGGTGATCTAGGCACAAGAATCAGAGGAAAAATAAAGGGAAGAAGAGGGGGATTACGATTTGGAAGGTTGGCTTTGAGGTTCAATCTTCAGAAGTAGCCTACTTTCCTTTCTAACGTCTCCACTCTCCCCTCTCCATGGACAACGACTTTGTTCTTTTTGCTATTGAGTTGAGCAGGTCACTCGCGCACTCACCCACATAACGAAATTTGGGTCAAATACAGATGGGTTGGCCAAAACCCATGGGTGATCCGCCTGCATGCCCAGCCCAAAAAGCACTGTAGCAATAGGTTTTAACTTTTGGACCATTGCTGCTGCATGAGCCAATCAGGCTTCATGTTAATGTTGGGCCCTTGGGGCTGTAGGTTAGTGGGCCTAGCAGCCCATTTCTGTTCCAATTTGTTTCGTCGCGCTTTCAAGGTAATCAACCACTAGTCCGCCGCAGCCGCTGAACGGCAAAGCTCAACGAAGGTCACAAAACGTTGCCGACCGTCGAGGATTCGTTTCCCGTTGCAGTTGCAAAGCTTTTGTATCTTTCGCCGCCATGGTTCGCCTGAGCAGAGACCAGGTGTTGAAGGATCAACGAACTTCCGACCCGGCCTCCGTCACGTCTCTCACCCTCACCCACAAAGCTCTTTCTGATGTATAAATACCCTTTCCTTCCTTCCGTCTCTCCTCCGTTCCCTTCTTCAATTCTTAAATTAAACTTTCCAAATTGTTATTGCAGGTTTCTTGCCTCAGTGAATTCAAGAACCTGGAAAGGCTCGACCTTGCTTTCAACAGTCTTACTTCGCTTGAGGTAGCTCCCACCCCTCATTTACTCTCTCAATGTTTCCCCGCCTGCCTGCTTGCAAGTTATTAGGTAATCTGGTTGATTATTTCTGGTTATTTGGTAATAGGGATTGAATTCGTGTGTCAACTTGAAGTGGTTGTCAGTTGTGCAAAACAAGCTGCAGAGCTTGAAAGGAATCGAAGCGCTTCCTAATCTCACCGTGAGTTTTTGTTATCGAACTTGTTTTGCATTTGCTGAAATCTGTGATCTTTGAGGATTTTGGTTACTGGGTTGTTTAGTCTTTTGTTAGGATGGTTAATCATTGAATGGGTTGTGAATGATCAGGTTCTAAATGCTGGAAAAAACAAGCTTAAGTCGATAGATGAGGTCAAATCTGTCGTGAGCTTGAGAGCATTAATCCTAAATGGTGAGCTTCTGTTTGCTGTTGTGATGAAGATTCCCTTTTTGTTGTTTTATCGATGTGTACCTCTCGGCTTCTGACTTTGATTGGATTTTGCAGATAATGATATTGTTTCGGTTTGTAAGCTGGATGAATTGAAAGAGTTGAATACTCTTGGTATGGTGTTCCCTTAGCACTTTTATACTTCGTCAATATTATGTAGTTTGTTCTTTTGCTTGTTCCATGCTGATTTGTAGGTTAGTCACTTCTGACAAACTACATAAGAACGAAAAAGACTCGGCTATTTGATTACACCATGAAAGCAGTTCTTTACCTTTTAGGCTAAGTTTGACGTCTTCCCAATGTTACTGATTTTTCTACCGCTGCTGCCCCACACCCTTCTCCTATCTCCCTCCCTCATGAAGGGATGGTGGGAGGAAAAGGAAGTCACTCAATAGAATGTTAATGGGAGAACCCGTGGTAAAAGCTTCCACGAATGACTGAATATCGAATTCACTTAGCAAGGAAACTTTGTAGATGACACTCCATATGTTCTTGATTTTACTTGGTTCTTTGCTTTACTTGCAGAAGATTATTTGAGGAATCGCTACCACAAGTTATATTACTTTGTTAACATTATTTGAGGAACTTGCCATTATGCCTTTAATTTTCAGTGCATAGATCAGCTCGAAGTCTTAAATGTGGATCCATATAGAACAGATTAAAGGGAAATTGTCAGAAACTCGCTCATCATTCTGGCCTTTTGAATCCTTGTGCAGTGCTTTCTAGGAACCCGGTCCGTGAAATTGGTCAATCCCTGACAAAGGCAAAATCCCTAACAAAGGTAACCATTTCCCTAGTCATTTACTGTCTGTTTGAAATTCTGTAATCTGCTGCTACTGGAAGAAGTTGTTAAAACAAAGATCTATTTTCTCATGTGCAGCTTTCTATGTCACATTGCCAACTTCAGAACATTGGTTCTTCCCTTAAGGCTTGCAGTGAGCTCAAAGAACTTAGACTTTCTCACAATGAAATTAATGTGAGTTCCTTTAGTTCAGGTTCAGTTGTAAGGTCTGCTCATTGAATTGCTATTTCACTTTTCATTCACCTCTCTGAATTATTCAGACTCTTCCAAGCGAGTTGGCGTATAACAAAAAACTACAGAATTTGGACATTGGGAATAATTCCATCACGAGATGGTCAGATCTGAAGGTCTGTTATATTGCTTGAAACTTAGTTTCTTGTTTTACTAACAGGTTAGTGCAGCATTTGTTTGGAATCCTAATTTCTGTCGACTTTTAACAACTGCAGATCCTGAGCTCATTGGTCGATCTGAGAAACCTCAATTTGCAAGGAAATCCTATTGCTGACAAGGATAAGCTACTGAAGAAGGTATTTTCTTTTTTCGTCTCAATTTGCACTTGTTCACAGTAACTTCCCCCGGTTTCCTCTGTTTCACCTTGATTGATTGTTATTACTGTAGATGAAGAAGCTATTGCCAAACTTGCAAATCTTCAATTCTAAACCAATTGACAAATCCAAGAATGGTGGGAAGACTGATAATAGATTCGAGGACATGTTGCATTTTCCAACTAAGGAGCAAAAAGAAAGCGGCGAGCTTGATAATGCTACTGAGAGTTATCCGGAAACAGCTGAGACTGAAGGTGACAAGAAACGGAAGAGGGAAAAGGTACAACAGGGAGAGAACAATGATAATAATGATCGTGATGTAGAAAAGAACCCCTTGAAGGAAAAAGGAAAGAAAAGTAAGGAAGAGAAACTAAATAGAAAAGAGGCTCCTGTCGAGGATGATACAACGGCGAAGAAGAAATCAAAGGTGAAGGAAGCAAGGAAGGAACTTGATATTATTGACAGTGCTGAAACGTCATTTGCAGACTTCTTTGCCAATGGCGCTGTGGAAAGGTCAGAACATCTTCGTGAGGATAAAATAGTCGACCGATCTTTAGCTAGCTTCGTTACAACCTCGACAAAGAATAACAGGAACAAAAACCGTGATCCAAATCTCATCGCCCAGTTGTCTGCAGAGGTCGAGATCGGGCTAGGTGGGCCGTCGATATGGGGTGATGAATAATCATGCTGCTGCTCTCAACAAGATTGGCTTGATAAGTTTTCGAGCTCTTATTGGATCAGAAAATCTAACTCAGATGTTGACGCAACAGACTTGAGATTCTAGTTGAAACCCAGGAGACTTGAAGCAGATAGAGTGCACTTCTGGAAGTAGCTGTTCATCCTGTTGAGAAGCTGAGACATGTAAATCCCAAAAAAATTAGTTCTGCACGACTGTAGATTCAGTGCTCGTTGTGTTGATCCACAACAGATTTTGTGTTCTTCTTTAACGGCGGTTTGATCAGAAGCGAGCTTGAGGGCATTTCAGGATTGTGTATTATTAGCTTATCATTTCTTTTTTGCTGCTTGTGACTTGATCACCAAGCTATACATGAAAGTCAGATTTCAACGTTCTTAGGGCCGACCTGCTGTTGCAAGCTGAAGTGCTTCGTTCTGTCACCATCCCTCGAGCCTTCCTACATACGAGGTGAAATTAGTCCGTAATGGAACTGAATAAGTATCGCTTCGCATGTAATCCGAATATCAATCGGCGTGTTTACTACTGATGAACAACAGATCTTGGCACCTGCGATTTGTAGAGCAGAAAGGTGATCTATGACGGGTTTAACAGACAACGAACGTAACGAAACAGTAGAACTGCCGGCTGGGAATGGACTCTAATCGCGTCACAACCAGCACACAAGTGAATGTGATTGTAGTTGACTTGAATCATTGTTGGTTGCAAAAAGTATTAGCAACTGGGAATATGATTAGTTCTAGCCAAGTTGGAAAGAGTGTACACTTTTTTGCTGCCAATTTAAATGGCGATGGAGAGAGTTTCTTTCCTGTCTGTCAGCAGTACTGACCATGTTTTCCAAACGAGAACCGCAGGCGCCGAGAGTAGAAAAGGTTTAGCAAGAAAAGTGGAAACCCTTCTCGCAAACCCTAAATAGAGGGAATGGATCAGGTCAGTAACCTTATGGTGAGTAACCATGAGTAACCAGCCCACATCAGCATGACATCAGCATCCTCTCTCTCCTGGAAAGCCTTTAATTTTCCCCTCTTTAATATTTGACGGACGATTTCTCACTCATTTTAAGTCGAAATTTAATTTTTTTTGCACAGTTAGATCAGATTAATTGTACTCTTCAAAATGATATCCACTTTAATATATTTTTCGAACAAAAAAAATTGAGTCATTTTTTACCAGTCTATAACATATGGTATTAACTGGTATTGAAATAAAAGCATACCTATATTTTGAAAAAAGTACCATGGTGGGATGAACAAACCAAGACTGTAGGATGGTTGAATACATGATAGTAGAAATATATTAATTGTCATTTACGACTTTTAACATTGTATACCACAAGATACCACCCCGTACCAGGGTGGTATTGTATGGTATTGTGTGGTATTTTTTTGTCCTGTAATTTGTTCACCCATAAATTTTTAGATCCAATAGATCATGATGAACTCGTCCCTTCTGTGCAAAGGTTTTCAAAAACGAATTAAAAACGAAGAAGATACCATACAATACCACCCCGTACCAGGGTGGTATTGTATGGTATTGTGTGGTATTTTTTGGTCCTGTAATTTGTTCACCCAGAAATTTGTAGATCCAATAGATCATGATAAACTCGTCCCTTCTGTGCAAACTTTTTCAAAAAATGAATTAAAAACGAAGAAGATACCATATGGTATGCAGTTGGTACCGAGAGGCCAGAATTTGTTTTTCTAAAAAAATATTGAAAATTTTTCTCATTTGGTAGAGCACGATGAACTCGTTCCATCTGTGCAAAAAAAATTAAAATCCGAGTTAAAACGAAAAAGATATGAGCCGATTAAGAAAGCTAGGAAACATAAAAATAGTCCTTAATTTTCCATCCTTAGATCTGGATTTTCTAAATGAAGGGTCCATATTTGGTTATTGATGGATGCATAACCCATGGTTATGCACCCTATCTTGAGCCCTAAATAGATTGGCTCAAGATAGGTGCATAACTATGGGTTATGCACCAATCAATAACCAAATTAGGACCTTTTATTTAGAAAATTCAGACCTAAGGAAGAAGAATTAAAGACCATTTTTATTTTTTCTAGCTTTCTTAATTGACTCATTTCTTTTTCATTTTTACTCGGATTTTAATTTTTTTTGCACAGATGGAACGAGTTCATCGTGCTCTACAAAATGAGATCAATTTTCAATATTTTTTGAGAAAAAAAATTATGGCCTCTCGGTACCAACTGCATACCATATGGTATCTTCTTCGTTTTTAATTCGTTTTTGAAAAAGTTTGCACAGAAAGGACGAGTTCATCATGATCTATTGAACCTACAAATTTCTGGGTGAACAAATTACAGGACCAAAAAATACCACACAATACCACCATGGTACGGGGTGGTATTGTATGGTATCTTCTTCGTTTTTAATTCGTTTTTGAAAACGTTTGCACAGAAGGGACGAGTTCATCATGATCTATTGGATCTACAAATTTCTGGGTGAACAAATTACCGGACCAAAAAATACCACACAATACCATACAATACCACCCTGGTACGGGGTGGTATTGTGTGGTATACAATGTTAAAAGTCGTAAATGACAATTAATATACTTCTACTATCATGTATTGAACCATCCTACAGTCTTGGTTTGTTCATACCACCATGGTACGTTTTTCAAACCTTAGGTATGCTTTTATTTCAATACTAGTCAATACCATATGGTATAGACTGGTAAAAAATGGCTCAATTTTTTTTGTTCGAAAAATATATTAAAGTGGATATCATTTTGAAGAGCACAATTAATCTGATCTAACTGTGCAAAAAAAAAATTAAATTTCGACTTAAAATGAGTGAGAAATCGTCCATCAAAGATTAAAAAGGGGGAAATTAAAGGCTTTCCAGGAGAGAGAGGATGCTGATGTCATGTTGATGTGGACGGGTTACTCATGGTTACTCACCATAAGGTTACTGACCTGATCCATTCCCAAATAGATTAGTCCAAAACATAAAACAGATGGACGAAGCTTATACGTTACCAATCGTGTAGAGCACATCACAACACCATTAACAACGGATCTAGATAAACCGACACATCACAAATACTTTTGCTCGTGTTAAAACTAGTGATGGCAATGGGGCGCGCGGGCGGGTACCTCAATTCCCATGCCCCGTCCCATGCTACTACGGGTCCGGGCGGGTAAAACTCGCGCGGGTACGGGGCGGGGCGGGTCGACCCACTCTTACATGTTGTTCAAAAAAATACAAGTAAATTTTACTTTTTACAATAAAACGTAGGGAAAAACACTTTAAGAATGAAAAATATTGATAATAGAATGGATAATTGAGCCTAACAAGTTGAAAGATCGACTCTAACTAGTTGAAGAAAAGTCAAAATAAGATAAATATGTATAGATATTGTAAGAAATTGAGATAAATGAGTCAAAATATTGATGATAGAATGGATAATTGAGCCTAACAAGTTGAAAGATCGACTCTAACTAGTTGAAAAAAAGTCAAAATAGGAGAAATATGTATAGATATTGTAAGAAATTGAGATAAATGATTTTAGAACGGGGCGGGAAGAGACAAGGCGGGTCGGAAGTAGATACTCATGCCCCGCCCCACGCTACTGCGGGTCGGGTAATACCCGCCCCATCGCGGGTTAGGTCAGGTAATACCCGCGGGGTGGGTTGAAATTGCCATCACTAGTTAAAACAAACTAATATAGTGAAAAGCATATGATAGGAGGGATTTGCAAAGATTGAATCTTTCAAAAGTAGTTAGTTATAATAAATCGTGATCTCGACTTGGCGTTATATCGTTTGTCATTTTCATTTTGAGTGCTTAAAACAGTCTTAATTAAGGAATACGTCCATAAAAGGGGAGTTGACAAAATGGTGCATATATATGTAGATGAGGCTGACTTAGCTATTATTCATCACGAGAGGTTGGACTCTAAAATCTATAAATCATCATTTTTCGACTTAACGTCATTATTAATTGGTGTGTGACCCCAAAGTTTGACATTTTTGCCGGCCTAGGTTATACCAAGTGGCTTAGCTTCTGGCATTTGTAGCGGTTGGAGCAGTCTGGTGTGCCTTGATTCATCAACAACAAAGGGTTTCTCCATTTATGGGGTGGGGAGGGGGCAAAAAAAAGGGTAAGGTGTTGTTGTCTAAGCTGTTGAAATTAGTACATCAAGAGGGAAAGAGTCTTAACATCAATTGGGGTTAGTCACATATGGGCTTTTATTTCACCGAAGTTACTCGTAAAAAGCATTTCATCCATTGGAGTCTTAACAATTACATAATACCAGACGTTGTAATCTACAATGCATCAAGTTTCAACAATATATGTATAATGTAATACGTGTATTGATCACAATAAATCGATTTAACAATCCGAAACCAAATAATACATTGTGAACAATACAAACGTTTTGTAACAATTCGCAACCAAACGATCACCAAAAAGAAATTATTAGTACTACTGCTTTAACATTGAATCCAAACTATGAGAATGATGAAGTGCAACCAGAGAAGCTTCAATGAACTTGTTGCATGTGCCATGGAGTGAAAAGAGAATAATGGAGCACACTCTGCAGCACTGCACACATGCTTGTGATGGCGGGAATTTTAAAATCACATCTCTCTTCGATCGTGATTCCAAATGAAACTCGTGGAGTTAATTCGAAAAGCAGGGAAACCGGGCAAACGGAGTCATGACGATCCGCAAAGTTGGCGCGGGTATCCGTATATATTAATTGGGCCGCAACTCGCATCGTGAAAAACGTGTTTCGGGTCTGGTCGAGCCGGGCCACCAGTTGGGTCTATCCTGGGCCAGACTAGGGGCTGAGATAACCCCGATGCATAACTACTATGTGTACTAATCCTAGCTTAACAGTTAACATATTACACCTCATACATTTTAAATCGAATTAATCATTCTCGGCGTTCATCGTAACACAATGTTATAAATAAAGGATGTAAAATGAGAAGAAATTTATTTCCACAAAATAAATGAAAATGAGTATAATCTTATACACCTCAATTCCCATCCTTTTGTGGAAAATATTTAAAAATTGAGTTCAAATGGACAGAATACACTGGTTATAAAAATGGTGCAGGACATGCACCGAACCTGGACCCGGCCCAGCCCAGCCTAATGGATTTATAGGCCGGGGAACCTCCGGGAGTAAGTAGCGCTAGCTAGCTAGGGGTGTTCAAATGGTTATCGTGGTAATAACCAAATCAATTAAGCTTAAATTTTATTAACTATGGAATAAAATGTCTTAACCAAACCGTCCAAATTAACATAAAAACCAAATTAAACAAACCAAAGTGTAATTGGTTTGGTTAATCGGATAATTGGATTAACCAAATAACATAACATTACATGAAAATAATTATCATGTTAATGAATAAAACATAACCATATGTTATTACTATCATAAACTATCATTATATAATCGGATAATTGGATTAATATGGTTACCACAGTAACCAATCCGTTTGAACAGCCCTAAGTAGCGCCGGCCGGGACTCGGTTATTTATATTCCAGTCAGTACAACTCTTGACGACATCACTTAGTTTTGAAAAATCCTTAAATAATAGCTGGCCAGCCAAAGATACGTTCGTGGAAATATAGTTACGTGTCTGCGCTAAAACGTCACGAGCCGAGCAGTCGAATATAATATACTATACTGCGGAAACAGACTAACAGAGTACTGAAGATTTAGAGGAGATCAGGAGAATCAAACTCGGGATACTTCAAAAATCAATTTTAAATAACAAGGATGATTATTTAAGTATGACAATTAATGCACTCCTTTCGTATGCTCAAAAGCTGGCCGGTCGCTCAAGTGTTAATCAACAGACAAGTTTCCAATTTGGCCGGTTGGCAATTTTTTTTTTTTTTTCCAAAGTTATCCCGAGAGGGAAGCAGTAAAGATACGACAAAATACAAGGCCTCCTAAGATCAGGCTAGGAAAATTAAATAAATAAAACACGATGGTCGACAAGTGTCTGCACCATCGCTCCAAGGGCTTGTCTTGCCACGACATGGGCAGCCCTATTATACCTACGGAGAGCGAAATGGAATGTTGCACGAAGGAAAGAAGCCCGCAACACCTGAATCTCTTGCAGGAGAGCTCCGCCCACCGCGTGCGCCGAGTCCTTCGCATTAATCATCCGAACGATCACCTGCGCATCCCCACAAAACAAAACATTAGTGATCGAATGAGCCATGCACCAACGTAAGGAGTCGCGAAGGGCCAGGAGCTCTGCGAGAAATGGGTCATCAATATTCGGAATAAAACGCCCCCAAGCAAATATAGAGTTATTAGCCTCTGCAAAGCCAACAAAACCAATGGCACATCCGACCAAAGATTTGGTGGCACCATCAAAGTGAACCAACACTGAACCAGGAGGTATGGAAGGAGGGGGGCGATCACGAGGTAAAACCCCACTAGAAACAGGGGAACAGCGAGGCAAAGATCTCTCCAGATGAGCCTGTGCTAGCTCCCATTCAGCAACCTAAGAGTAATAATGTCGTAATAAAACATGAGAGAGGTACTGAATACCATCATAAGTAGCCGAACATCTGGACTTCCAGAGCCTCCAGTACAGAAAAACCAACCATGAAATCTCTACTTTGGATAAACCTGCATCAAAAAATAACCTACGCCAACCAATCGCAACATGGCACAAGCGAATTTGAGCAAGAATATGATTGAACCCCAACAAATCCCACAACTCCAAAGCAATCCGATAATCCAAAAAACAATGAGCAAAAGTCTCTGCCTCACCACCACAGACAGGACAAGCGTAAGCCTCAATATCATCATCAGCTATCAATTCCTTATCACGAAGCACATCTCAAACAGGGAGAAACCCTTGTACCACGCGCCAAAGAAAAAATTTAAGCTTTGGGGGAACAGGAAGTGACCAAAGAAACTTCCAAGAGCGGGAGTCAAAGGACGATGGAATCGTGGAAAAATCAGCAATGTACTCAGCCGCAGCTAAACGATAACCAGATTTCACAGAATATTCACCTGAAACTTCATAATGCCAAATCAAGCGGTCAGCCACAGGAAAAATCGACAGAGGAATAGCCATGATGATCTGGACAGTAGCAGTATCAAATTACCCCTAACCTTCCGGTATTTGATTTGGTTTGGTATTTGGAGTAGAATATATTGATATCCTAGGGCGATACAATTGTTGTCGGTCATCCAAAACCAGATTTTGCTCCCGTCGCCGCTGCGAGCTTGATGGGAAGGACAAAGAAGAAGAAGTGCCCAGTCGTCATCGTCATCACCAACCTCTAGCGCCTAATCGACGTCCGAAGAAGGAACCCCTCTTGTCGTCGACCATATCCGTCGGGATGAGGAAGAAAACGGGAGGATAAGAGAGTTGCCGCCGACCTCGCCTCTAACGGGATTTCAACCCATCTGACGAGCAGGAGAGGTGGGCAGGCCGGCGGCTGGTGAGCAGAGATAAAGCTTTCCGGTCCTCTGCTTTCAATACAAATGCAGAGATCGATCTCACAAGGTTCCAGATTAGAAGGATGAAGAAGTGACCAACAGCCTGGATACTCTGGAAATGGCCTCTGCATTGACATAAGAGAAACAAGCTATCATCCAACTTAACATCTGATGATATCACAACTTACTGCAACTAAAAGGCAAACCAAACCATTTAAAGAACACCAAATCGGAATTAAGTCTAAAGAAATAATGTTTCTTTCAATTATCCTGAACTAACTTCAGGAGCCGCAGTGAAATAATGTGCGCTTCAATTACTTAGATCCGGGGCGGACGGCGTCGACAGGGCAGCGGAAAGCTCTGTTTTAGGGATTTAGGGCAGGTGAGGGTAAATTCGTCTGTTTTGTTAATTTAGGACGACATTTTTAAAAAAGTTAGGACGTTAAATAGGAATCCAGTTAATTTATTCTATCAATTTCAAATCTACAAAACCTTGACCCTTCCACCAAAATTATCCATCTGCTTCCAATCGTTTGTTTACAGGAGCTTCCAATCCATTTCAATTGGCTCCCATACGACTCCTGCGTCGATTGATACCAGCAAACCACCCAATCTTCAACACGTCCTCTTCTTCATCTTACTCCCCACTCTGCTGCAACTCTCCCGAGTGCGCTGACTCTGACGCGAGCGCCGACTTGCCACTTGCAAGGCAAATTCAAAGTGGACGGGACTGAAAGTTTTCCATCATGATGCGAGGCAGAACAGAGAATGGCAGGCCTTTTTTCCATCGGTAGGCTGGTGGATAGACGAACTTCGACGAAGGATTGGATGGGAGAAGGCTGGCGGATAGCGGTGAGTACGGTTGCTGTCCTCCACAGCGAAAAAATCGGCGGTTGTATCAATACCGGACGGTATTTCGCGAAACGCCGGTTTGACATCAAATACCGGCCGGTACGCCAAAAGTTGAAATTGTAATGTGTCGTTCCGGATTTGCTCCGGTTGCCGGTTTTCCCGGTCCTACCGGACGGCACGGCACGACATCTCAATCCATGAATTAATCTACAGGATATTTGACTATTCCAGATGGTTTCACACCCTGGCCTGTACAAGAATCTTACTGACTATTCCAAATGTTACGAGATCCGGTTCGGTTACCGTTCCGTGGTCGAGCCGGCAGCCCAAACCAAATCCAAAATATTATTAGTATTTTGTTGTGATCACGCTACGATAAATATTGTCTCGTAACATCCAAACCTATCCCGTGCGTAAAAAGGTATGCCCAATCAATCACCGCAAAGGTCACTCCAAGCAGATGGGGGAAGGTTTCGGTCAACAATAAACCCAAGAAAAAAAAAAGAGTTGGGGAGCTCCAAAGTGAACCACACGGCTTTGAGTTTTGACGTCTAAACCGTTGATGGTATGGCCATTTTCTTCTTCTGCGTCAGAAATAACACGCTCCCCTATTAATAATGTAATTATCATCGCGATAATAATTGTGACTAAAATAATTAATACGATACGATAAGGTATTTTTTTGCCGGTACATACGTGTTATTGCTATTAAAATCAAATTTTGTATAACGATCATCAACGAGCTTGCACACTAAAATCTTTCGTTCACATTAGTTTATCGGATATTCACAAATCACCGTTGCATGTGCCGCTTATCTTCATATAAATATTGCTCCTAGTACCCGTTTGTTGGCTATTCGTGGAAGCACTAGTCTACATGGCATGGCACGTTGTTATATGGGAATCTAAGGAAATAAAATAAATAAAGAAGCTAAAAATCAACCCAACTTGCCACTCTTTGACTTCTCAAAAGCGCAACAAAGAAAACGACAAATCAACAACAAAAATAAACACAAAGAAAAAAACGATAGCAAAATTTTGTTGACTTTGACGACTTCCCACTCGCCTATCCCAACTGGCCTCCCGTTTCCCATTTCCGCGCCTTCCTTCCTTCCTATATAAATAAAACCCCTCTCCTCCCCCAATTTCCCCCAAATTCAAAATTCCAACAAAACAACACAACAATGGATGCTCTACAATCCGAAGATTCTTCGTCGTCATCAAATTCCTCAGCCTCACCGGCGACGATCTCCACCGTCCACCCGGACATCCTCCGGTCCCACATCCTCAACCGCCTCGACGGCCCCACCCTCGCCGCCCTCGCTTCCACATCCCCCGACCTCCGCTCCTTGATCTCCTCATCCTCCTCCTCCGACCTATGGCGGAACATCTGCGCCGCCACGTGGCCCTCCGTCGCTCACCCCGACCTAGCTTCCTTAATCCCGAAATTCAAGCACGGCCACCGATCCTTCTTCTCCGACTCCTTCCCCGCCGTCCACCACCACCACCGCCTCTCCACCCCTAATCCGGATCTGGAAACCGCGGGACGGATCATCTCCGCCGTCGACATCTACTACGGAGAAACCCCGATTTTTTCGAAGGTCGCGGAGACTGATACGACGACGGAGTGGTTCAATACGGCGCCGTTTCGAATCGAGCTGCTGGAGGCGAAGGAGGTGGTTTCGACGGGGATTAGGGATTACTCCTCGGGGAGAGGGAAGGACGGCGCGTGGCTGAAGCGGCTGGAGGAGGAGCTGAGGGTGAGCTGGATCGTGATCGATCCGGTTACGCGGCGGTCGGCGAACGTGTCGAGCGGCGTGGCGGTGTCGGTGCGGCACCACTGGCTGACGGGGGAGGTTCAATTGAAATTCTCGACGGTGGTGGAGGGGGCGGAGGAGGTGGAGTTGGGGGTGGTGGTCACGTGCGGCGGGGAGGAAGGAGGGGAGGTGCACGTGCGGGAGATCTATTTGGGGATGGAGGATATGGAAGGGAGGAGTTTGAGCGGGAGGGGCAGTTTGGGGATTTTGCGTGGGGCGATGGAAGGGGAGCGGCGGCGGCGGAAGGGGACGAGGGAGGAAGGGAAGGCGGAGTACGAGAGGTTTTTGGAGCGGAAGAGGGAGTGGAAGCGGCGCGTGGAGAGGAGGGAGAAAGTGCTGGACACGCTCTGCCTTGTCACTGGGGTCGCTTTTTTCTTGACGTTTTTCGCCTTTCTTTTGATGTGAGCTAATGGAGGAGAATTAGGGGTCGATTAGTAACTACACATTTTACAGTTAGTTTTGGTTTAATTAATCTTGTGTGTAGAATATACATATATGAAAAAGGGAAGTTTTCCTCTCCAGCACATCAATTACTTTGTATTATTAACAAGGAAATAAAGATACAATGTTCATATGATATGACACTCATCGCCAAGAACGAAATTAAAATCCAACAGTTAACACACTAGTATGGATAATAATAGGACCTTTCTAATCACTAAAATGAGTCATCCGATTGTGTTGTCTATCAACCGTAATGTATTGAGAACGCTTGATACCTCCTCTTCCATTGCTTATCTTCTCAAAGGATAACCCCTCCTAGTGCATCTGGAATTACTTAGCAGCAATCTTGTTTATCACTACCTTCGCATCCCCTTGGAAAGCAACCACAACTAAACCCCTTTAGAGAGCACCACTTGCATCCCAGAAAAGACATCATTTTGATCAAAAATGAATATGTCAAACCTTCATAATGAAATCCTCTTGAGCAAACAACATCATCCCCCTGACTCGTCCTCTGAACCACCAGACCTTGCTGTCGCATGAAAATATGTTGAGACTACTGCACCATCTGCTAAGCAAACTAGCCGAGAGGTAGATCCCTCATTAGGATCCACATGCAGAAATCCGAATGTTGCGCAGTTTGTTAACACCAAGGCAATGGTAAAGGGAGTTACATCGGTCCTTTTCTCCATACTAGCCCTAACAATAAAACTGAACAAGGTCAAGTCGAACCAAACATACATTTGGTACGATTCATCATTGTAATCCCTTCTATTTCTTTTAATTTAATGTCGTAATTCTTAAATTTTGTCTGGTTTTAGACCTGATCGACCCAACCCCACACCGTTCCTATCTTAACCCATAAGAAACTTTGATGGTCACTAATCGGTAGCTAAATGGGGCTCGGGCACTTTATTGCATGATGCCAAATTGTGTGGGCATGGCAATTATAATTTATGTGATTGATTTGATTGTGATTTGGGTGGTCTAATTTGATCTGATTGCTCCCCGACTCACCAGCGATGGAGCTTTCTGACCTGCACTTCCCGCAAGCCAAAGCCACGAAAGTTGTGCTGTGGCACATTGCCCCGCCTTCCTTCCCCTGTTTCTGCAGATTTTGGTTGCCCGGAGATCTTTGTATTAATAGCATTTTGCATCATCATTTCATTAATGATATATACACGCTTTGATTATTTATCCTTTTGTATTTAAGGGGTTTGGACCAAATTTGTGCAACTTGCTGTAGTCTATTCATTCTGTGTTTGCGAGAGATGCAATTCTTGCTTTTTTTTTTGGATTGGTTAAACGGGTATTTCAAACTTGGGAGAGGAAGCTTCATCAAATTTTAGTGTTTTTTTTTTTTTTTACGAAACTTGGTTACGTTACGAAATAAGAATGGGTTACATTGTTTGGATTTTTGTGAATATTGAAGAGAATTTGGATCGAATTGGTATTCAGACCGAACCAAACAAAATCAATGTAATGATTGTATGGTTTTATCCTGGTTTGCTTTGAACCGTACCAAACCGAAAGTTGCAAACCGTATTGTGTGCGGAGTAAAAAATAAAATAAAAAGCATCATATCTTTTGTGCAAGACTTAAGAAATTATTATGGCTAATATGCCCCTACTGGAAAAAAAAAGTAACAGAGACAGAATTTTGAATGCCGAAAATATTTCAAAACTCCATTGTCATAAATTATTTTCACGATTTTTTTTGGGTAAATGGATGCAAGTGCAACCTTTTATTCAACACCAAATGAGGTTCAGAGAGCCCCCAAGAGTTGTACAAGAGAAAATTATACAGCAAAAGAAAATGAACATAAAGCAAATTTAGATAAAAGAAAAATTCAAATGGAAGTACTGAAATAGCGTTTTGGTCAGTCCACGATCGTGTGTGTACTGTGTAGCGAAGGAGTTGGGCTGGACTTGCACGCGTATTTCTGGGCCCACTGGTAGTGGACTCGACTGCATGCCCGTAGACTAGCTAGGCCTGGAACTGACCGGTCCAAGATTCATTCTACACTGGCCTGGTCAACGGGGTAGGACGAATCAAACTTCTTCACAATTTGCTGCCAAAACTTGACTTGAAGCTCAGTAGAGGTCAGACCTGCCCTTCCCTGCCCAGGGTTTGTGCTGTTACAACATACAAGTAGAAGCTTCCACCCAACAATCAAACCTACAAAAGAGCGGAATAGTAAGTAGTATAGGCAATGTATATGTGATGGTTAATCCGCGATTTGACATTGATCAACTCACAAATAACTCCAATTGAAGTGGATAGGTGGCAAGTTCATGTGGTATATATGTATTCATTTGAACATTTTCCGAACCCTTTAAATTTTTATGAAGTTGTTTGGTAAACTAAGATTAGTCTTGTGGTTTGCTGTGAATTTTGGGGATAGCAGTAAGCTTTTCGAGGGGATCTGAGCGTTATAGGTTTCGGGCTGATCGGATGGCTGGCGCCGTCGAGCGCTCCGGCGATCGAAGAGGCCCGTCAAAATTGGGACCGAGCTGGCCCACTTCCCTGCTCCTCCACCCGTCACTTCTCAGTTTTGGTTAACCCACCAAAACCACTCTCAATTTGGGCCACGAGCCCATGGGCCGTTCTTTTCAGAATTTCATTACTGGGGAAAAAAACGTAGAAAAGCAAAGGTTCCACCGAGATTTGAACTCGGGTTACTGGATTCAGAGTCCAATGTCCTGACCACTAGACCATGGAACCATTTTGATTAAGTTTTATGACTTGACATAATTTAAAATATTCATTATGTTGTGGCTACTATGTTTTATGTATATGGTAATGAATGTATGGACATTAATAAATCAAATCTTGTGTCTTTGATTTGATGTGCTTCATTCACATAATCAATCAGGCACGCAGTAGGGATGACAATGGGACAGGTTTGTCTAAACCATTTCCATCCCCATCTTCAAATACCTAAATCCATACCCGCCCATACTCATGCGGGGAAATGTTTTGCAAACCCATCCCCATACCCGTGGGTTTCGGGTACCCATGGGTAATACCCGTACCCATACATCCAACATTATTATACCTAAAATTTACAAGAAAAGTTTTAGTTATTACTCCAAACGAACCTATTATATCATGAAGTCAACAAAACACGATCATTTTCTTAATACGGTTCAAAGTATATGATCCTAAAACATCCATTAATACATAATATAGAGTATAATATTTTTCAAATTATTATCTTCTAACTCTTATACATCTACTAAGTAATAATTAACTATCATAATCTTGTAGACAAGGGGAAAAGTGAAAGGAGAATTGAGGAAAATGAATTAGATTTTGATTAAAATGGTCACTCAATTGCATTTCTACTATTTATTTTCTTGAGTTATCCTTATCACCATTGATAGATTACAATTTAATCCACATATTTTTTTATATGTGAAGAAATTCTCTTGGTGGGGCGGGTATGGGTATGGGGCGGGGAGGTCAAAACCATACCCGCCCCATACCCATCAAACTTTTTGCGGGTTTTACCCATACCTGCCCCATATCCGGTCAAAGCGGGGATTCCCCGCGTTGACTGGGTCAGAGGCGATCGGATACCCACAGGCCATAGGTTTTATTGCCATCCCTAACAGGCAAGCACTTTCGTTATAGAATGGCAGTAAATGTGTTAAGAGTAATGAAGAGTCAGAAGATAATGAATTAAGGGAGTGAGAGAATTACTCCTCCTCCCACATATGTCAAGTTCTTCCATTGACAAGATGACGGGAAATATTTAGTAGAGTATCTATTGCAACTGAAAAATACTTGTTCCCATAAGTCAAGCTTGCAGATACTGAGTGCTTAGAAACATTGTAACCTCTGGACAGAAGTCATCCTGCAATCCCTGCTACTCTTACCTTCCAGAACCACCAGCTACAGGCTTCTCTGATTCCGCACCAGTCGAGGACATGAAGGTAACTGGGTTCATCGGATGGTCCTTAACAATCAAGCTGAAAACGTCCGGCCTTGCATAATGCCCCACCACATCGAAGTCGAATTTCACCCTAGCAATCTCTGCAAGGTCTGCAGACAATCAACAGCTTTTGTATCAGTATTTCAATGAGCAAAAAACTATCATCACAATCCCCAAGATTCCAACGAGAAAGAGCCAACTCGTTGTGTACATTACCGAGATCAGCAGAGATCAATGCCTCTCCAGAGTAATTAGGCCCAGCAAGAACAGTTCCTGAAGGTGATATGATAACACTCCCACCCTTGCACACAACAGAATCTGGCTCCAGTTCTTCTTCCATCCCGGTAAATAGATACTCCGGAGAAGGCGGGTAGTCTTTCCTTCGACAGAATTGGTTCGCCGACAGTACGAAACAGCCGCCCTCGACTGCAATGTGTGCCATTGTTGCTTGCCATGAATCCCAGTCGTCGGCAGTAGGTGCACAATATATCTCAATTCCTAAACACCAAGTAGCAAAATTGTTATCAACCCATAGTAGCTCATCAATCAATCATAAGACAATTCAAGATAAATCCATTTCTCTAGCTGGAAATCATCATCTGCAATTGGTTGAGCGAGCCTCAGAAACTCCCCAAGTTAAACAAAGGAAACAACAAACCTTTGGAGTACATTGCAGTTCTGAGAAGGGGCATTCTGTTCTCCCAACAGATGACAGCACCAAGTTTCCCCAACGGAGTATCGAAAACCGGCATCGTCGACCCATCTCCATATCCCCACACTATCCTCTCCACTGAAGTCGGCATCAGCTTCCTGTGCTTCCCCAAATAACCACCCTGTAAATCGAAAAACACCACCGTGCAGTAAAGCGTGTAACCATCCCTCTCTATCACGCCCATTACCAAGTAAACTTTGTACTTCCCCGCCATTGCCGCCAATTGGTCCACTTCAGGACCTGAATTCAGCAAAAACCAAGGGTTATGTGGATGACCCAGATCGCACATTGATTCAAAAGTGTTGGACGAAATGTAGATCGCACTACCTGGTATAGGGATCGCTGAAGCGTGGTATTTGCGGAACTCGTCTCTGCCTTGTGGAGTTCGGTTGCCGATGGTGGAGCCGGAAGTGGAGCCTCGAAGATACCCGCCGACGAAAGCTTCAGGGAAGACAACTAGCTGGGAACCGTTTGCCGCCGCCTCGGCTAGTAGTCTGTCAGCCTTATCTGCAATGGACGGTTGCAGAGACGCCAGTCTTGGTTTCACTGTTTCATGTGGAAATTCGTAATGCGATGAGAAGGAAGAAGCATAGAGTAAACAAACCAAGAGTGGCCGGAGTGTCGAACATGACCGTCGACGCCTGAACCACGGTGGCGCGCACGGTATCTCTGATGGTGGACTTAGCTTGCATTTCCATTTCCAACTGTAGTTTTTTACCAGCTTATCTGAATTCGCAGTTTGTCTCCCTCTTCTCCCAAATATATGCTATGTTTGTCTTTTCCTTTTTCTACCATTTTCGCGAAATTGACTATTCTCCCGAGTGGGTAGTCAATAGGCATTGCCGCATTAAGCACTAAACCATATTTCTTTGCTCCTTCCATCACTAATGAAGTCTAAAAACGCAGATTACGAAAGCAGCTGACTTTAAGCTTAACTGTCCTCTACATTGAATCGACAAGAGAAGTTTCTCATAACAGATTCATGGTACAACACGAAGCTATTAACATACAAGCAAGTCCCCTAATTTTTATCATACATTTGACAGCCAAAACGTGAGATAGCTTGGCTTCCTTCTCCATCCAATCAAACAGCTGATGATCTGGGAACAGACTTTTACTTCGTCTGAGAGCAGTCAATTTTTACAGCAGCTGATGATGCAGTGTATGAAACGGCACTGACTGGATTGTCCGTCACGGTCAAGCTCAAAACTTCAGGCCTCGCGTAATGCCCCACCACATCAAAATCAAACTTTGCTCTTGCAATTTCTCCAAGATCTGGTCAACCAAGAGCATAATGGTTAATTGAAGTATGAAAAGTGGAGGGCATCCATGGGCGACACTATGAGCTGAAAGATGAACAATGAGATAGAGATACCTAAATCAGCAGATATCAGTGCCTCTCCTTCGTAATTGGGTCCAGCTAAAACAGTCCCCATTGGAGATATAATGAGACTGCCTCCTGCACACACAACAGAATCCGGGCCAAGCTCTTCCTCTATCTCTGCAAACACATACTCGGGAGCAGGAGGGTAATCTCTGCGCCGACAGAATTGGTTTGCAGACAACACGAAACAACCACCCTCGAGAGCAATGTGAGTCATCGATGCTGGCCAAGTTGGCCTGGAATCAGCTGTAGGTGCACAGTAGATTTCAATACCTGCAACCAGTGGTTAAGAAGAATCAAGCAACGATTGCACCAAAAAGTGTTCATATGGCTGTTTGTTCAAGAAAGAAAGAAAGAAAAAGCTTTCACCTTTCCCATACATGGCAGTCCTTAGGAGGGGCATTCGGTTTTCCCAGCAAATGGCAGCACCTATCTTCCCCACGGGGGTATCGAAAACAGGAATGGTCGATCCATCTCCAAACCCCCAGATGATTCGCTCAACTGACGTTGGCATCATCTTCCTATGCTTCCCCAAGTAATGACCTTGCGCATCGAAGAACAGAACCGAGCAGTAGAGCGTGTATCCATCCCTCTCTATCACTCCCATCACCAAGAACACCTTGTACTTCCCAGCCATGGCGGCCAATCGGTCTACTTCCGGACCTGAATCAACACCACAAACTCATCATCAATCCTAAGTCATATAAGAGATCAAATGAAATTCCCTCTTATAGGCCTCTATCACTCACCAGGTACATCAATGGCTGCAGCATGATACTTGCGGAACTCTTCCCTGCCCTTTGGTGTTCGATTCCCAATGGCAGCCCCGAAATTGGAACCCCTAGGGTAGCCGCCGACGAACGCTTCTGGAAACACAACCAGCTGAGAGCCATACCCAGCTGCTTCAGCTAGCAGTCTTTCAGCCTTCTCTAATATGGAAAAATCCATAACACACCAAACAACCCATCAATCATCGTCTATTTGAACCAAATCAAGCCGAGGCAAGCAAAACCCAAGTCCGGCGAGCAACCCAATTCTTAGTTCCTCGCCCCCTAATTTTCCAACTCAATCGAGATGAAGCAGAGAGCGAGAGAGTAACAAAAGAGGGCTTACCGAGAGTGGCGGAAGTGTCGTAGAAGACTGTGCAAGCCTGTACAACGGTGGCTCTGACGACCGGAGCGGAGGAATCGACACCCATATCGACTTCGGCGATGATGGGGCCGTCGGAGGGGGGAGCTGTGGCTACAAGGGACATCGTAGATTGTGCCGGCGGTGGCAGTCGATAGCAAGACTGTGATGGGAATTTTTTGTTTGGATTCTTTTGTTGATTTTCGTCGCTCGAATTACTAGGTTAGTTCACGTTAGCCACTAGAATTACTTTATTTCATTCATAGTCACCCGTTAAACTAGGTTAACGGTTCAATCTTGGTCAGTGGCCGTTAGTCTCCATTCACTTTTGTTGATGTGGCAGTCGACCCTTATAGTTGACCGTTAAATGAGTGATGCGACAATTAAAAAACTAAAAATAAAAAAATAAATTATTTTTTATTTTCCAACTAATTATTATAAATTAAAAAAATCATAATTCCTTTAATTATTATTTTTCACCGGCGCATAAATCCTTCCATCGTCCTCATCGTCTTTGCCGCTAACTTCACCGACATTGCAATTCTACTACCCACCATCCTCCTCCTTCGATTCCGTCGCATGAATCCTTCAATCTCCCCGACTTCTTGGTTATTCGCTTATTTTATTTTTATTTTCAACTTTGGCGGCAGGAGCTGCCGGACAGGATTCGGGATTGCGCCGAGAAAACGAGAAGTCCGACCTCGAATTGGTGACATTATCAAGGTTGGAATCGACAAGACTACAATAATGAGGAGTGTTATCGGGTCAGGTCTAATGCTTGGGAAGCGGCAACGTCGTAATTGGAAATGGCAGGGCCCAATTACCTCCGACCTTCCCCGGAGAAATCTGAGGATTGTTGAAGATACTGAATCTGGATTGGTGCTGAAGTTCTAAGTGCAGCAGAGGTTCTTGGCGCGAAGACTAGCTGAGTTTGAATTAGTACTGTGTCGTATTGGCAAGACTGTGTCATGTTGTCAATACTGTGTCGTGTTGATTAATTTGTGTGTTAGTCCTTTTGTTTAGTTTGTAGACAGCCTGGTCCTGTTCGTAGGTTGAGTCTGCTGGGTTTGAATCAGTTAAGAGTAGTGGTAGCTGTGAGATCATGGGAAAGTGGATTGATGCCAAACTGTCTAGGCACAACTGTCGTGTGTATATATTCTCGTTTGATCAATAACAAAAGTTGTCAGTTTGCATTCCATTGGATTCAACATAGTGGTATCAGAGCTCTGTGGCAAACTGTAACCGAGAAACTTGTGTGGAAAACAGCAGTTACTTCTGGGTTGGGAAACACGAGAGATTGTGAGAGAAGTAAAGAACTGGGACTGGTGAGTGCAATCATGAGTGATAACAGTGGTTTTGCTCAGGTTGGTATCCCCAAATTCGATGGGGATTACGAGCATTGGAGTTTAGTTATGGAGAATCTGCTAAGGTCCAAGGAGTATTGGACAGTGGTGAAGGATGGTTTCAAGGAGCCTGCAGCAGAAGAAGTGCTTTCTGCCTCACAGCAGAAGGTCTAGGATGAAAATCGATTGAAGGATTTGAAGGCGAAGAACTATCTTTTTAGTTCTATCGACAAAAGCATCCTGAAAACAATTACAAACAAGACTACTGCACGAGATCTGTGGATTTCTATGCAAACCAAGTGTCAAGGTAATGCAAGGGTACAAAAGTCTCAGTTGCAGGCTTTGAGGAGGAACTTTGAGATTCTCGAGATGAAGGAAGGAGAGTCTGTGAATGACTACTTTGGAAGAGTCATGGTCGTGGCAAATGGAATGAGAAACTGTGGTGAGATGATGACAGATGAGAAGATAGTAGAGAAGATCCTGAGGACTCTTACAGAAAGATACAACTACATTGTCTGCTCCATAGAAGAATCAAAAGACATCGAAACTCTGTCTGTTGACTCTCTGCAGAGTTCTTTGCTTGTTCATGAGCAAAAACTGACTAAACAATCGACTGAAAGTGATCAGGCTTTGAAGGTCAGCTATGACATTGGTGGCAGAGGGGGAAAAGGACAAGGCAGAGGTGGCTATCAAGGAAGAGGTAGAGGAAGAGGTAGAGCATGGAGCCGAGACATGGTTGAGTGCTTCAAGTGTCACAAAATGGGTCATTTCATCTGGGAATGCCCTGAGTGGAACTATTCTCAGCAAGGTAATTATCAACATTATCAGAATCAAGCTCATTTCTCTAATGTTGCTCAACCAACTTCCCATCCAGACATGAAAGAGGATGTATTGCTTATGGCTGTGGTTGAGGATAGCATCACAGAGTTGCCCAAGGAGACAGAAGAACAAGGGTTAATGGCTTTTCTGGAGTCAAATCAGAAAAACCAGACTGAGGATTGGTGGTTTTTGGACTCTGGATGTAGTAATCACATGAGTGGTAATCAGAAATGGTTCATCCAACTTGATACTAGCTTCAACAGCACTGTAAAGCTAGGAAATGGCAGCAAGCTTGAGGTTCAAGGAAAGGGAAGTGTTAAGCTGTTAGTGGATCAAACTTCCCTAGTGATACAGAATGTGTTCTTTGTGCCTGGCTTAAACACTAACTTGCTCAGTGTAGGTCAATTGCAAGAAAAGAATCTCAGTTTTGAGATTAAGAATGGCATCTGCAAAATTTTTCAGGAAACAAAAGGGCGGTTGCTGCAGACAGTCATGAAAACCAATCGATTGTTTGTGGTACATGCAGAGTGCTTGAAGGACAAGCAAAAATCTGATTCTATGTGTTTGCAGACTACTAATGCCAGGAACTCAACATTGAATCTTTGGCATAGAAGGTTTGGACACTTGAGTGAGAAAGGATTACTGCTAATGCATAAAAAGGGACTTGTTCAAGGTCTTCCCAGGCTGAATGGAGAATTGGGAATCTGTGGTACATGCATGATAGGAAAGCAAAGCAGAAGTAAGTTTCCAAAGAAAGGGGCATGGAGAGCAACTCAACCTCTCCAGTTGCTTCATGCTGACTTGTGTGGGCCAATCACTCCAGCTTCAAATGGTGGTAAGAAGTATATACTGACCATTACTGATGATTACAGTAGAAAACTTTGGGTTTACTTTCTGGTTGCTAAAATCTGAAGCTCTTACTTGGTTCAAGAAATTCAAAACTCAAGTTGAAAAGGAAACTGGCAAGTTCATTACATGTCTTAGAACAGACAGGGGAGGTGAATTCATGTGGACTGAGTTTAGACAAGTATGTGAAGAGAATGGAATCAGGAGGCAGCTCACAGCTGCTTTAACTCCTCAGCAAAATGGCATTGCTGAGAGGAAGAACAGGACTATAATGAACATGGTTAGATGCTATCTGGCAGACACCAAAGTGACTTCACTTTTCTGGCCTGAAGCTGTGGAATGGGCCACTCATGTCCTTAATCGAAGTCCAACTTCAGCAAATGAATGGAAAACTCCCCAGGAGCTGTGGACAGGGAAACCTCCTTCTGTGGACCACTTGAGGATCTTTGGCTGTACAGTTTATGCTCATGTTCATGACCATCAGAGGAGGAAACTTGATGATAAGAGTGTTAAATGTCAATTTCTTGGCATTTCCAAAGAATCTAAAGCTTACAAGCTTTATAACACTGTTACAAAGAAAGTGGTTGTTAGTAGGGATGTAGTGTTTGATGAAGAAGAGGGTTGTCCTGGAAATTCAGAAGCTGAACCTGAGTTAACCAAACTGATTTGGGATGGCAGTGATGATTTGTACTATGATTCAGATGTAGAAGAAGAAAATCATGATTTGGAGTCTCCTGTTGCTGAAATTGAAGCACCTGCAGAACTTGAAAGTCCTCAGACTCCTGCTAGCTCCACTGCCTCAACCTCAGTACAAACACCTCACACTGCAGAGGAAGAAATAAGCACTGCATCAGATCTGCAACCAACTGGGGAGGGCTTGGAACTCGAAATAGGAAGCCTCCTGGTTATTTGGATGTCTATGAATGCACCTATGCTGGTACTGATTGGCTGGCAATGGTGGCAGTATCTGATGATCCTCAAACCTTTGAGCAGGCAGTATTGGAGGAAAAGTGGAGAGAAGCAATGAAGGCAGAAATCCACAGTATAATCAAGAATAATACTTGGATGCTAGTTGACAAACCAGCAGGAGTGACTCCAATTGGAGTTAAGTGGGTGTTTAGAACCAAACTGAGAGAAGATGGTTCTATAGACAAATTTAAAGCAAGGCTAGTGGCAAAAGGGTATGCTCAACAGTATGGGGTGGATTACACAGAAGTTTTTGCACCAGTGGCTAGATGGGACACCATCAGAACTTTTTTGGCTTTGGCTGCTCATCATGGTTTAACAGAGACTGGTGCTGATGTGCTAATGGTCTCACTCTATGTGGATGACTTAATGTATGCAAGTACCAGTGCAGCTATGCTAGAGGAGTTCAAAAGGTCCATAAAGTTGGAGTTTGAGATGTCTGATCTTGGAAGGATGAAATATTTTTTGGGGGTTGAAGTAACGCAGGCTGCTGGTGGAATTTTATACATCAAAAGAAATATGTGAATGATATACTAGAGAAGTTTAAGCTAGCAGAGTGCAATTCTGTGCATAATCCTATGACTGTTGGAACAAAATTCACCAAGGCTGGAGATGGCATTCTTGTGAATCCTACAGAATATAAGCAATTGATAGGAAGCCTGCTTTATGTTACTGTAACCAGACCAGACATTATGTACTCAGTCTGTCTTTTGAGCAGATTCATGGAGTCTCCCACAAGGCAGCACCTGCTTGCAGTCAAAAGAATTCTGAGGCATTTAAAAGGGACAGCAGGGCATGGAATCTGGTACAAGAGACTTAATGAACAAGATCATCTGCTAGGGTACACAGACAGCGACTATGCAGGTGATCTTGATGACAGAAAAAGTACTAGTGGCTATGTATTTTTTCTTGCAGGAGGTGCCATCTCGTGGTCTTCAAAGAAGCAGCCAGTGGTGACCTTGTCAACCACAGAAGCTGAGTTTGTGGCTGCCTCATATTGTGCTTCCCAGTGTGTGTGGCTTCGAAGGATTCTTGAGCAGATGAATTGGAGGGAATGTGTAAAGGGGGCAACAAGAATTATGTGTGATAATAGCTCGACTATTAAACTTTCAAAGAATCCAGTGCTACATGGTAGGAGTAAGCACATAGATGTTCGATTTCACTTTCTAAGGGAGCTTGCAAGAGAAGGAGTGGTCGAACTGCATCATTGTGGAACCATTGATCAAGTAGCTGATATTATGACTAAGCCACTCAAGTTGGACTCTTTTATGCTCCTGCGAAGTCACCTTGGAGTTCATGATGGTGCTGAATTGACATTGAACTGAAACTTGTGAGATGTTTCAGTTCAGGGGAGGATGTTGAAGATACTGAATCTGGATTGGTGCTGAAGTTCTAAGTGCAGCAGAGGTTCTTGGCGCGAAGACTAGCTGAGTTTGAATTAGTACTGTGTCGTATTGGCAAGACTGTGTCATGTTGTCAATACTGTGTCGTGTTGGTTAATTTGTGTGTTAGTCCTTTTGTTTAGTTTGTAGACAGTCTGATCCTGTTCGTAGGTTGAGTCTGCTGGGTTTGAATCAGTTAAGAGTAGTGGTAGCTGTGAGATCATGGGAAAGTGGATTGATGCCAAACTGTCTAGGCACAACCGTCGTGTGTATATATTCTCGTTTGATCAATAACAAAAGTTGTCAGTTTGCATTCCATTGGATTCAACAAGGATCTCATCGACGCATCGTGTCTGAATTGGAAATTTGAATCTCGATCCATCTGTAAAACCCATTCTGGTTAAACCCTAAAAAATTTTGTTCTCCTCCACAAAGAGAAGGAAATCGGAGATTGGAAGAGCAATAGGATTAGCTTCGAATTCGTCCACATTGTGACGAGGAGAGTTCGCGGGCTCGCCACCTATGGTCGCGGCATTGCCGCCGGATCCAGCACATCCTTCGCCACCGTCACCTCCTCCATGCCGAAGGTTCGATCCGCGATGCTCAACACTACTTCCTTTGGGTTAGGTCCCCAGTTCCTCTCTCGGAGATTGTCTGATTATTTTGATCTCTTGGGACTTCCGTCGCCGCTGGAGTCGATAATAATTATCAGAATTATTATGGAGCCGCTAGTGACACGGGAGGGGCAGATGAATAATAATGAGCTGGAAAATAAAAAATAATTTTATTTTATTATTTTTTAATCATCACGTCACTCATTTAACGGTCAACTATAAAAGTTGACCGCCACATAAGCAAAAGTTTACCGAGACTAACGACCAGTGACCAAACTTGAATTGTTAACCTAATTTAAGTGACTACATATGGAATAAAGTAATTCTAGTGGCTAACGCAAACTTTACTAGTAATTCAAGTGACCAAACTTGTAATTTAGCCGTTGATTTTGTTAGGTAGCCAATTGCCCAATTGGCTGCAAAAATGAAAAATGCCACTTGTTCGATAACGTAAGAGAAAATTAAATAGGGTTAATATTTTATTTTGGCTCGAACTATAACCATATAATCAACTTTTGCACGTGGTTTCAAAAATTATCATCTTGGTCTGAACTATGCAACATATAGACTCAATTGGCCCGACACATGGTTTGACCGTTAGTCAACACGCCATGTCATTGCCTCGTAAATCTAAAAATCATTAAAAAATTCAAATTCAAATTATTTTCCTAATTTCTATTATTTATCATTTTCAAATTACCCAAAAAATAATATTTAAAATAATTTGAATTTTTTTTAAGGATTTTTAGGATGACAAGGCAATGACATGGCGTGTTGACCATCTCAATTGACGGTCAAACCACGTGTCGGTTCAATTGAGTCTATATGTTGCATAGTTGAGGTCAAGATGTTAATTTCTGAAACCACGAGCAAAAGTTGATTATATGATCATAGTTCGGGACAAAATAAGGTATTAACCCAATTAAATATACAAAATTGATAAAAAGGGGAAAAAATGCATAGATCTATTCGTATGTCGCATGTCCTGTTGTCTGAGCTACATATACAAGTATGAATCACTATTTAAATTTACATTGCCAGTGTTGGCTATACATAGATCTATTCATATGGACAAAGATTGTAGATTTTCAATATACATAATTTTGGATGCGGAGCTCTCCGCCATTTAAGTCACTTGCCGCGGATATTGTGCGTTATAGATCATCCTAGCACCTCAAGAGAGTTAAGCGAGAGCTTTACCGCATGATTTACATCACTCGTCACTAATGTAATTGTGTATGTTAGAAGCCCCGTTGATCCATTAGCTAATGACTATGTTCTTTAAGTTACACATATTAGAATTATGATGTATCATCTCCACCCGATTCATTTCATAAAGTTTGAATGTTTTCATAATAGGATGTGTTACGCTGCTTTTGTTATGAGTTAGAGCGATAATTAGCAATTTAGCATGATGTATAAAACAGTAAGCATCAAAACAATAAGCCACAAGTCCACAACTCAGAACATCAACGATGCACTGCAAAAGCTGTTTAGCAGTACAGAGAAGAGAAGCAAACTTAATGGATAGTAGAGAAGAAGAAGAAGAAGATAGTATGCGGTAAAACGTTGCTGGTTCTTCGTCGGCTCCATCTTTCCTCTGCTAGTTCTTGCTACCCGCACCATTGGCTATGGCGGAGCTGCAACAATTGACGGCAGCGAAAACGAACCACAACACATAATTCCGTTTTACAGGAACTGTGGTTGCATCTATCTCGCCGATGCAGTATCCGTCCATCATCTCCATGGCCACACCGCTGTGCCCCACATCCTCAAAATCCTTCGTCGCGTCTTTCCCTGCCAAAAAAAAAAAAAAAACAAGCATCCTCGTCTTCTTATGGCTGTTCTACTTCATGGAGAAATTGCAGTGTGGGGATTGGCGACTTACCAGTTGCTGACAGGAAAACTTCTTCTCCTCCAGGATGGTCTTCCATGAATGAGGACACATCATAGACCTGAAGTTTGAGAAACAGAGCATTCTAAGCAATTAAGCTAAAGGGGCGGTGAGAAACAGAGCATCAATGATGAAAATTCAAAATACAAAGACAACAGGTTTTTTTAAGATGAACATAGAGAGCTGACCTTGCCGGAGATAACCAGCCAGCAGTCTTTGTCCCTGTTGTGCCTTGAAACCTCCTCGAATCCATAAACCTTGTTTGGATATGACGCCATTTTCAATCCCTTTCGACTTGGCCAGAACGAAACCACTTGATCACAGAAACACCGAAACAAATAAGGACCCATAAAAAATATCCCAACGGGAAGTCCCATCCAATTGAAGAATAAAGAATTACTCGATCCCGTTGAAGTCAACTTCAAATGATCATAGATCGGATCTTAAGGCTTCATCGTACTGTATGTACTAAAAAGAATACTCTAATCAGGATACAGAGATCCAGTTTTTATCTTTTCTTTTAAAAAAGCTCTGTTCTTGCCGCGATCAATTCATTCATTCTCGCCGGCGAACAAAATTAACTACCACAAACTGCAAACAGAAATGAGGGAAATCTCCCAATCCGAACCCTGTTCCAACTGGGGATCCGGCGACGATGAAAGCCAACCTCCAACTCCAACACCTCCTCCGGCAGCCAGAGAATCCACCAAACAAGGCAACTGGCTGATCCAAATCCAAAGCCATCTCACGCTAGACCTCGACCACATCGTCCCCATCTCGTCCTGCATTTTCCCTGTTCCCGACCAGTACTCCTCTGCCAAACCCGAATCGTTCGCCCCACAGCTTATCGCCATCGGCCCTCTCCACCACTTCCTCAACGGCCTCATGCTGATGGAGACGTTCAAGCTCGGCGCAGCGAAACGAGCTCAAAAGAATCTGGGGCTCGCCTCTTTCAACCGCATCGTCAAATCACTGGAAGCTCTGGCCCCCGAAATTCGGGCCTGTTACGCCAGGCAGTTAACCGTCAGTGACCACGTTCTGGCCTGGATTATGTGCATTGATGGACTCTTCCTGCTGGAGCTGCTCACCTGCAACGGCAGTATCTTCAACTCCAGCTCTTCTTCTTCTTCTTCCGGTTCAGTCCGCAGTCGCGTGCTGCTGGACTCGTCGGAGACGGCCAAGATTCAGAGCTCTGTTTTCCGAGATGCGGTGAAGCTCGAGAATCAGATCCCAATTTTCGTTCTCGATGAGATTCTGAGCTTGGAAGATGAGATGGCGGAAGGGATCTCCATTCGGCTTGAATCCTCTGACCCGTTCCCTCACAGCGAATTGGTTCAATTCTGCGTTAAGATGTCGCCATTTCCAGCTCGCGATGCTTATCCTGATCGGATAAGCGAAATAATCGAGCCGCGCCACCTACTGGATCTCCTCTACCACCTCATCTTGCTTATGGGAATCCCACGTCGGCGACCTCCTATAGTATGCGACGGAGGGAACTTATTTCCAGGCTTGCCCTCGGCGATCGGCTGTGGGGAAGGGGAATCAGCAGTTCGTCAAGTACATAACCCTTCCGGTGACATTTGTCATCCAGCTGGTCGAGATATTCGGAATCTCCGACCACCTGAAGCAGCTCCTGGAAGAAGACAAATCGCTGATCCCTTCGGCGACCAAGCTCAAGAGCGCCGGGGTCCATTTCAATGCAGTGACAACTGTCAGGGACATCGGTTTCCAACCCGCCGGAAATGCCCTGAACCTGACAGAGCTCACCTGGCGAGATGCTCAGACCACCGGGACCGTTCTCAGGAACCTAATCGCCTACGAGTCGGTGGCCAGACCCGAATCCCCAATCCTCGCTGGGTACTGCGAGCTAATTCACTCGCTTGTCCGGACGACGGAAGACCTGACGGTGCTTGCCGACGCCGGGGTAATTCGGTTTGAAAAGAAGGAAGAGATGGCCGTCATGGCTCTGTTTAAAGAGGTGGGTAAATCCGGGGAGGCCAAGGACAAGAGAGTGTCGGAGACCGTGGCCGGCGTCAATGGTTACTACAATGGGATTCTCAAGGTTAAGCTGAAGGCGACGGGGAAGAAATGCTTGCAGTACAGCTGGACAATTCTGACGGTTGTTGCTGTTGTTGTACTACTCGGTTTGTTTACCCTTCAGACGGTTTGCCAAGTTGCCGACTGTAAGGATTTGTTCAAGATAAGTTCTTCAGGCCAGCCGACAAGCTCTGTGCTTACGTTGAACCGGTTCACCGGCGGCGGGGGAGGTGATAGTCTCTCTCCGGCTCTATGAGGACGAAGTTAAAGAATTGGCGCTTCGTTTTCAATTCCTTCCTTGGCGGATATTACCCTTTGGCCCAGCTCGAAATTGTCTTCTAGTTTGCAGTTTGGGGAGAACTTTGGTACGAGAATCAAGTCATCGTAAGAATTGGGGTTTGATCTGGGCTTGCGTATCTTTGATATTATTATTGTCTTTATTATTGTTTCTATTGTTCAATTAGTATTTGGATTATTGTTTTGGAGTTAATTATTGTTTTCTTGTGGTTAAGTTTCATAATTTGGGTAATAAATGAAGTGAGAGTCGTCGACCTAGTAGGAGCAGGAGTTTATCCCTTTCGTCCCAATTCTCTTCGTTCTAACTCTATTTCTTTACGTTTATCATTCAATTACTATGATGTACGTTACGTGAAAGTTCTAACTGGAGAAATCCACGTGACAAATGGTATCAGATCCTGGTTGGGTTCAGCTAAAACAGTGCCCATAGAAGATACAATGAGACTGCCTCCAGCACAGACAACAGAATTCGGATCAAGCTCTTCCTCTATCTCTGCAAACAAACATACTCAGATGCGGGAGGGTAATCTCCAGGCCGACAGAATTTGTTTGCAGACAACACGAAACATCCGCCCTCGAGAGCAATGTGAGTCATCGATGCTGGCCAAGTTGCCTCGAATCAGCTGTCGGTGTACAGTAGATTTCAATACCTGCAACAAGTGTTTAACAAGTACTCAAGCAACGATTGCACCAAAAATTGTTGGTATAGCTATTTGTTCAAGAAAGAAAGAAAGAAAAAGCTTTCACCTTCCCCATGCATGACAGTCCTTAGAAGGGGCATTCGATTTTCCCAGCAAATGGCGACACCTATCTTCCCCGGGAGTATCGGAAACAGGAATGGTCGATCCATCTCCAAACCCCCAAACTATTCGCTCGACAGACGTTGGCATCTTCTTCTTATGCTTCCCCAAGTAATAACCTTGGGAATCGAAGAACAAAACCGATCAGTAAAGCGTGTATCCATCCCTCTCTATCACTCCCATCACCAAGAACACCTTGTGTTGGAATCTGGCACGAAGATTTTGAAGTTTCAAATAAATCAACATTATGTCGTTTTGGTATTTGTCAGTTTTAGTCCTTTTTAGTTTATCTTGTGTCAGTCGATCCAGCTCGTGTACTCATTGAGAATCTCCTGCGTTCCAAGTAATACTGGACAGTGGTGGAAGAAGGTTTCAAGGAACCTGCTATAATGGCTTATTTAATTTATATACTAATTGATTTATGTTGTTGTTATGCTATCGTAGGTTGGGCCGGATGTTGATATATATAATCAACGATATTATGTTGATCAAGGACCGATTGATCCGACTATTTTATACGATCAGTACAATCATCGTTCAAGAGATGTTTGGAACGACCACAAGGTACATATTATTTATCATCACTTGTAATTTTTATTTTGCTAATTTATACAATACATTACTTAATTGTTAATCGTATTGATTATTTTCAATAATTTAAATCAGTACAATACAACACTTATTTAGACTCTTTATAAAGAAATGCATGTCTAAGGAAATGGGGTCTTAAGCGATCATCATGATCCTCCCATCACCTGGGAAAATCGGGTTCTAAACGATCCTCGGATCCCCCCTTTTTTCATCATGATACTCCTGCCTCCGCCTCGAGTCTTGGTACTCTTGGTGGGATGATCTTCGTATAATACACTCCCACCGTGGATACCAGATGTTTGGCCATCTCCAGAATGACCTACACCGCCTTCGACCGCGTTGGTGTAAACGAACATCTCCGCTTGTTTAATTTTATTGGTGGTCAAAAATTGGACCATGGCATCAACGTCCTCCTGAGTGGTAATGAGGAATTCCTCATTCCACAGCGACTCGCCATGTATGTTTGGATATCGATACACCACACGATCAACTCTTCTAGTGCCATCCATGCAGGTAACCTCAGTGCACATTTGATGGAGCTCTTTAAGCATCGGTCTCGTACGAACCTTCATTTTATAAAAATCGCCACCCACGTAACTTACATCCTTTTCTGCCTCTTCCGTGTAACCATTCCACCACAACCCACGTGTGAACCTTTGGAATGCCATCTGCAATAAAACTGTAATTAAGTTACTAACATTAAAATCACAAATGACAATGAAAAGTAATACAAAACAAACTTACGAATTAACGTTAATCGCAAAATCTGAATAATTTAAAGGTGAACAACTGAAATTTGAAGAAGAAGGAGGAGTGGAGTGAAGATTTTGAGTTTTCTGGATCGGCTTTTTATAGGCAAATTTTACACTACAAACCGCAGGGGGGAGTGGTTTTAGTCTGTCATGCAGCCCCCACCCCCTGCAACCTCCTGCACTCCTGCATGCCGACATGTCGGATGTCGGGTGACGAGGCACAAACCGTTGGAGGGGGGAGCGATTTATGTGTCGACATGGTAAACCGCTTCCCTGTGGAGCGTTTTACCATGCCGACACGTAACCTCTCCCAGAGGAAGCGGTTGGTGGTAGGGCAGCCATGAAAACCGCTCTTTTGAAGAGCGTTTTTTCCAAAATAGGCAAACTGCTTGTCGACCAGGCGGTTCTATGGTAAACCGTTGCCTGGGTGGGCGGTTTCTGTTATAACCGCCCCTGAGTGGAGCGGTTTTTAAAAAACAGTGGTAGATTTGGAAATTCTTGGGAATGGGTGGTATTTTTGTAATTTTTTTTAAAACAGTGGTAGTTTTGGATTTTTTCCTGACACGAAAGGGGCAGATGAATAATAATGAGCTGGAAAATAAAAAATAATATTTAAAATAATTTGAATTTTTTTAATGATTTTTAGGCTGACAAGGCAATGACATGGCGTGTTGACCGTCCAAATTGACGGTCAAACCATGTGTCCCGCCAATTGAGTCTATATATTGCATAGTTGAGGCCAAGATGTTAATTTCTGAAACCACAAGCCAAAGTTGATTATATGGTCATAGTTCATGCCAAAATAAGATATCAGCCCAATTAAATATACAAAATCGATAAAAAAGAAAAAAAAATGCATAGATCTATTCGTATGCCACGTGTTCTACTTTCTGAGCTACATATACAAGTATGAATCACTATTTAAACTAGCTTTTTACTCGACCCGTTGGCCGGAGAGGTTTATTTTATAATTTATATTAATTAACATATTTTTATGTTTAAATCATTTTGGATTTTCCAAATATTTTGTGTTCTTGATTCATAACAGAGTTTGTAGCATGTCTATATTGAAAATTTCCAATATTTAGCATACTCACTTGTGATGCTTCGGTTTTCTAATCATAAATGATGTCACTGTCACGTCCCATTTAGAACTTATGTCAAAATTTATCAACCAAAACACTAATATTTAGCGTACGCCAACCTGAATTCCCCCCCCCCCCCCAACACACATATATAGTTCAAGCTAGCGTGCGTAAGGAGTATGCCATACTCTTGCGTATTACCATATGCTCATTGAATTATACTATTTAGACCCCGAATTAACCAGAGTTTTTTGGGTCATGATACTATACTCTAACCTCTAATAGGTGAACTCCAGTCCCTAATTCTCTAACCTCTAATTTATGGGCATACTTCGTCATACCTATCTTCTATCGTATCTTGAGTAAAATCAAAAGTATAGTATACCTTGATATTGGGCGGCTTCTAGGGTACCCTGGGTGAGATTTGGGGTACCGCATACCTTGAGTATGAAAAAGCTATCTAGACCTCGAATTAGCAGGATTTTTGGGTCGGATAATATACCCTAACCCTTAATGAGTGAATCCTAGATCCTAATTGTCTAAATCATAAACTATAAACCCTAAAATGGTGCATTCATTTTTTTGCCTATATTTGGACGAATCATAACCTTCGATCATTGTTTCTAATTATATTGATCTTGGGATATAAGATTTAGAGAATTAAAACCTAGATTTTGATCTCTTGGAGTATAGTATCATGTCCGAAAGATCAGTCAATTCAAAGTTTGGATAACGTTTTCATATTAAAATTGCTACTTGCTTATCCCCCATTCCCGGGATAAAGATCTCGGTTTTACCCCCATAACGTCTGACAACCATTGGGGTTGTCTATCGTTCGATTTGTAATATATAAAGAGGAAAATCCTAAGATCCTGCTATTTATTTCTTATCCTCTCCCCCAACCCCCTTTATGGAGAATAAAAGGGTAGGGATGACAGGATCATAACTCAATATGGTTTTATTCTGTTCATCGTATCAGAGGTTATTTTCTTTTTTGGGCTTCTTTTCATTCTTCTTTGGCACCTATGGTTGTGATCAGAGGTATTTAGCCCCCAAAAGGGATTGTGATTTTAGGTCATTTGGAAATCCAATACACATTCATGATCCTCGAGTTTGGACGAACTCTCGACCAATGTTGTAACGATACTTCATTATGGGATCAATTTATTCATCTATATTGAAACTCGACAAACACTGTAGTCCTCATGATGATTAAATTCTCTAATCTCGACTCATTCCGTTTTGGATGTTATTTTTTTTATCAAGACACTTAAATTTAGTATATTATACAATATGTATCAATTGTTAATTCTTGAAGTTTAGACTAAACCTCAATCCGTGGTCATTGTTTATATGTTGGATTAGAATCTCAATCTAAAACACTCACACACACTAGGGGTGTTCAAATGGTTACCGTGGTAATAACCAAACCAATTAAGTTTAAATTTCATTAACGATAGAATAAAATGTCTTAACTAAACCGTCCAAATTAACACGAAAACCAAATTAACCAAACCAAAGTTTAATTGGTTTGGTTAATCGCATAATCAGATTAACCAAATAACATTACATTACATAAAAACAATTATCTTGTTAATGAATAAAACATAACCATATGTTATTACTATCATAAACTATCATTATATATAAGCAATAATAATAAGACTAACCATCCATGATTATCATCATCATTCGAGTTAATACATCATTCATCATTTCTACAACTAATATAGTTAGCTTACAACAAACCCTTAACATAAATATTAAATACATACCAATACCACTTATCAAGAAGTTAAACCTCTCCTAAACTACTAAGCAACTTGGGTTCCAATCTTCTCATATTATTAAACGAAAGACAACGTACATATTTATAGGCATAGAAGCCTCTACATTCTCCTATCTAGAACATGACTTCTACTAACTCCTATAAGGAATTAACTAACAATAACCAAACTATACTTAGACAAGGAAACTACTATTTAAGACAATGAATAATTAAAATACTAAATAATAATACACACAAGTCCATATTGAGGCCCAATAGTTACGATGGCTTGATTCTCGTAACACCAGCAATCTTTGGTCCCGTTGTGGCTTGAAACCTCCTTGAATCCATAAACTTTCTTCGGATCTGACGCCATTCTCAATTCCTTTCTACTTGGCCAGAACGAAACCACTGATCACAGAAGAACCGAAACAATAAGGGGATTTTTCCAGAGATTTAAAAAAATTACAAAAATAGCACCCAACCCACAAATTCCAAAAATAGCACCTTTTTTCAAAATCGCACGGGCGAGGTGCGGTTTACATAGAAACGGTCATCATGCACGACGCAACGGTCCCCAGGATCGTTGGATTAGGCGGCGATCTAACAGCCAATCGCACGCCAGGGCAGCTATCCGCGTCAGGGATCAAAGACCGCTAGCTCGTGGAATGGTTTACGCCTCGGGATCTGTGAACCGCTCCCTCTAGACGCGGTTTTGGTAAGGATAAAATTACTAAACCGCCCCTGGAGGGTGCGGTCTGAAGGCTATAAATACCCCACACCCCTCTCCATTTTTAACACCACAACCCATTCTTCTCTATCTCTCTAAAATTATCTCTCTATCCATCCCTCTCCCCTCCCAAAAGGCTAGGAAATAGTGGTCTGTTGGTTGCGGCTAAGTCCGATCTTCCATCAGAATACATTTCTTTGGTTTTTCCTTCAAAACCCGCCGAATCTCTGTCCGACTTTCGCGAAAAAATGGACAAGTGATTCCAAGAAGAGGGATTTTATTATGATGAATTTCAAGCGGTACGTACTCATTTTACCAAAATTTTCTTGTTGTTATAACCTTTTTAATTAATCTATGTACTAACCTTGTTGTTATTCGCTCGTAGGTTGGGGACGACATGGATATATACAACCAACTATATTATGTTGATCAAGGACCTAGTGATCCAACTATGTTGTACGACCAACCCAACCATCGTTCAAAGGAATGTTTGGAACGATCACGAGGTACATACAATTCTTCATCATTTGTCTTTCTTTTATTTTGCTAACGTTAGTGGAATATAAAATAAATTTGATCATTTTTAATAATATTGGTTGTTTTTAATAATTTAATCGAATACATAGCGCCACTTACTTAGACTCTTTATAAAGAGATGCATGCCTAAGGAAATGGGATTTTAAGCGATTACCATGATCCTCCTATTCCTTGGGAAAATCGGGTTTAAGCGATCCTCGGATCCCCCCTTTTTCTGTCAAAAAGGTTGTGTTTCTAAGAAGATGTATACCTCTTCTAAGAGTCTAACGAGTGTTGCATTGTATTCAATTAAATTATTTAAAACAACCAATCACTGAAAACCGCAGGGGGAAGGGCGGTTTTCATCTACCATGCAGCCCCACGTCTGTAAACCTGCATGGCCAACATGCTGGATGTCGGGAAAATGGGGACGACACACAAACCGCAGGGGGGGGGGTGTGGTTTGTGCGTTGGCAAGGGGCAAAACCGCATGTTGAGAATGCGGTTTGTATTGGAGAAACATAACCGCAGCCTCAACATGCGGTTCTGCTAGGTTAGCCTACGAACCGCATGATCAAGACGCGGTTCTGTTAGGTCAGCCTAATAACCGCTCCTCGAAGCTGCGGCTTTGGCCCAGAAAATAAAACCGCTTCCTCATGATGCAGTTTCCATGTAAACCACACGACCGATCCCAACAATAAGAACCCAGAAGAATTTAACAGCCTGAAAGAATAAACAATGACTCGATCCCAATCGAAGTCAACTGGGAGCAATGGACGCCAGGTACGAGGAATCAGGTAGGTAGCTAGTGGATGGATCCATTAGCATCCACTAGTCGGGTAAGTCAGACTTCAACTGATCATGGATCTGATCTTAAAGCTTCATAGTACTGTACTATAAGACTACTATAATCAGTAGTCTGAACACAGATCTAGCTAGTGCAATATTTTTTTTTTAAAAAAAAAGAGCAAAAAACTAAGTTTCTATTGCTCATAAGTTCATTCATTCCCAAAGAAAAAAGAAAGACTTGATCCCGTCGAAGATCGTGGATGGACCCGGACTAGCCGGGGTCAGTCAACTGTTTATAGATCCGATCTTAAAACTTCTGTACTATAAGACTACTATAATTAGTTGTTTGGTAACGTAGTTCGAAAATGTGCGATTTAAACTTACATTTGAATATGTATAGCTGTAAGACAACTTCAGAGTGTCTTGCTTAGGAATTTCACAGTGAATAGGTATTGGGAGCACGTCGATAGACTAAGATAACACTTATTATGTTCCTTAAGCATAACTATATAGAGGTAGGCAACAATGAGCCCTTCTAGTGTGCTCTATAGCACTCATGCTATAAAAAACAAAAACAAAAGATGACCTGTTGAGGAGGTAAACCCACTAAATGACTGGTCCCACATTATTAATGGCAATCTTGTAAATAATGAATCAATGTATACAAGTGTAGGTACAAATTAGAGTTGTACCATATCGTATAGGTACAAGTTTCAGCTGTACCATTGAAGAATTTGTTTCACAAAGTGTAGGTACAACTTAAAGTTGTACCATTAGTATAGGTACAATTTTGAGTTGTACCATAAAGGGATTTATTAGAAAGTGTAGGTACAACTTAAAGTTGTACCATGGTATAGGTACAAGTTTGGGTTGTACCATAAAAGAATTTTGAGAAAGTGTAGGTACAACCTTAGGTTGTACCATTAGTATTGGTACAATTTTTAGTTGTACCATAAAGGGATTTGTTAGAAAGTGTAGATACAACTTAAAGTTGTACCATGGTATAGGAACAAGTTTGGGTTGTACCATAGAAGGATTTTTAGAAAGTGTAGGTACAACTTAAAGTTGTACCATTAGTATAGGTACAATTTTGAGTTTTACCATAAAGGGATTTGTTAGAAAGTGTAGGTACAACTTAAAGTTGTACCATGGTAGGAAAAAATCCCAAAGTACACTAGTTCTTAAAAAAAATTCCCAAAATACATAAGTTATAAAAAAAATTCCAAAAGTACACATGTTTGAGCATCACCGTTTTAGACAAAAGCGGTGAAGGTCATCACCGCTTTTGACCAAGACGGTGAATACTTCACCGTTTTAAACTAAAACGGTGACGTATTCACCGTTTCAAACTAAAACGGTGAAGGGTTCACCGCGTTAGTAAAAAACGGTGAATACCTCACCGTTTTAAACAAAAACGGTGAAGCCTTCACCGTTTTAGACTTCCACGGTGAAGGCGCTGACGTGGACTAACGCGGGGTATTCACCGCGTTAGACAAACACGGTGAATACCCGTGTTTGTTTGCGTCAGCGATCCGCGTCGCTGGCGCGTTCACCGTGTCCGTTGGATGCGGTGAGGCGCGGATCGTGGTTTTCTTTTCAGATCCGACGCCTCACGCTGAGCCATGTCGCTCGATCCGCGCCTCATCACCGTGTTCGAGAAACGCGGTGCCTTCACCGTTTCTGACGGACGCGGTGAAGGCTGGGAGAATTCAATTCTCGGCAGATCCCCCAACTATAAATAACCCTTCCCCTTTCACTTTCAACTCACACCACAAACATTTCACTTCTTTCTCCCCCAATTTATCCGCTCTAGTCTCGTTCTAAGTATGCTCTGTGGTTGCGGCTAAGTCTGATCTTCCACATCAGAAAGAATTACTAGAGTTTGACCCTAAAGCCCCCGTCCCGCTAAGTTCCCGTCCCTTACAAACCTAAACCCGTCGAACCTCTGTCCGGCTTCCGCCAATAATGGACGAAGAGGCTCTTCGTGTAGGTTTTTGGTTTATGATTTTTTTTTTTATCAAAACAATCTCTGATTTCATTACTTTTTTATAGATGGGTGCCGAGATATACGATCCTCGATTGTATATCCATTATGGCCCAAGGGATGCGAGTCTCTTAACCGATCAAGAAGCTCATCACTCCCGTGCCATTTGGGATAACAATCCGGTAATTTGATGAACTGACTTGCTTTATTTTATTATTTTCTAATGTTTTATTTTGCTTTATTTAATCTAATAAATTGATGTTTTTCCTATTTTTTTTAGGAATCTCTTGTTCCCGTGGTTCATAAAGGGACCAATAACTTGCCCGCTTGGCATCCAAGGTTGGAGCCCTATATAGCGAGGACCGGTTTGGGAATGTTGCGCCATTTCTTGCGGATCGAGATCGACAACGATCTGCTTACGGCAATGGCGGAACGATGGCGTCCCGAAACCCATACATTCCACCTTCCGGAGGGGGAAATGACGATCACCCTCAAAGACGTGGCGATCCTCACCGGGCTTCCTATTTCTGGAGATGCAATCATTGGTTCCACGACCAAACCCGAAGGAGGTTGGGGGCCGCTCATACGTGATCGTTTGGGCTTCGACATGCCGACCACCACACCAATTCAAGGACGGGGGCATCCACCGTTGAATGCGGGGCAAGTGTCGGTCCCGTGGCTGGTATCTCACATCCAGCAAGAGGTGGAAATCAATGACGAGACACCGGAAGAACAAGTCGAGCGCTACGCCCGCATCTACCTCATGGTGGGTGGATTTTTGTTCCCCGACAAGTCCAACCGGTGGATTCAAGGCATATGGTTGCCATTGCTCACTGGTGACTGGGATGCAATTGGAGAGAAGAGTTGGGGATCGGCCGTGCTAGCGGGCGTATACCAGGAGCTGTGTACTTGCTCGAAGGTTGGGGCAAAGCAAGCTGGTGCTGCGATGTTCATCCTGCAACTGTGGGTATGGGAGCATCTCCCGATGTTCGCACCTCTCGACCCACGTCCATACCGGAGAAACGATGATGAACTCAACTTTCTGCAAAATCTCCCCTACGGTGTCAAGTAAGTTTATTTCGTACTTAGCCCAATTTAATTTTGATTGCATGCTTAGCTAGATTTAAATTGAATTTATTCCGTACTTAGCCCAATTTAATTTTGATTGCATGCTTAGCTAGATTTAAATTTTATTTATTACGTACTTAGACCAATTTAATTTATTATATGCTTAGCTATATTTCAACTAAATTGATTCCGTACTTTTACTTACAAGGTGGATAGGAGCAAATACGAATGACCATCAACCTGAGCATTCGTTATTGTTTTATCGTTCTGAGTTAGATAAACCATGGTGGAATCAGGTAATCATGTTTTGTCCATATTTGAACAAGTTAAATTTTGTCAATGTAAATGGTCATTAATTCCGAATTTTTGAATGAATATAGGTTATATGGGATCCATATCCACGTGAAGTGGTTGAGATGCATCATCTTAGAATACTGGTGAGAATGAGATTCACCGACCGCCTCGGTCTCAACATACACCTCTGCAAGCCGGACTTGGTTATCGCTTAGGAACTGTATCATCATCATAACCGCGTCATCATCGTTTATGACAACTTCTTGGAACACGACCCCGCCAGCACTCATGTCTGGATACCGGTAAGTAATTTTTCCAAGTCTCGTCTGTCCGCTCGTACAAACCCTTTCTGCACAAAGATCACAGAGTTCTTGAAAATTGAATCGGGATTCAATTTTCAGCATAATGGATTCGCCGTCCTCATAATCAATGCCTATGTCAGAGGGTGTCACCCTTCCATTCCACCGAATAGTAAGATGAAACTTCTTGAATTTACCCATATCTACAATTTACAATAAGTATCTATTAGCTTAGAGACAGTAAAATTAACCAAAATCATATTGTACAACTAATATTAAATCATACCATAACTAACGAAAATAAATTCAACTAACTAACAACAACATAATACGAAAATTAAATCATACTATAACTAACGAACATAAGTTCAACTAACTAACAACAACATAATATGAAAATTAAATCATACTATAACTACTAAAAACATAATTAGACTATAATACGAAAAGTCTCAACATACCGAAAAATTTCTGTTCTGTGTATTATGCTCGATTTTGGCTGCTGAAATTTGAAGAAAGGGGAGTGGTTATGTTTTTACAACTGCTGGTGGTGTGCAATTTATAGGAAAATCTGCCTACTATTCACCGTTTTTGTCGAAAACAGTGAACACCATCACCGCGTTTGTCTCAAACGGTGAATAGGTGGTAGCTGCGACCTAATTTTGACCTACCAGGGGTGGGAAACGTGGGAAATGATCACCGCGTTACTTAACAACGATGAATGGGTTCACCGTTTTTGACCAAAACGGTGATGTCTTCACCGTTGTTAATTAACGCGGTGAAAACTTAACCGTTTTAGTTTGAAACGGTGAATACTTCACCGTTTTTGTTTAAGATGATGAAGTATTCACCGTGTTCGTCAAACGCGGTGATGACCTTCACCGCTTTTGTCTTAAACGGTGATGCTCAAACATGTGTACTTTGGGAAATTTTTTTATAACTCATGTATTTTGGGAATTTTTTTTAAGAACGTGTGTACAGTGGGATTTTTTCCTACCATGGTATAGGTACAAGTTTGGGTTGTACCATAAAAGAATTTTGAGAAAGTGTAGGTACAACTTAAGGTTGTACCATTAGTATAGGTACAATTTTTAGTTGTACCATAAAAGGATTTGTTAAAAAGTGTAGGTACAACTTAAAGTTGTACCATGGTATAGGTACAAGTTTGGGTTGTACCATAGAAGGATTTTTAGAAAGTGTAGGTACAACTTAAAGTTGTACCATGGTATTGGTACAATTTTGGGTTGTACCATAGAAGGATTTTGAGAAAGTGTAGGTACAACTAAAAGTTGTACCATTAGTATAGGTACAATTTTGAGTTGTACCATAAAGGGATTTGTTAGAAAGTGTAGGTACAACTTAAAGTTGTACCATGGTATAGGTACAAGTTTGGGTTGTACCATAATTTTTTTTTGATAAAGTGTAGGTACAACTTAAGGTTGTACTATTAGTATAGGTACAATTTTTAGTTGTACCATAAAGGGATTTGTTAAAAAGTGTAGGTACAACTTAAAGTTGTACCATGGTATAGGTACAAGTTTGGGTTGTACCATAAAAGGATTTTTAGAAAGTGTAGGTACAACTTAAAGTTGTACCATGGTATAGGTACACGTTTGGGTTGTACCATAGAAGGATTTTGAGAAAGTGTAGGTACAACTAAAAGTTGTAGCATTAGTATAGGTACAATTTTGAGTTGTACCATAAAGGGATTTATTAGAAAGTGTAGGTACAACTTAAAGTTGTACCAATAGTATCTGTACAATTTTGAGTTGTACCATAGAGGGATTTGTTAGAAAGTGTAGGTACAACATAAATTTGTACCATAGTATAGGTACAAGTTTGGGTTGTACCATAGACGAATTTTGAGAAAGTGTAGGTACAACTTATGGTTGTACCATTAGTATAGGTACAATTTTGAGTTGTACCATAGAGGATTTGTTAGAAAGTGTAGGTACAACTCAAAGTTGTATCATGGTATAGGTACAAGTTTGAGTTGTACCATAGAAATTTTTTGAGAAAGTGTAGGTACAATTTAAGGTTGTACTATTAGTATCGGTACAATTTTGAGTTGTACCAAAGAAAGATTTGTTAGAAAGTGTAGGTACAACTTAAAGTTGTACCATAGTATAGGTACAAGTTTGACTTGTACCATAGAGGGATTTGTTAGAAAGTGTAGGTACAATTTAAAGTTGTACCATAGTATAGGTACAATTTTGAGTTGTACCATTGAGGATTTGTTAGAAAGTGTAGGTACAACATTAAGTTGTACCATAGTGTATAGGTACAATTGTGAATTGTATCATAGAAAATTTTTGGGAAAGTGTAGGTACAACTTTAAGTTTAGTGTAAAGGTATAACTTTAGAAAGTGTAGGTACATCTTAATTCCACAACCGTTATTTTACCTGAATGAGCTGTGAGAACATTTGAGTGGCAGTTGTGTGTTTCAATTTCACGTGAGATTTTGACGGGCGTGAGAATGTCAAGTAGTAGCCGTGAAATTTCCTGGTATAGTGAGAACTGCTCTTTACATCTCACGGGACATCTCACGGCAGTGAGATTTACCTGAGGAATGAAACACTACTTTTTACATCTCACTTGAGCATTTCACTTGAGCATTTTACCAGTATGAGGTGTCAGATTTCCAGTAGGAGACTTTCACCTGTTGAACTATCCCCTGAGAAAATCGGAGTGGTTTCCATATCACAGCTTATTCTCACGCCCATGAGAGTTTAATTACAAGCCGTGAGGCATCCTGGGTGTGACCGAGCAATGTGAAAATTGCACGGGTGAATCTCACGCCCGTGAGAAGTTACAGATGAGCCGTGAGAAATCCAACATTTCAAATCCATAAACACGGCTCATCTCACGGTCGTAATATTGTCGAACCCAACCCGTGAAAATCCATGGGAAACTGAGAACTGCATTTTTACATCCACGGCCTCTCTCACGGCCGTGATATTTCCAGAATTTCAAATCCAAAAACACGACTTCTTTCACGGGCGTGATATTGTTGCATCCAATCCGTGAAAATCCCTGAAAAACTGATACCTGTATTTTTGCATCCACGGGGCGAGCTCATGGCCATGAGATTTCCAGAATTGGCTGTGAGATACATTCACCTGTAGAACTAACCCCCGTACTTATTATAATGGTGTAAGAAACACAACATACTGTTTTTGAAAACTACAAGCTTATGAAAAGATGAGTCATAATGTTCTTTGAAGCTAGACACGAGCATTACAGGTTGTGCTTGGATCGTTTGGGAAGTAGAACAGATTCTTGAGTCTCCACATGAAAGTTGCTTTCACCTGCTCCTGTGGACTCGAAGTTGTGTTCTTGTTGCGTAAAATGACTATCACCTGCACCTGCTTCAGCCATTCTTTTCAGCGGGCAATTTCTGATTGTATGTTTAGGACGCCTACAATACTTGCACAACCGTCTTTTCACTTGAGGTTGCTTCACATTCCCTTTACTTCGAACTGGATGGGGGGTCCTTAATAAACTGAGAGGAGTTCACTCTAGCATCCGTAGTAGCATTATTTGTTTTGCTGGTTGTTTTTTCACTTATTGTCTTCACTCGCAAGGTCAAGTCTTCAATCAACCCTTTGACAGTATGAAATGCTTCATCTGAACTCACAGCATAATGGCACATTCTACTACATTGACCAACCAAGAATCCAAACCTGTCCAAATAAACAGCAGGTACCTGATGAATATGATTAGTAGAGCGCTGAGTCGTCTAAAAACATGCAAATGTAGTCAATAGTTTCAAGTAGCAAAACCTTGTCTACAAATAATTTCCAGGACAGTAAGATACAACAAATTACCAGAGTGTACATCTAGACTACTATGCCACCAAGACCCTTTCCAGTTGTTCTGTGCACTGGTGCATGTCAAACAGAACAAAAAGCAAGTTAATATACAACCAGAGATGGAGCAAATCAAGTTCAACTAGATGCAACCACAATGAAACTGTGGACTTTCACAGCTTTAAAAAGTAAAAAGAAAAAACACATATTACTTCCATTTCACACAGCAAAATTCAACTTATGAATTCGTTTATCCTTTTAAAAGAGTGTAAGAACTCGGAGACATTAACCTACAGCTAACTGCCCGAACAGGAAAACAAGCACATATTTTCATTTTGTTCAATCCTGATTGGATAAGCCTTTTTTAATCAACTAGATTCAAGTTAGTGCCTTATTCCACTTTCTAAGTTTCACTAAGCAGATGGGCCTTTCATTTTGCTCACATTGTAAATGTGTCTGTCAGCAAGAGAGCAACAGGTAGCTACATACTTACCTGACGGACCCATACCGTCGAGATATCTGCAATGCGGATTCCAGGCATAAAGATCAACTAGATGACCAAACCTGTAGCAGGGATATGACGATAGTTCAGATAAAAGAAACTAAGCAGCATGTTCATATATGATAAAATACCACAAAGGAAAAAAGTCATTCCATAGTATTGGTTTTATGGTTAACAACTCAACACTAAAAATCCAACTAAAAACAACCAACAAAATGAAGTTTAGAGACAATTAAAATCCACATTTTCACCACCCACAACCCAGTGAATCCAACAATACATTAATCAATTGTATCGACCTAAAAATCAGTTATTCCCCCAATACCCAATTCAGGGTGCTTAATGCAATCTACCTACATGTCAACAAATTGTATCGACCTAGAAATCAACAATCTGATGCAAGCCTACAGAAGCTATAGTAGACATGGAAGACTGGCTTTGGTTGGTCTCTGCCCTGAACAGCCATGGAGGACTATCTAAGCATAGGATCATCTACCAACAATAGTTGAAGGTACAACTTAGCACAACAGCAGTAAAGGGTAACAACTTAGCATTCAACAATCAATAGGAGAACATACATAAACAGGAGAATGCTAGCTTATGCTTGGCGAGAAGAGAGAAGAACAGACACGGAACAAGGCTACAACGAGAAAGCCATGTATAAATCCAAGTTATGGATGCCCTCGAAGCAGAGCTACTCAAGAAACACCAACCCTTCTAGAGCTCTGAAATCGGAAGGAAACCTAAAATATACGACCAAATCTCAACGCCAATCCGTCCCTTACGAGTCACAGAACAGAGCAGGCGCAAAAATTATACCCTCTTTCGGCGCCGGCGCCGCGGTACGCGAACTCCGTCCTTGCTTCTAGATGGAGCGAATCGAGCTGAACTGAAATCAAAGAACAACAGAAAATTGAAGATCACCAACAACGATCACTATATACCCAAAAAAAAAGCTCGACAAAACAAGAACATCAATTCAATGAATGAGTGCAGAAGAGCATTCCACGCACCATATTCAGATTCCGGCTGCCGGCCTTATTCTGATCCATATTCAGATTCCTGTTTATGCCCATAGCCCGATCCACCATACTCGAACTCCTACTTACGCCCGTAACCCAATCCATGCTCATATTCGGTTCTTCGACCATATCCGCCGCTGCCAGGTCCGTATTTACCCTTTGTCCTCCCGCTTTATCCGCCGGCACCAGATCTGTATTCAGTCTCTGTCCTCCCGCCGCCATCGCTGCCAAATCCGTACTCGATCTCAATCCTCCTGCCATATTCGCCTCCGCCACCGATCTCAGTCCTCCCACCATATCTGGATCCGTACTCAGAATCACCGGCAGGCATGCCCCCGCCGGCCTGAAATCCGTAAGCGGGACCAGATCGGGGCTAGGACGGGAGTAGCTGCTCGAGGTAAGAACCTCGTCGCCGTAGGCAGAGGGCTCCGATCATAATAAAAAAAACGCTCCGATTTTTTGTACGGGATGGTCAAAGAGTAGAGAGACGATGCGAGATCAAAGGAAGAGATTCGCTGCCTCTGGAGTTGGAGTCGGTAACTGCATTTCCGGTGACAGCAAGAATGGATGTCGGCGGTGAGAAGAGGGTCTCAGATCTGCTCGGAGAGGAGAAGGATAAGAGAATGGGTTTCGAACTTTTTTCACATACAACCGGTTGTACCGGTTGACCATAAACAAATAAAACAATATATTAATAATCTAAATAAGATCTAATGGCTGATATATTTTGAACATGATCTAATGGTTGTAAACGTTTTATAGCACCAATACTATAAATCACACTAAAATGTCTCAGGCAACAATATCCAGAGGAGAGGGGGATGACAGAAACTAAATTTTCTATATCAAATATTTTCAATAGCCGAAGAACATTGAGAGCTATTGAGATCTTATTGTAAACTTGTAAACTAACTTTCTTATTACTAAATGTTAGATACGTTATTAATCATTTGTAATAAAGGGTGAAAGTATTGCATCTTGTTATTTTTATTCATCATGTAGTACAAATGGATATTTTTGTTTCTAACGTTTAGACATACTTAGGTGACGCATAAAGGAGCTAGACGCTAAACGAGGTCCCTAACGTCCAACACCCACCTTACACCTACGGATGACAATGGGGGGTTGGGTGGAGCCAGTTTTCATAAATATCATAAACTATGGCTTTAACATGGCAACCATCCACATAGCTTAAACTTTGTGGAGATGTAATATGACATAAAAAAACAAACAAGTATGCGATTTGTGGAAAACCGAAAACGCACACGTACCATCCTTAAACAATCATATATAAAGGACTTAATATAATTAAGATATTTCTTAGACTGTCAATGTAAATTGGGGTTTTTAGAGATATTAATGACGAAAATGCTTAAGTGAGTAACCCTAGAACATAGTTATGGCTATGGCTGCAAATGAGTCGAGCTACTCGTGAGCAGCTCGAGAAAAACTCGTTCGAAACTCAGCTCGTTCGCAAATAAAACGAGCTTGAGCTAAGTCTTACTCAGCTCATGAGCTAGCTCGACTCGGTGGCTTGTTGAGCGCAACTTGTGAGTTGGCTCGTTTAGAGCTCATAAGATGTCTTAATATTGTGGGGCTAGAGAGGCAACCTGTCTAGCAACTTATCAGTGAATTGATGTGTATCTTATGATTTGAATTTTGATAATTCATAGGTTTGTTAAATATATTTCACTCTATATGATGCTTAAGATGTTAAGCATGTGAGCAAATGTGTCTTTTAATTATGAAAAGAAATTATGTAGCATAGATTGATTCAATACTACAAAATTACATGATTTGGACAAAATATTTATTAACTAAATGGTTTGATACTAACATAGTAGAAAATGAAATTAGTTAATATTGAACGTTTGACTATTATTTTTTTCAACTTGATATCTATCACATGTATCATACATAACATACAAAATGAACGCATCAAACATGAATCAAGATTCTTGTAAACAAATCTAGCTCGACCTCGACTCGACTCGTTAGTAAATGAGCTCGACTCGATTATTAACGAGTCAAGCTTAAACTCGGCTAAAACTCGACTCATTTGCAGCCCTAGTTATAACACATGTTCAAATGAGTTAAATGTGAATACTAAAATTACACCAAATCCATTATCCTCTTTGTTGTGTTCCGAGAGATACTTTTAAAAAAAATCATGTTCCGAGAAAACTCACTCAAAGTCCAATATATAATATGGATTGGATTTTACGTGACAAAATAAATTGGTAGCCACCATAATGAATTATTTTGTCATGACTACACCTCCCAACGTTGTACGTACATTGTTGTGGGGGAATGAAGAACCAGGGTTGGACAATCGGTTAGCAGTTAGCGGTTAACCGAAGGGTTACTACAAAAAATGACCGGTTATTCACTAACCGATAATTGAGATAATCGAAACTTGGTCGGTTTTCGAAGGCTGGGTGATATGGTTTTGATCTTGGGGGTTGTTCGATCGATTAACCGAAAATCGAGATAACTGAGGGCTTAAGCCCTCTTTTGATCGGTGGTCGGTAGGGTTGGGAGGTGGTTCGGTTGACAGATAACCGATCCTTTATCGGTTATAACCAAACTGACCAATCCTCCACCCCTATGAAGAACGTGTATACACAGATCTAGACAGGGGCGGATCCGAGTGGAGGCTAGGGTGTCCCTCGATACCTCTCAAATTTGAAAGAAGAATTAATGAATCTATAGTAGTAGATTAAGTATGAGGAAAAATGAAAAACTGATTGTACATGTGATTCGAATCTATAACATTTTCATTGTCAGTGAACATTTTTTTTCCATTTGACTACGTACACTTATTTTGTTGTTGTAATTTTTATAAATGTTACTATAAACGTGTAGCTTTTATCCCCAATTTTTCCAAAGCCTAAAACTAAACCAACAAACTATCCTTTATTCCCACGGTACTCTAACACACGATTTTTATCATAGTGTTAGGTCACCTTGTTGATTCTTTTCTTCTACGGGAATTCAAAAATTATTATCATTGTGTTGAACATGATGAGTTATTTTGTCGACTAAAAAAAATTGATGAATTAGCTTAGTTGAAGATGGAGACAAAATTGAATCTATCATATCCATTGGGTTTATTGGCTCCTCAAAGTTGTATTGATTTTACCGGTGACAACTCCAAATGTTGAAACTTGAAAGAGCCTTTTTAGCTTAGGATTACATCAAGGGCAAGTTTCATGATAGAATATGCTATAGGTTCGTGAATAATTGTCTAGTAGGATATACTGAACGGAATTTTTTGGACAGCAACAAGTATAATTTACAAATTTTATTCAAAATAAGATAACACATCATGTAATTTTGTTATAACATATAGTAGTTGGATATTTTATTGTTTAGCAATTTATTAGAAATTTCGATTTAATTTTTGAAAGGCACAACACTATGTAAAATTCTTAGGTACCCAGGGCCAGGATACTATGCTAACCCCTAAAGGGGTAGTGATTTTCGACACCCTCCTTTTGATTGGTCACTTATCCATTTAATCATTTGGTAAGTTGTATTAATGAAAGTTGCTTTTTATTTTATTTATTGTAATCTTGTAAATTGGGAAAGCCTTAATTGTGATAATAATTATGAATGGGGAAGGAGAAAAACGTTGGAGGAGGAAAGTGCCTTTTCAGCTCCTATATTCCTCATATTCCCTCCCGAAAAAATAGCACCCATTTCTCTCCTCTGCAGAACTTGACGGTGGCCCTCTCCTCTGCAGAAATCGATGGTGGCCGGAAACCATCGAGTTGCTCGCCGACGGTGGGATCGCCTTCGCCGGCCGGAAACCCTCTCCCGACGTCTTCTCAGTCCAGCAAAGCCTCCCTCCGGCGGTCCACAACCTCCGTTCCGCCGACCCTCTCCCGTCCCTCTGTTCCCCTCGAGTCTCCTCCTATCTCCAGCTGCCGCCATCCTGGGATCGCCTCTGACCTACCTTGTGGATTGCTCGCACCAGTGGAGTGGTACGTGTACCAGTGGAGTGGTACGTGTACCAGTGGAGTGGTATTTGTATCATTGAAGTGGTACTGCATTGTTGCTCCGTTATTGTTTATCATTGTTCTGAAAAATATCATTGCACTGGTATTGTTCTCACTCTAACCTACCTTGTGGATTGCTCGCACCAGTGGAGTGGTACGTGTACTAGTGGAGTGGTACGTGTAATTAATGTACCAGTGAGAGAAATTAATTATGTAATTAATGGGGGTGATTTCGTATTTCCCCAGATTCTTTCTCTTTTCCAATGTGGTGAGAGACCCCAAATTACAAGATTAAAAAAAATAAAAAACCAGTTTAATTAATACTTGCCAATGATTGGAAATAAAATTGGCCAATCATAAAGGGGTGTCAAAAATCACTACCCCTTTAGGGGTAGTCAAGCTAACCGATCCCTAGGTACCCACTATAAAAAAGCTCTGTTATTGCCGCCATCAATTCTCGCCCGCAATCAGAAACCAAAAACTCGACCGAAATGAGGGAAATCTCCCCAACCGCATCCCAAACCGCAGCCTGGAACTGGAGCTCCGGAGGAGAAGAGAGCCGACCTCCAACGCTCGTCCGGCGACGGTGACAGCAGCCAGAGAACCCACCAAACAGGGCAACTGGCTGATCCAAATCCAAACTCACCTCACGCTAGACCTCGACCACAATGTCCCCATCTCGTCCTGCATTTTCCCTGTTCCCGACCAGTACTCCTCTGCCAAACCCGAATCGTTCGCCCCACAGCTTATCGCCATCGGCCCTCTCCACCACTTCCTCAACGGCCTCATGCTGATGGAGACGTTCAAGCTCGGCGCAGCAAAACGAGCTCAAAAGAATCTGGGGCTCGTCTCTTTCAACCGCATCGTCAAATCACTGGAAGCTCTGGCCCCTGAAATTCGGGCCTGTTATGCCAGGCAGTTAACCGTCAGTGACCACGTTCTGGCCTGGATTATGTGCATTGATGGACTCTTCCTGCTGGAGCTGCTCACCTGCAACGGCAATATCTTCAATTCCAACTCTTCTTCTTCCGGTTCAGTCCACAGCCGCGTGCTGCTGGACCCGGCGGAGACGGCCAAGATTCAGAGCTCTGTTTTCCGAGATGCGGTGAAGCTCGAGAATCAGATCCCAATTTTCGTTCTCGATGAGATTCTGAGCTTGGAAGATGAGATGGCGGAAAGGATCTCCATTCGGCTTGAATCCTCTGACCCGTTCCCTCACAGCGAATTGGTTCAATTCTGCGTTAAGATGTCGCCATTTCCAGCTCGCGATGCTTATCCTGATCGGATAAGCGAAATAATCGAGCCGCGCCACCTACTGGATCTCCTCTACCACCTCATCTTGCTTATGGGAATCCCACGTCGGCGACCTCCTATAGTATGCGACGGAGCGAACGTATTTCCAGCCTTGCCCTCGGCGATCTCTAAGCTATGGCAGGCTGTGGGGAAGGGGAATCAGCAGTTCGTCAAGTACATAACCCTTCCGGTGACATTTGTCATCCAGCTGGTCGAGATATTCGGAATCTCCGACCACCTGATGCAGCTCCTGGAAGAAGACAAATCGCTGATTCCTTCGGCGACCAAGCTCAAGAGCGCCGGAGTCCATTTCAATGCAGTGACAACGGTCAGGGACATCGGTTTCCAACCCGCCGGAAATGCCCTGAACCTGACAGAGCTCACCTGGCGAGATGCTCAGACCACCGGGACCGTTCTCAGGAACCTAATCGCCTACGAGTCGGTGGCCAGACCCGAATCCCCTATCCTCGCTGGGTACTGCGAGCTAATTCACTCGCTTGTCCCGACGGCGGAAGACCTGACGGTGCTTGCCGACGCCGGGGTGATTCGGTTTGAAAAGAAGGAAGAAATGGCCGTCATGGCTCTGTTTAAAGAGGTGGGTAAATCCGGGGAGGCCAAGGACAAGAGAGTGTCGGAGACCGTGGCCGGCGTCAATGGTTACTACAATGGGGTTCTGAAGGTTAAGCTGAAGGCGGCGGGGAAGAAATGCTTGCAGTACAGCTGGACAATTCTGACGGTTGTTGCTGTTGTTGTACTACTCGGTTTGTTTACCCTTCAGACGGTTTGCCAAGTTGCCGACTGTAAGGATTTGTTCAAGATAAATTCTTCAGGCCAGCCGACGAGCTCTGTGCTTACATTGAACCCGTTCACCGGCGGCGGGGGAGGTGATAGTCTCTCTCCGGCTCTATGAGGACGAAGTTAGAGGATTGGCGCTTCGTTTTCAATTGTTCAATTAGTATCTTTGATATTATTATTGTCTTTATTATTGTTTCTATTGTTCAATTAGTATTTAGATTATTGTTTAGGAGTTAATTATTGTTTTCTTGTGGTTAAGTTTCATAATTTGGGTAATAAATGGAAGTGAGAGTCGTCGACCTAGTAAGAGCAGGAGTTCATCCCTTTCGTCCCAATTCTCTTGGGATCGTTTGGATGGATCAATTTATAAATGAGTCAATTTGATCAATTGTCTCGTTTTATAAACAAGGCAATTGTCATCCGCACTCGAGAGCAATGTGAGTAATTGATGCTGGCCAAGTTGCCTCGAATCAGCTGTAGGTGTACACTAGATTTCAATACCTGCAATAAGTGTTTAAGAAGTATCAAGCAACGATTGCACCAAAAATTGTTGCTATAACTATTTGTTCAAGAAAGAAAAAGTTTTCACCTTCCCATGCATGACAGGCCTTAGAAGGGGCATTCAATTTTCCCAGCAAATGGTGGCACCTATCTTCCCCGGGGGTATCGAAAACAGGAATGGTCGATCCATCTCCAAAACCCCAAACTATTCGCTCAACAGACGTTGGCATCATCTTCCTATGCTTCCCCAAGTAATGACCTTGGGCATCGAAGAACAGAACCGAGCAGTAAAGCGTGTATCCGTCCCTCTCTATCACTCCCATCGCCAAGAACACCTTGTGTTGGAATCTGAATTGGAGCATGAAGATCGAAGGCAGAAGCAGTGGCGCGAATGAATCAAAGGCACGAAGATTTTGAATTTTCAAATAAACCAACATTGTGTCATTTTGGTATTTTTTTCAGTTTTAGTCCTTTTTAGTTTATCTTGTGTCAGTCGAGTCCAGTTCGTGTGTTGAACTGATTAGTAGCTTTCAAGCTGAGTTTGGTAGTTAGTTAGCTACTTTATAGAATGATGGAGTTGAGGGAGGTTGGATTCACAGGCTGAGGATCTTGTATTTATGTTGAACTTATTTCATTCAATAAAACTTCGTCAAATTGTAATACAAAGAGTTTTCATTTGGTATCAGAGCTTTGCAAGCTGTAACTAAAGGCTTTCAAGCAAACTTTCAAGTGAAGTGTGAGAGATATCCAGTTTTCAATAGAGAGTTGAGCTGTGGGAAACACAAGAGATATTGTGTAAGGTACGTATGATAAACATGGTGAGAGACTAGAGAAAGATGAGTGACTCAGGTAGATTTGGTCAGATTGGTCTTCCCATATTCGATAGAGACTTTGATCATTGGAGCTTACTCATGGAGAATCTCCTACATTCCAAGGAATACTAGACAGTGGTGGAAGAAGGTTTCAAGGAACCTGCTATAGGAGAAGAGTTGTCTGCTGGTGACTCCAAAATCGTGAGTGAGTTGAGATTCAAAGACCTAAAAGCTAAAAATGATTTGTTCAATTCCATTGATAAAAATAATCACCAAGAAGTCTACTGCCAATGAGCTTTGGGATTCCATGAAGCTGAAATATCCAGGGTCTGCAAGAGTCTAGAAGGCACAACTGCAGGCTCTGAGAAGATCATTTGAGTGTTGGAAATGAAGGAAGTGGAGACTGTAGCAACTTACTTTGGCAGAGTGATGATTGTGGCAAATGACATGAGGAACTGTGGGGAGGAGATATCAGATGGGAAGATAGTGGAGAAAATTCTAAGAACATTGACTGAAAGATTCAATAACGTGGTCTGCTCTATAGAGGAGTCCAAAGACATTGAACTATTGACTGTTGATGCTCTCCAGAGTTCCTTGACTGTTCATGAACAGAAGTTCACCAGGAGGCAATCCATAGAAAATGACCAAGACCTCTGAGTTACTCATGACTTTGCTGGACAAGGTGGAATAGGATCAGGAAGAGGAGTTTATCAGGGAAGAGGTAGAGGACACGGTGGTAGATGCTGAAACAAGGACGATGTGGAGTGCTACAAGTGCCACAAGCTAGGACACTACAGAAATGAGTGTCCAGTATGATATAGTTCTTATCAAGCACATTACTCTAATTGTATGCAAGACAAGACAATGGGAGACTTGCAGGATGACATGCTATTGATGGCAATTGTTGAAGAAGATACCAGTCAGAAGAGCATTAAATGTCTAATGGCTTTAATAGCAGAATCACAAACTGAGAAAGATGAAGACTGGTGGTTCCTTGACTGGGGTTGCAGCAATCATATGAGTGAAAATAAGAAGTGGTTTGTTTAAATGAACAAAGATTTCAACTGCAATGTGAGGCTAGGCAACGACACCAAGCTGGATGTGGCTGGAAATGGTACTGTGAGGTTGCTGATCAACAAGCTTCCTATACTCATTCAAGAGGTATTGTATGTTCCCAGTTTAAAATCAAACCTCTTGAGTGTCGGACAATGGCAGGAGAAAGGGTTGGCTTTTCTGATCAAGGATGGTTGTTGCAAGATCTTTCATGAGGAAAGAGGTTTCGTGGTTCAAACTGAGATGAAATCTAATAGAATGTTTGTGATTCATGCTGAAGTAGGGGCAGAGAACAACAAAAGTTCAACCACTCAATATCTGCATGCTGAGAAATCAGCATAATCATCTCTAAAACTGTGGCACAGGAGGTATGGACATCTTAATATGCGAAGCTTGCAGATGCTAAAGAAGAAAGAACTTGTTCAAGGTTTACCAGCAATGCAAGAGGTTGGAGTATGCTCTACCTGTTTAACTGGCAAACAACATAGGCTGCCATTTCCTAGGAAGAGTCAATGGAGCGCAACCAAAAAGCTCCAGCTGATCATTGCTAACCTTTGTGGCCCCATTACACATGTTTCCAGTGGGAGCGAGAGGTACATTTTCACCTTGCAGATGATTTTAGTAGGAAATTGTGGGTTTATTTCCTGACTACAAAGTCTGAAATTTTGAGCTTGGTCAAGAAGTTTAAAGCTCAATTAGAAAAGGATACAAGCCTCCCTATAATGGGGCTTAGAACTGATCGAAGTGGAGAATTCATGTTAAATGAATTCAAAGAACTATGTGATGAGGTAGGAATTCAAAGATAGCTTACAGTTGCTCTTACTCCCCAGCAGAATGGGGTAACAGAGAGGAAGAACATGACAATTATGAACATGGTGAGATGTATGCTACAAGACACCAAGGTTCCCTCTCGTTTTTGGCCTAAAGCGGTGAATTGGGTCGCTCACATTCTCAACAAGAGGTCAACAGCTACAAATCAGGGGAGGACCCCTCAGGAATTGTGGACTGGTAGTCCTACATTAGTTTCTTATTCAGAATCTTTAGTTGCTTAGCTTGTGTGCATGTTCCAGATGAAAGGAGGAAGAAACTAGATCCCAAGAACACTCAGTGCCATTTCTTGGATGTATCTACTAAGTCTAAAGCTTTCAGACTATATAATCCCAACACCAAGAAAATGGTAGTGAGCAGGAATGTTATATTTGATGAAAGCCAAGGCTGGAGCTGGAATAGAGAGATACAACCTGTATTGACTCAACTGATTTGCGAAGGAAGTGATGATGTATGAGAAGACTTAGATGCTAAGGCAGAAGATGGGACCGAAGAGTCAAATACTTCATCTGCAGAACAACTCAACAGTCCACAGACACCACTAACCACCAACACAGAAGCTGAGTCTGACAACAATGAAGATGAGCCTCAAACACCAATGTATCTTGATGATTATGACTGCAGTTTTGCAGATGCTGAATTGTTTGCTCTGGTTGTAGTCTCTGATGACACAAACCTATGAGCAAGCTGTAAAAGATTCAAGGTGGAGAGCAGCCATGAATCTTGAGTTTGGAGCTATTGAAAAGAATCAAATTTGGGTACTTCTTGATCTACCTCCAGGAGTTGTACCAATTGGCATCAAATGGATCTACAAGACTAAACTAAGGGAGGATGGTTGCATTGGCAAACCTAAAAGCTAGGCTGGTGCCTGGTGGCAAAAGGTTACTCTCTGAAATTCTGAGTTGATTACATTGAAGTTTTTGCCCCAGTTGCTCGATGGGACACAATCAGAATCATCCTAGCCTTTGCTGCGTCCCATGGATTGCCAGTGTATCAATTAGATGTAAAGAGTGCCTTCTTACATGGGGAGTTGGCTGAAGATGTTTACATTGAGCAATAACCTGGCTTTGTGGTCGCTGGGGAGGAAAAAAAGGTTTATAAACTGCAGAAGGCACTCTATGGCTTGAAGCAAGCCCTCAGGGTTTGGTACAACAAGATCGAAGCTTACTTTCTGGAATCACGATTCGAGAGGTGTACTTATGAACACACACTCTTCATCAAGAGAGCTGGAAGCAGTATATTGATTGTAAGTCTATATGTTGATGATGTCTTGTACACAAGTAACAACTCTGAAATGGTGGCACAATTTAAGAGATCAATGGAATTAAAGTTTGATATGTCAAACTTGGGGAAGATGAGGTATTTTCTGGGAGTAGAGGTGCTACAGAATGATGCTGGGATATTTATTTGCCAGCAGAAGTATATTAAAGATCTGCTAGAAAGGTTTCAGCTGTCTAACTGCAACTTTGTGAGAAATCATATTGCACCTGGTCTGAAAATGTCTAAGGCAGGAGATAGAATTCAAGTTGATGCCACTGAGTACAAGCAGCTCATAGGGAGCTTGCTGTATGCCACAAGGTCTAATATCATGTTTGTTTTGTGCCTTCTCAGCAGGTATATGGAGTCCCTAACAAGGTAGCATCTACTTGTTGCAAAGAGGGTACTTAGATAACTAAAGGGCATTGTGAGTTATGGAATCTAGTACAAACGAATGAGTGAAGCAGAAGGCCTTCTGGGGTAGACAAATAGTGACTATGCAGGGGACATTGATGACAAAAAGAGCACGAGTGGTTGTGCCTTCTTCTTAGCTGATGGAGTTATATATTGTCCATCAACGAAACAACCTGTTGTTACCCTTTCCAAAACAAAAGCAGAGTTTGTTGATGCATCATTCTATGCTACTCAATGTGTGTGGCTGAGAAGGATCTTGGAAGGGATATATTTTAGCACTTGTGTGAAGGGGAGTACGAGGATTATGTGTGACAACAACTCTGCCATCATGTTGTCCAAAAATCCTGTGTTTCATGGGAGAAACAAACATATAGATGTTCGATTTCACTTCTTAAGGGACTTATCAAAAGAAGGAGTGGTGGAATTGGAGCACTGTGGGACATATGATCAAGTTGCTGATATTATGACGAAACTAGTGAAGCAAGAGATATTCGAGTTGATGAGAAGCAAGCTGGGAATGTGTGATGTTGATATGTTTGATGACGCTGGGAAGTGAAGTGGAAGGAGGCTCCAGTTCAGGGGAGGAAATGTTGGAATCTGAATTGGAGCATGAAGATCGAAGGCAGAAGCAGTGGCTCGAAGGAATCAAAGACGCGAAGAGTTTGAAGCTTCAAATAAACCAACGTTGTGTCGTTTGGGTATTTGTCAGTTTTAGTCCTTTTTAGTTTATCTTGTGTCAGTAGAGTCCAGTTCGTGTGTTGAACTGATCAACAACTTTCAAGCTTAGTTTGGTAGCTAGTTAGCTAGTTTACAAGATGATGGAGTTGAGGGAGGCCGGATTCACGAGCTGGAGATCTTGTATTTATGTTGAACTTATTTCATTTAATAAAACTTCGCCATATTACAATACAAAGAGTTTTAACCTAAAAACTCACTTCAGAAACTGCTTTTGCAAAAGTTAGAGCAGGGCCAAACTAGCCCTTTGTTGATTTTTTTTTTTTTTGGAACAAGCCCTTTGTTGATTTTAGGTGGCCAATTGGCTGAAAAAAGAAAATTGCCACGTGTTCGATAACGTAAAGAGAAAATATGGGGGGGGGGGGGGGGGGGGGGGGGGGAATTAAAAGTAAAAAAAAGTGCATCAAATTCAAATGAAATCCCTTTTGGCTTTTAGTTTGCAACTCCGCGAAGTTGAATTTCAGATCGATCTGCACATTCCGCCGGCCAATCAGAAGATCTCCATGCCCGATTCCGGGCGGCAAGGCATTCGTCAAACACCGGTAAGCAAATAGAATAAGCGAAGTAATTTCAATGGGCGATTCCCTGGTTTCCGAGTCTAAGAGCGGCGCGGACGCAGCAAGAATGGGGGAAGTTAAGGCGTGGCTCGCATCTCAATTCGAGGCGATCGGTAAAGAAGTTCCGGATTTCGAGTGCACACCTCGCACCATCGCTCATTTCCACGACCTAGCCACCGTCTCTCAGGCAAAGACCAAGGCGGCGAACATCGTGGCCGCCGATTTCCGCCAGAAAGCCGCCGAGTACCGTGCACAAGGTATGATTAGGGTTCTCGACCATTATTTGGATTGATACGTGTGATCCGACTATGGTTTGGTGAAAATTTTATTGCTTTAGCTGCGAGGATTAGAGAGATATTGGAGCATGTTGGACTAGCACAAGAGAGTTTGCCTTCCAATGTGGTGGGTTCGGCTCAAGTTCTTGCAAATGTGGCGAACTTGTTGAACATTAGAGACACTGAACTAAGCAGGTAGGGGTTAGCTTGTTTCAGTAGTTCGATGGGGTTTATTTTCAGGTTCTCTTTTTGGATATGAAGCTGAAATGTGAGAAATTCTGCAGTTTTTTAGTAGCAGCTGCTGACATTTCCTTGAGAAAGACTGGTGTAGAGGAAAAGAGGGCTAAAGTTCGGAGCGATTCCAAAGTTCTGCTGGAGTACACACGAAAGGCGATTGCGAGGCTTACGTACTTAAAAAGGTATGCCTTGCAGTTCAACTACAAATCTTTTCATCTTGTTTGCTACTTCAGAGCTCTGGTTCACGGATTGATTGTGTTTGCTGTTGTTCATTTGGTATTTCTGGTAGAACCCTTGCACAGCTCGAGGATGATGTTGCCCCTTGTGAGGCTCAGATGGATAGTTGGAAGACCAATTTGGCTGTAATGGCTTCAAAAGAGCGACAGTATTTTCAACAGCATTCCAATTACAAGGTTAGTATTCATTTAAATTAATTGTCAGAATCACCTTACAGTTTGCTGTTTAGAGATACATTATCCCAATATAAAGGTGACATTAGTGCCAGGCTCAGTGTGACTGTGACTTGCATCTCCGCAGCTGAGGAGTTTATTATCATTTGCAGCTATTGTAGTAATGGTTCAGGAACTAACACAAAAGTCAGTATTCACCTTCTTTGCTTAATTTCACCATTATTAGTTGTCCAGTCCCGGTTTTAGGAAAACATCAACTACTAGGCCTGCATATTTTGAATCTAAGCTGGAGCTTCCTCTCGGTTCCTTACCAATTATTTATGGTGTTGAATATGTCCATGGCAATAGGTAATTAGCCAAGTACTGTAACGGAACATTGTTAATGAACACCGAGTACATGTATAGATAGCAAGTATTGGAATCGGTTCCACTTCCTAAGACATATTTCTCTTTGCTAAAACTAGAGTTCCGTACCATCCTGTTGATCTGACACTCCTCGTGCTTTTAGGATTGTTTTTACGTAATGTGTTCTTCTAATGAGCTCTAGGATATTGTTTCTATAATGTGGATTGATGAAGAAGATAGTTATATGGTGGTCACATTTCTCATTGTTACGAGGGGGTCAGTTAGGTATTTCCTACCTCCAGAGATAAGATGAGCTGAATTGAAAAGATAGTTGTTGTAGCCAACTTGTAGGGACATAAAGAGAGATGGCTCCTGCCCTGCTCTTGTTGAGACCAGTTTGCGGAGATGATCCTGCCCATTGCAAACTGTGGGAAGGTTTAACTTTAAGATTGGAAAGATCCACTGCCAACTGCATTTTGTTTGAAGTGCTGGCGACTGTTTTTGTCTATCGAGTCTCTGGTCTGTAGGGAAGATTCCTTATGGCATCAACATGATAGAGGTGTTTGATAGCAGTGGACAGTGGTCCTATTGGAGGTGTTCTTGCGGTGGTTTAGGAAATTTGTTCCGATGTTCACTGTGATGATAACAAAAGAAACAGTAGCCCCGGGGAAAGTGAACCACTCTCATAACGAGTTCCAAAGGCTACGTAGATCGATTGGTTAATTTTTTCCTTTCCCAACTTGTCTGTTACGTTATTTGATGTGCGGTGCTTCACTGCATCTGCAGACAGTGATGACACCTGCCGATTGGCTGATTGCTTTTTATTCCCCATTGTAAAGACGGGTTGCTTACTACTAGGAAACCAAGACATGATCTTTCCGTTGTCTTTATTGAGTTACCATTGTGATTGTCAGGTTTTAGCAGGGAGTGTTGTTTTTGTTTTCCTGGCTGCTGGATAAATGTTTCCTAACCGTCGTCGTCGGCCGTTTTCTGGCAGGCGCTTCTGAACCGTGTAGGATACACGCCGGAGATCAACCACAGGGTGCTGGTGGAATTAGGAGAGCGCAGAAAGGAGCTCGAGAAGGAGACCAAACCCATCTTGGATACACTGAGGAGTTACCAGGACTTGCCCGCGGTAAAACCAAAAAAGAAAAAAAAAAAACAATCAGTGCAGACGTTTGGATCCATTTACTGCCGTGGTGTAAAAAAATCTGATCTTTGAGACAAATTGCAGGACAAAGCTCTGGCGGCACTGGCGATCGAGGAGAAGAAAAGACAGTACGCAGCCGGCGAGAAGTATCTTGCAGACCTTGTCCAGGCCCTGGCAATGCAACCCTGAAACGTACCTTTACAGAGAAGCTTCTTTTGTAGTTACTCTCTCACTGGCTTCTTATTGGTTGTGGAAGTCGCCGGCGAGAACCAGAGAATGGGATAATGCAGAAGTCACATGGCTGTCGTGGTTGCTGATGAGGTGGACGGGCTGTGGATTGAATCGAGGCTGAGGTGGATTCCACGTCAAGTGAAGCCAGTGGACACGTGGCGTGAAAGCAGGAACGTTACGTAATACTTTGTCAGAGAGGCTACAAACTCACCGGCCCAAGCAGACGGCTCCCACCCACACGGTCCAGTCCAGGCCCAATATCCCATCTCAATCCCTCTCTGTTTTTTTTTTTTTTTTGGTCTAAGCCAACAAAAAGCGGTTGGCTGGCTTTTGCCGGCGAGAAGAGTACACGTAAAACATAAACCTTTTTATCATATCCTTTGCTTTCCTTTCTAGCTAGGCTTTCTCAGGAACACAAAGCAAACCCCTGAAAGAAAAGAAAAAAAAAAGCACTCAACGGAAGAAGGAAAAAGAAAGGGTAGACATGGCGTCGAGTAGCGGCGGCGGGATGTCGAGGGAGACGCAGATGTCGATCGAGGCGTCGTCGATGTTCCCCGGGTTCAGATTCTCGCCGACGGACGCCGAGCTCATCTCTTACTACCTGAGGAAGAAGGTCGACGGCGACGAGAAATGCGTGGAGGTGATTCCTCAGGTGGAGATCTGTCGGCACGAGCCATGGGACTTGCCAGGTTTCTTTTCTCTCTTCCGACCTTCGCTTTGTCCATTCCCAACAACTATCCATTTTTAAATGCTAATAATAGCTTCACTGTTTACCACTTGGAAAGTGTTAATACGACCTCTTCAACATTAGCTTCAATAATCGTTATTATGATCTTCAACTGATAATTATTAATTTTCTCTCAACTGGAAATTTGCGTAATTTATGGGGAAAAAATGGTGTTAAAAGGTGTTAATGCATTTTTTGTAATTGTTCTGGAAAATTCATCGGATAATTACAGTTGTTGTTATTAATGTTTGAAGTCAATTCAAATGAATGCAATCAAACGGCCAATGCTTGGCCTCCACCTTTTCTCCCTCGCTAAAGTGACACGTAGCCTTTTGGAATCGATGTGGTTGAATGCAAGCACGACACGTGCCACCACTTACCACCACGTGGAGTGACCTCAGGCCATCCAGCTCTGCCACGCCAGCCAAAACAATTACCCCGATGACGAATCATTCCTTTTATTTATTTATTGTTATATTATTATTTTGTCTTTTTTTTCCTGAACAGCCAAATCGATAGTCCAATCGGAGACGGAGTGGTTCTTCTTCTCGTCTCGAGGCCGGAAGTATCCCAATGGCTCCCAGAGCAAGAGGGCGACGCAGCTCGGCTACTGGAAAGCCACCGGCAAGGAGCGCAGCGTCCGATCGGGCTCCGCCGTCATCGGCACAAAGCGCACCCTCGTCTTCCACATCGGCCGCGCCCCCAGAGGCGAGCGCACCGAGTGGATCATGCACGAGTACTGCACGTACTCCGGCGCCCATGTAATCCATCCTCTTCAACCTTCTCTCGTTTCATTCCTTCCCCTGTTCTTTCGTCGCTCTCGATACCTCTGTTTTATTCAAATTCTAGATGAGGTTTTTTTAATGTGGTGGGGAAAAAAAACAGAATTTGCAGGATTCTCTGGTCGTGTGCCGACTGAGGAAGAACATGGATTTCAGGGGACATCACGGTATCTGCGACGGCGTGATCTCCGGCAACAACAACAACAACAATGGGAATGGAACCGCCATGGAGAATAATGGGGCGGAGAGCTCGAAGAAGACTACGGACAGCAGCTCCGACTCCTACTCGATCGAGCAGCCCGGCGGCGGCGGTGCCGAGTCCTCGAGCCGTATGGCTCGCCACGATCCGTTCGAGCTGAAAATGCTGGAGGAATCGTGCAGGGGGGTCGGGTTCTCGAAGAACCACGTGGACGATTTCTACGCCGACATTCTCAAGGACGACATCGTCAGCCTCGACGACGACGGGCTAGCTGCTCCGGCGGTGTCGGTTTCTGCAGCTGCCACAATGCAGGGGTTCGCGCCGCTGTGGGTTGTGCAGCAGCAGCAGCAGCAGGGGACGGCGAACCGGAGGGTGAAGCTGGAGAGCCGGAGAAGGGTTGGGAATGTGGCTGCTGCGGTGAGAGAATTAGAGGAAGAAGCGAAAGAGAATGAAAGGGAAGACGAAGAGAAAAAGAGGGAGAAGAAGAAGGTGCCGAGCTGCGCGGTTGGGCTGGTGATGTTCGTGAAGAAGAAGCGCGGGAAAGGTGTGGCGACGCTGTTCGTGGCGACGGTGCTGGTTGTGGCTGTGTTGCTGACGTTGTTCGGGTCTCTGTTTGGGCATGATAAGGTTTCGGGGAAGATCAGGAAGGTTGCCCATCTGCCGTCGTTGTCCTTCAGGTCAGGTACCTGAAAGCAGCTACTGCAACAATGGCGACGATGGTGTAAATAGCAGGTCGGGTTGTGAAGGGTAGAAGGTGTTACCGTCTTTAGTATTGTGTATGTATGGCTTTTTTTTTTGTCTGTCCGTTTATAGAGGATGGTTGAGAGGTCTACGTCATTTCTAGTTGCGTTTTATAGTCTGGTGTAATTAGATGTAAAAGAAATCTTACGTTGATCTCACGTCTTAGTCTCACCAAAATTCAGAAGAACAATAAAATTCGATGTGAAATGCCGGCTCAGGGACTCGTGTGACTCGTCGTCATGTCGCCCGCCTCTCAAGTTACCGAAAATCATCCACAGGGAAGGCGAGTTTGACAAGTTTTCAGAAGTTTGATGGTGAATTTGTAATAAATCTAAGTTTGACGGTCTGGTTCTGAATTTCCATCCCAAGTTCGGAATTTTGAATCCCGTGGAGGAGAGAGAGAGAGAGAGAGAGAGAGAGAGAGAGAGAAAGCGTATCATATTCATAAGTGGAGAAAGCCGATTCTGGGATCCGCGGGAAGCAGCTGGAGGAGATCGATTGCAAGGAGGACTCCGCCGGAGCAGGGTTTAGTCTTCTTCTGTCGGCGGCTGCAACCGGCGCCACTGCGGCACGCTTCTATTACGCTCCGGCGATCTTTGGTAGTAAGAGAGAAGGGCGGGATTGAAATTGAGGTTCCGCGGAGTCGGCGGCTTTCTTGTCGAACTCCGTTGGGCGTTACTGCTTGTCGGAGGGAAGAGAGCTGAGCTTGGAAAGGGATTTGCTTATACAAATAGAAGCTTCGGGGGAGCGAGTTCGGTTGCAGATCGAAAGGGGAGAAGGACGGAGCTGATTGAGAGCGGCCAAGCATCGCGGCCACTTTGATTGGCCGTTCCTGGCGGTGGGTAATTCTTCTCTGGCCTCAATGCCCAATCTAGCTTCAGTGCATATGTGAGCAGATTTGGGTGTGAATTGATGGCCTGATTTCCCCTGCTTATTATGAGATCCAGCAACTGTTTGTGTTGATCAATCTGGAAGCGGAGCTCTGTTGTTTAAGTTGATTTTGTGTGGTGATGGGTACCCAAAGTTTCTGATTACATCCCTTCTTTTAGCACGGAGTTGAAAACTACCTGTGCTAATCAATATGACATCTCTTTCCATTCCTGGAAACTGGGGTTTTTTCCAGATTTCTGCCCAATTTCTCATTCCTTCTTGTTTTGGAAGTGATATAAGCTGAGTATTTAGTTGCGAAGAAGCATACTTTTCAGGACCCCTACTTTCTTTCCTTATCGATTCAGGATTCAGTTATGAGAATTTTGTATCATGGACATCTTACATTTTTCTGATTGGTGTTCAATTCGTTCATCAGCTCCGTGCCCTCTTCTTCCCCACTGCTGCTCTTTTGCTTCCATTTTTGGTTTTTGTAAAATTAGCTAATTTTGATGGTAGATCCATATGCATGTCGTGACTTGGTTTTGAGTTGTGATGATTTATGATATGGTGGTGCCCTGAGTATGTCAGCTCGCCTTCCAAAGCTCATGCCTCATATGATTGTTGCAAACTATGACTATTGCGTCATATAGGGAATGCTCAAGTAATCACATTTGGTTTGAATTGCAGATCAGTACAATGGCCTCGTATGGCTTGAACATGTTGAATAGTACTGTAAATTGGGTAACACAGGCTTTGGATGCTCCTTCTGCTCGAGCAGTTGTTTTTGGAGTCCATATTGGAGGTGATTGTTCTTTCCTTTTCCTTTTTCTCTTTATCTCTTGCAGATCCATGCTAGTTATGTTGTGGAATTCATATGTGATGTTTGGTTTCTTTTCCTGGTGCAGGTCATTATTTTGTTGAAGGACTTTTACTAGTTGTGATCCTTTTCCTGCTCTCCCAGAAAAGTTACAAGCCACCTAAACGGCCTTTGACGAAAAAGGTTACTGTTGTTGTGGCTCTTTGCTTTTCGTTTCATTCAATTTAAGATGGAGTTGTAATTTCGAACTAAATTTCTCTTTAACCTGCAGAAGATGCAATATCAAGGATGGCATTTTATACTCGTCAAAATATAAGAGAATTATATGGGATTGCTAACATAATGTAGTTTTGTTCAGGAAATAGATGAATTGTGCGACGATTGGGTTCCGGAGCCCCTGATTCCTTCCATTACTAAGGAGATGGAATACCAGCCACCAGTGCTGGAAAGGTTAGTGTACTTTTTGTCTTTGCAGATCTGTTGACTCCTTTCAGAATTACTCTTCTGATGATCTTTATCGTTTCTTAACCTTTCAATATACTATCTCCTGTATCATGTTATTGAAGACTGCTCATGGCTTTGCTATGATTTAATAGATCAATATTGTGGCAGTATCTTTAGGAATATACTTTATGTATACATATTGAAGAATGAACCCCACTCATCTCCTGATTAGGTGATACAAATAATTTCCTTACCGAAACAGAAGGTGCATCCCCGATATATCATTTTATAGTCAGAAGGAAAGTTATTGTTGAAACTAGGTTGTGCCTTACAAAGGGGCTATCTATCCAGTTTGGTCACCTGTTAAATTATGTGTCTAACATGATATCTGGTATGTTGTCTTCTCTGAAATATGACTTTTCCTAGGATTATAACCTAACGTATGCATTGCATAGATATTGTAAGTGATTAGCTGATTATAATAATACAAGTATGCAGAACTGCAGATAATGGTTCACATGCACCATTCTTACCCCCCCCCCCCCCCCCCCCCCCCCCCCCTCTCCTCTTTTTCTGCAAATACCATCCTTGCTCACTAGTGTCGTTTGATACAGTGCTGCAGGCCCACATGTTATGATCAATGGGAAAGAAGTTGTAAATTTTGCCACTGCTAATTATCTGGGTTTAGTAGGACATGAGAAAGTTCAGGTTAGAAAATCTGTTACTATCGCGAATTCATTTTCTTTTGAACGATTCTTGTATAAACACAATGCTAACAGCAAACTTTTAATGCAGGAGTCGTGCACTGCTGCACTGGAAAAGTATGGAGTCGGTTCTTGTGGTCCTCGTGGTTTCTACGGGACCATTGGTAAGACTTAAGTGAGCATATCTCTGATAGCATATATTGGCGTTGCTTGTGGTCTAATAGATTTTCTTCTTCTAGATGTCCACCTCGATTGTGAAAGCCGGATATCAAAATTCTTGGGAACACCAGACTCAATTCTATATTCATATGGCCTTTCCACCATGTTCAGTGCAATTCCATGTTTTGCAAAGAAGGGCGACGTCATTGTTGTGTGAGTATCAGCAATGTTTAACTCTTTTTATTTATTAGCAGTTAAGTTCACTGGAAAATTATACTACAGTAGTAAGATGCGTATGAGAAGAGGTTTGGTGCTGAAATTTAGAGCTAAAATCCTTCTAGTTTGTTCATGTTTTACCCAGCTACAAGGATTCTCAGTTCTAAATTTCAACACCAAACCTCTTGTCGTACACATCTTCCAACTTTTATTAGTTATTTTCCGCCGAAGTTAATTGCTAATAATGGACGGGCTATGATTTAGGCAGTCACTCAAACGTTACTTGTTATCTATGTTTTCATGCATCAAGTTAATACTTGTTCAAGACATTGCCGTTTTAGGACCTGACATTTAAAGGTTGATCTTAGGTATTAAGTCTGATTTGTTAGTGATTTATGTACTCATTATGAAAGTTTTTGAGACTCTTGCCTACTTATAGGGATGAAGGTGTCCACTGGGGAATACAAAATGGACTTCATTTGTCAAGAAGCACCATTGTGTATTTCAAGCACAATGATATGAAGTCTCTGCACGACACATTAGAAAAAATTACTGCAGATAATAAACGTGTCAAGAAGTTGCGGCGCTACATAGTTGTTGAATCTGTGTACCAGGTACTTTTCTTCTGTGATTCCTGATGGGCTCTTACATCTTGTCTCATAGTGTCACTGGACAACATGCTTTAGTTAATATGTTTCTAGTTATCTTACTAGTTTATAGCTTGTGAGTTTTGAAAAAGAACAAAGGGAGATATATGTATTGTGTTACATTTTTGTTCTGATCTTTCTTGGCAATATCTGTTGAATGTTTGGCTGTTTAATTTCCTTTTCATATTTTTCTTGTTTTTGTTTGTCTCATGCTGCGAAGATCATTTACTTGTGTTGTGTGCCTACATAACTATTGATTGTGCTGGTATTCCAGCAGTAATATTTTTTCTTCTTTCCCTATGGTTCTCAACGACAAAAGGTGTTTCCAAGCTTTACTTGTTCTGATCTTGAAAATGTAGAATTCTGGTCAAATAGCTCCTTTGGATGAGATCATCAAGCTGAAGGAGAAATACCGGTTCCGTGTGTTTTTGGATGAGAGCAACTCATTTGGTGTGCTTGGCCAGTCTGGAAGAGGTCTTACTGAATACTGTGGGGTTCCGGTATGCCATAATCTCCATCTGTAGTTTACCGAATAAAGAAAAAAACTGTTCGTCCTTTTATGTTTCTTCCTTAAACTCTCTCATTTTTTGCTCCTGCCTTGTAGGTTGAAAAGATAGATATAGTAACTGCTGCAATGGGGCATGCTTTAGCAACCGAAGGAGGATTCTGTACTGGCAGTAGTAGAGTGGTTGATCACCAAGTATGGCATATATTCCAAAATCTAAATTTCGAACTAATTATAGACTTGGATGATGATTCTATGGCCTGGGGTCTCTTTCTAGTTTATAAAACTAACAGTTTCTCTTCTGAATCAGCGATTGAGCAGCTCTGGCTATGTCTTCTCTGCATCGTTGCCCCCATATCTCGCTAGTGCAGCTATTACTGCTATTGATATGATTGAGGAGAATCCTGGGCTGATAGTAAAGCTGAAAAAGAACATTTCTTTACTGTTGAAGGGTAAGTTCTGATCATATTTTCACTTATTGCCTCCTTATAAGTTGGTATTGGGTGTATTTTGTTTAAGCTTTAGTACTAGTAGAAGTGAATGAAAATTGTGCTTGGAAAGGTTTTAGAAAAAGTTGAATTAATGTGGATGTGTGAACATTCCTTCTAAGAATAACTGTGAAGATGAAACTGTTTTTGGTGGCTAGATTTTGTATATAAGTTCTCTTTCCACAACTGCAGGGTTGTCCGGCATACAAGGCCTCACCGTGACAAGCAGTCCAGAATCACCAATTGTTTTCCTTAAACTGGAGCAATCCACAGGATCGATAAAAGGCGACATGGAACTCCTCGAAGAAATTGCCGAACGTGTAAGATAACTTGGTTTCCATTTTCCAATCACCCAGCTTTTACACGTTGCTGCTGCTTGTGCGATGGGAGTGTGTACGGACCGAATTTCTGTTTTTGATCGCTGATCCTTCCTCATCTCATTATGCAGGCTCTGAAGGAAGACTCGGTGTTCGTAGTGACCTCCAAAAGATCTGTGCTTGACAAGTGCCGGTTGCCCGTGGGGATCAGATTGTTCGTTTCGGCTGGCCATACGGAGGCTGATCTAACCAAGGCTTGTGAATGCTTGAAGAGAGTTTCAGCATTGGTGCTCAAGCATCGTGACTGACCTTGTCTGTTCAAACTCAGATTAATTTTTTGTTATCTCAGAATTGTTTCTCTTTTACAAATGTTAGGGATTTAGTAGGCTGAGAGAAAAACTAGGAAGGTGTGGGTGGGATATACATAGGGGAAAAGAAAGAAGTTCATTCATGGTTATGGTGAGAGTTGGTTGTTCAGATTATTTATTGTTCTCTTGTAGTTCCATTTCGTTTCTTTTTACCATAGATTATTTTTAGCTTCTTTCGGGGTTTATCAGTGCTGACTGCTGACTTTAGTTTTTCTTATGTGGAAGATGGAGATTCCATTGGATGACAAAGTCAACGGCCATTTTGTTTTAGGATAATGCTCCCATTGAGTACAAGCATTGACCTTGGGTTGTTGTAACATTAGATTTTTTAAATAGTGGGTTTTGTGCATTCAGTTGGTCTATTGAGGAGGAATGACAAGTTGTGACGTCACGAAAATTCGAACGTTACGACGTAACGCGTGAAGTTACCTTCATATTTTTACATTGTTGTGTTAGATGTCTGAAGTAAAACTAATGTGTGATTTTTTAGGTCAGTTGGAAATTGTTTAATGAATTAGAAGAAATGTCTCATTGAGAGTGTAAAAAGATTTATCATTTATCAAAAAATTTCAACTCATTAATTATCTCGAAATTACGGAAATGTAGTATCGTCAATTTTTTAGATGGATTTTGTTATACTATTAGCCGATCAATCAATATAATCAAGTTGTTGCGGTCTATATTGTATTGTAGCTATTTGCCTTATGCTTAATTCTGATTTTGACTTATTTGATCATTCATGTGGAAGAAATGGCAATTTAGCAGAGGTTAAGTATTTAGTTATTAAGAAAGTAAAAAGAGCTGCCGCCATAACGAAACGAAAAAGAGCGAATTAACAGAAACATAACGACAGTCCCACACCACCAACCAACCAACGGAGCGAAGCAACGCGGTTTTCTCCGTCTTTCCTGTCCCTAAACGAATCTAGTTTCCGCCATTACCGCTCTGTGATTAAGCTCTCCTTCTCTATCTCTTTGTCAACTCCCTGTTCCTAAACACTTCACTTTACTCCCGCCACCAAATCGATTAATCGTAATCTAAGTCTACAGCCAAAAAGGAGTAGGCTTTCCCTAAGAAGCAGGGTCGCGCGTTGCTTCCAGCTTTCTGCTTTTGTTAGTTTTTCCCCCCGCTTTCCATCTCCAACTACCCTTCTTCTCCGGGCTCGAGACAGTGAAAGAAAGCATCTTTTCCCCGACCATGAATTTGGGGTTCTCTTCTCTTCTTCGATCTGTAAGTTCCTTCTCTCCTCCCCCGTGCTTCGATTTGGATTCCTGAATGTTCTGTTTTCTCGAATTTGGTTTTCGATTTTCATGCGGGGCGGAAGAAATTGCGGAAATTGAATGAAGTGGAAGCGAATTTCTTTGTTTTAGTGACTGCTATATGCTAGGTTAGAATTAGATAGTGAACTGAACTGGCTGAAGTTGGGAACTTTTTATCCAAAGGGAAAGCTAGGGCTCATTGGTTTTGTTAGACGAACTTGGTTCTTTGGGGCTTGGGAGGTGGTATTTGTTGAAGTCGAAGTTCATATTGGAATGCAAGCATATCTTATAGAGTAAACTAAACGTTCAAGTGGGTAGTGCTGCTTGGTCTTTCCTTTGCTTTTCATTTCTGGATTTGGCTATGGTGTATAGAGTGTACTAATGATCTGGTCGTTGAGCAGGTATTGTAAGAGAACTCCCAGCTCTCTCCTGTTGCGATGTCAAGGCCTATGCTACTTGTCTTTCTGCTGCTTATATTCATAATCACCTCCCAGTTTGAATGGAGACAACAACTTGTAAATGATATTGACCCAACTCCTGGGATAACATCTAGACAGCAACAACTATCAAAGAGGGAAGAAGCTGTCAAGGAGAAGGTATTTGTTGTGCAATCCTTTGTATCACTATTGTGCATACATAATGCTTCAGGGATTTGTTAAGTTAGATCCACTTGTTTTCATCTTTTACTTCTTCGTGTTTGGCTCAAAGGGATAGTATGTCTAAAGGGCAGGTGATTTCTAGTTCCATGGCCAACCTTCTGTTGCCTGGTTAGCACTTAGCAGATAATATAGCTAGATAATAACTAGAAGCGTTAGGGCAATGTTTCTGATGACTTACTGTCAGTGGTTCTCTTCAGCTTAGACTGGTTTTTCTTTACTATTAAGCACAGTTAAAGCACATACATGAGCTTCTGTAGAAAAAATGTTTTGGACTTTCCCTTCTGAGCTATTGGTGGACATTTTATGTGATTATTTCGATGCATTAATCTTGTGTTTGAGAACCTATTGAGCTGGTCCCCTGTTGCAGAAAGATTTCTGCAGAATCTAATCCAACTTGCATTTGTAACTGGCGTGAACATTTTGTGATTTGGCAAGATCATTTGCATAAATCCCATTTTTCTGGGCCTCATACATGATGTTTGGTAGGATTTTATTTGCGTGGAGAAGAGAGATCTGCATCTTTAGCTAATGACTTTGTTGTGCCTCAGTTTAGTAGATTAGAATGCTGATTCGGACCAATACTCTTACTTTTGGGACTAAAAAATCGGAGAAGTTTCATGAGCACTGCAAAGTTATGTGCAAATATAGTGTATCAAGAGTCACTCCTAGGTGTTTGTATATAGCGACTCTCCTGCTAATTTTAGCATCAGGGTATCATTGGCTGAAGTTAGGCTTATCCGAACCGAACTTGCTTTAGTTACTCTGGGATTAACTTCCGTACATTGTCTTGAGACAGCGTTCTGTCTTTATAACTGAATATATAAGATGTGGTTAACTTGATGAAAGATAATAATAACTACAAGTGATTAAGATTATGGTAACCATGGTGGTGCCTGCCTTGACCATTGTCTTTAGTTAGTTGTATACTTGTATTCCATGGTATAGCTTAACTGTTGGAAACCTTAGAACTTGTGTCAGCTCGTCTTGTATTGTCCCTTCTTTGAAGAACTTGAGTAATGCTTGTATTTCAGTTGCTTATTCTGATCTGCGGTGTAATCCTCACAACTTGTCAGTTTGGAATTAATCCGCAATATGTTCTTCGCTAAAATTTAGATTTGTTCTCACTCACATATGCTCCTTAACATGGTTCTGAACTATAGTACTGAATAATGGACATGTTCTTCCTTCTAATAACATGGTTCTGAACTATAGTACTGAATAATGGACATGTTCTTCCTTCTAATAACATGGTTCTGAACCATAGACAATGAAATGAAAGGATTATACTTTTGACATGAAACCTGGTGAAGCCAGATCCTCTTTCACTCAAGTAATAACTGTGAACATCTTTTCTCGCAGATTATCCTTTCACAAGAGAAGAACATTCACAAGCTGAACGAGCTGGTTCGGGACCTTAGGAAGCAACTATCAGAATGCAAGTGCAACAACGAAACGTCGACTGCAACTGCAAATAGTTTGACCGAACATGTTATCGAACTCGAAAGACAGCAGTTTCTAGAGGATTAAGCTGTTGTTTGTAATACTAATGATACCATTAGTTCCCTTCTACCATGTTCTTCGATGATGTGTTTCACAGCACCCAGCGTGTTGGATCACCATTGGACAGGGTGAAGCCCCTCATTTGAGCTAATCATCTCTTCTTTTAGTTAGCTGACTGTTCCATCTTGAGAAGCTGTAAATCTTGTACTGCTGCATTTGTTCTGTTAAGTCTCAAATGTAAAAAAAAAAGTTGTTCTTAGAGATAGGATATGCCGTCTCTTCTCGATGTCTAAAGCGCGCTCAAGTATGAGATGGACGAGTGTTTCAATATTCACATTGTGTGGTTTTGGATCATCTTGCGAGGGGTGATATGAGAAAGAAATGTTGTTGGCTACTGGTTTTGAGCTTTGGATCTCTGATTTAGGACGACGACGAACCTTCTTCCATTAATGAACTCAGATGAAATGAACCATATGATGATGATAACCAATATTAGGAGGAACATTGGTGTTGAGCTTTCACATGATTTAGTTAAGACTAAAGCCAACTACATATGTAGAGACACATAAATTGGGCAATATCTGCCTCTCAACCGTTTGCATGCAGTCAACATTCAATCCTTGTAATAAATGACTTTTGAATTTGATTTGGCTAGTTAGCTAAACAACCCTCTTAATTTCTTCCTTTCATTTTTCTTACAATTGACTCATTACACAGAGTTTTGTGGGGCGTGGTTTCATCCGATTTTCGTGTGTGTGACGGCAGGATCGAGTATCTTTTTTTGGTTCATTAACTAATACGGTGATCAGTCTCGAGCAAGGTTGTCAACCCACTTTGACCCTGACCCGGTAAAAAAAAACGGGCAGCACGCACCCGCCGGGTCGACCGCTACAAGGTATCGGGTTGGAGGTCAAATTTTGTCATTTTTTTCTTCTTTGATAATGCGCCTATTTTCCGATTTTTCTTTTCACCTAACTCAATCTTTGGAATCCTTAGTTGACCATTTGAATATTAATTCCATATAAGTGTGTGTGAATTTTCACTATATGTTAGATCTAAGTACGACATTATACCAGACACAACACAACCCTAAAAAATGCACAGAGGTGGATATGGTTTCGAGTATTAAATCTCCAACTATATTTCTCTTCCCTATATTAATTAACTTCACCATCATTAATAAGAAATCCCTCACCACCCCTTTTTCTCCTTTTACCCCCTAATCTTATTAATTATTGCCATCGCGATCCATAACTATCAGATATTACACCAAACCAAATTTCTCAACTGCATTCATCTAACCCAAATTTTCCCTCAGCCTATATATATATACCTAAACCAACCCACCACCGTTATCCATATTCCACCGACCCAACTTCCCAATACAAAATTCAGCATATTCCCTCCGCCGCCGGCCACACTCTCCGACCACACGCCGTTATCCTTCACCCGACCAGGTTTCTTCCGTCGGCTATAGACATGACATGTGTTTTCTGTTTATGTTTTTTTTCTTTTCCATCTTTTAATTTTGAGTTTTCCTTTTTATTTTTATAATTTTAATGTATGATTTGTTGTTCAGGTAGGATGATGGGGCGGCGGCGTAGTAACCGAAGTGCCAGCTGTCAGCAGCTGGATTTGAGGCTGAACCTGTCTCCCCCGCCAAACGACGACGAGGAGTCGGCCACGGCGGCGGAGTCGATGTGCTCTTCTTGGGAGAGCTCGTGCGTGTCGGAGGAGGAAGGGATGACGACGGCGACAGCTCCGGCGGCGGCGGCGGCGCGGATGATGGTGGTGGGGTGTCCGAGGTGCCTGATGTACGTCATGCTGTCGGAGGTGGAGCCCAAGTGTCCCAAGTGCAAGAGCTCGGTTCTGCTCCATGATTTCCTCAACCGACGACAACAAAATCCCGCCGCCGCCGGAATCCGCAACTGAGACCCCTCTCTCAAAACCCGTCGCCGGCTGTTTTTTTTTTCTTTCTATTTTATATTTTATTTTCCCTCTTTGCCATTGAATATTTATTCCCCCATTTTGTCGATAGATATTTAGTTTCCTGTAATTTTGCGCACATTTTTTTTTATGTACTGTTACCGGTGGGGTTGAATTGAATCCTTATTTGGTTTGGGTTTAATTAATGTCATAGAGTCTCTTAAAAATAAATGGAAAAAAGCGAATATAATTGAAAAATAATACTGAATTGGATAGAATCATAGGGTCAACAAATATATTTTTCTATTCCTGTCTAATATTGAATTAGCCAGATTGTGGATCAAATCACGCTCAACCTAGGCATTTATATCATATGTACATAGAATTATATTAAATATTGGTCACTGGCCGAAATGATAATAAAAACTTTTTATCCGTGGTAACATCACTACTATATAGCTAATTTGTCACTTTCCTTTAAAAGAAGCGAAACGAATCATTGGGTAAATATATCAGGTGCAAAACATAATAAAAACGTGTCAATGAGATTGAGTCATTAAAAACATCACACATATCTGCTTCTCAACAATGAAAGTGCTTTGTTTGGGCGGGAAATTAAAATCGTGTTAGAGGCTTGATCAAACTTACCCTAATCCAACTAAAATAGCCAACTACACATAATTAGTGTTTTTGAAAGAAGAAAAAAAGGAAACATAGAGTGACAATAGAATCGTGAAAATAATGAAAATTTAAAACGAGTAGAGTTTAATGAAATGAAAACACACCATATTCAACTAGATAACAATCAAAGATGCGAGGGGACTTTTGAATGCAATTTGTAAAATGTTCTGCTACCACTCTTAAATGCTTTGATGTGATGAAACATAAATCAGCTAGTGATTATTAAGAGTAGTTGTGTTTCTTTGTTAGTGATTCTCATGATTAGTAGTATTTCTTGGTTAGTGATTCTCAAGGTTAGTAGTGTTTAATATTTTTTGTATTTAATTATTCTCAAGTTTAGTAGGGGTCTGTTGGGGGTGTTACTAAATACTTCGTGCACAGACTGAGTAGGGGAGCACACAATCGGCGATGGCAACACTCGGTACCCGCTACAGGTATATAAGGGCTTGAAGCCCTCCAAAGAGGGGGACTTTTCCTCTCCCCTCACTTTCCACTTTCTACTATCTCTCTACACTACTCTCTCTATCTATTCTCTCAACTCTCTCCTCAAACATACGCTGACTTGATCGTCGGAGCTTAATCCGGGGGGCAACCCCGGCTCTTTCACAGGTTCCTTCCCTCCCGACGAGATCAGACGAACGGATCGTGAGTCAACCCCACACCAACAAATATCATTGTTCATACCGGAGCTAGATGGTTCAAACAGGGTCGTTTGGATAGAGTATTTGTATGAGTTATTTGGGTTCGAATGACTCACAATGAGTTATTTGGACGCAAATAACTCGTTTGGCAGCGTTTTACTGAAATGAGTTATTTGGTAAAAGCAGATGTGATAAACGAGTTATTTCGAAATAACAGAGTGATAAAACGAGTTATTTCGAAATAACACATGGGTACAAGTTATTTCAAATAACTCGTTTTATCACTCTGCTTTTACCAAATACCACATTTGCATGGTTCAACCAAACGAGATACTTTATTTTAATTATCACTGAAATACCACATGAACAATAAATGAGTTATTTGACTCTACAATACCACATTGACAATTAACCCATCCAAACGACCTCGTAGTGTTTTTCTTGTTAGATGATGGAGATTAGTAGCGGTTCTGAATTTATGAGAAGGAACTTCTAAAACAAAAAATAATAACCGTCGACGGCAATCCCACAAAATCCGCTTCATTTACAAAATAATAAATAAAATTTTCTTTCTAATTTTTGGTTATTCAATTCCTACTATGCTCTTTCTATATTTAGAGTCATTAGATCTAAAATAAAATGAACGGTTTAAATGATAGTTACTATGGTGCTAACTAAGTGGTTAGCACTCTATCTTCTCCCCACCACCAGCAAGAAGCATACGTACGGACACTTAGTGTTGCTGGTCGCTGGATTAATGGAGATACAACCCAACCCAATAGTGTGTTCTTCCCCTGTGACGTTGAACAGAAAACCAACACATTCATCAGCCATTATATTCTGGCATGGGATTCATAGATTAGGTAGAGTGGCCAAGCAGATCGATTCACGTCCAGCTCAAACCATCCACTTCAACATGAATGCATGTAAAATTCAACCATTTCACAGGGTAGGGCAGCAGCAGTAGTTGAACCAACTTAAAACTTTTCTTCCTCCCACCGCCACGAAGTTAATCAATCAACCCCAGCAGCCGTCATTATTAATTACCGATATGGAATTAGCCTGCAATTTATTCAGCTCACATGATCTATCAAGAGAAGAAAAAAAAACTAGGCTAGCTTTTAGCTAATTACCCACCAAGAGTGAATGGGCATTATTAACCCAACCAACGATGCAGACCACACTTCGAGTAAAGTATAGTATCCACTAGGGATGACATTTTCGACCTGTCTCATTTTATCCGATATGTTTGGCCTGTTTTGGGGTGTGGGGTGGGCATGGATATTTTCATCGATCCGACCTGCCTTGACCCGCCCCATCCCCGACCCGTTCTTGCCTAAATTACATGTAATCTTAGTCAAATTACTAATAAAGTTGTAAATTAGTGAAAACCTCAATTTCTCTAATAATTTAACTATATTTATCATAATATTGTTTGTTTTCTTGGTCTTATAATAAAAATAACGAGTATTTTTAATGTTTTTCATACAAATTGCATACCCATTGAGTTGACCTGCCCCGACCCGCGACCTGTGATAAACTACCCGACTTGGACTCGGCCTGTCACGGGGCGGGTCTGGGTGCTAAGAAACCCGCCCCGGACCTGCCCCATTGCCATTCCTAGTATCCACAGGGATCGGTTAGCTTGCTAACCCGTCTATGGGGTTAGAAAAATGACACCTCATTTTAATTATAGTTAATTATGGTATTAAATTCGTGTTGCATTTTATAATAATTGAGAAATAAAACTCATATTAATTACATTCCTTTTTTTGAAGTACGATTGCGCTGATACAACTATCATTGCACCTGTACACTAAACTCATATTACTTACATTCATTTTTTTGAACTACCATTGCACTGAAAAAAGGAAAGTAATTAATATGGATTTTTAATTCAGACATATTATTAAATGCAACACAACTCAATTACCTTAAAAGCCTATAATTAATATGGGATGTCATTTTTCCAACCCCTTTAGGGATAGTCATGCTATCTCACCCCGGGTTAGCATGCTAACCGAACCCGTGCCACCAGCTTTAATACCAGTAGTAAGTATATGTGCTAATCAAGATTTAAGTCCCCCTGGCCTGAATATTCAGAGCCATTTTGGTTACGGAAAAAGGAAACTAAATTCTCCACGAAAGAAAGAAGCTAGTTAGCTAGTAGCTGGTTTCGTCATTAATACCTCTCCCTCTGCCTTGGAATTGTGCCATGAATCATGATGGTTTCTTCCTTTAGTAGCCGCCAGTGGGGTCTGCAGAATTTATGCTTCTACTTAATAATGACATTTCAAATCACACACACACAACTGGCATAAGTACTAATTTGAATAATTTAGAGCGCATCAGCATTTTTTGAGAGTTTTGTATTTACCATATCGTTCATCGTTATGACGAGTTTCACGCAGTAAGTATATAATTTACATAAAGTGAATAATTTAGACTTTAGAGCATTGTTCTCGTTAAGAGAGTTAATTTGCATTCAAATATTTGTTGGCGGGTGAATAAGGATTTGATCTAGCAGAATTACTGCGAATTTATTCGACCAAACTACTCCCATTAGTGGCAATGTCAAGATATCCGTTGAACAGGCTACTGGATCCCTATGCTGCCAGGCCCAAAACCAAGCGCACATATAGACTTTGACGTGGCCGGTGGCCAAATTAAAAGCCCATGATCAGGCCCAGAACATTCTACTGTTCTTCAGGAAAGGCTATTTAAACTTAAATAAATAAAATGGAATTTATATAATAAAAAAACGTGCAACTTAATTATGTTATTAATGCCTACTTATCAGCAGTTCACATGCATATTTGTGTTCCGATTGCCGTCACATATTCCATATTTAGTATTTACGCAAAACAAACAACTACCCAGAACAACACGCATTTCTTTATTACCATATATTATCAGCACTTCGTAGTCGGGTATGTGATTAATAAAAAAAGAACATACCTATTACCATGTAATAAACCAATGTGGAAAGAAAAATACTTAAATGTAAGAAAAGATAATTCAAATGTTATCATTTATCAAAGAGTTTTAAGTATAATGATAATAATATATAATAAGGATTATTTTAACTTTCCTCTTGTTTCTTTTTACGAGGAATTTTACAATACTATATAGCATTGGTGCTATAGGTTTTTGCCTTGATGGTACAACTTGAAATTGTACCTTTAACGTTATGGTACAACTTCAAATTGTACCTATACTTTTTGTACAAATTCTTTTATGGTACAACTTAAACTTGTACCTTATGTGATGGTACAACTTCAAGTTGTAAAGTTGTATCATAACATAATGATACAAATTCCTTTATGGTACAATCTAAACTTATACATTTAATGTTATGGTACAACTTCAAGTTGTACATTAAAGCACCAATGCTATATAGCATAGTAGAAGTGCTCTCTTTTTACATAATCATTCTTTCTATTAGCTAAGATGACGAAAGAGCGTTTTAATCTTCTCCTCCATTTCCTATGTGTTTTCGGTATGGGGTTGTGCATGTATGATCTTGCAGCTGAGTTGTCTGTTCTTGCTTGAATTTCTTCTAGTTCAGTTAGGGGTGGCAGTCGGTCGGTTTCGGTTTAACCGAAAACTGAAATTCCGGTTATCGGTTAAATCGAGCCACCCTGCACACCTGCCGATCACCGAAAGTGAGAGTGTCACGGTTAGCCGGCCAATCGGCCTGTCGGTTTCGGTTTTAGCCTCGATTAGCCGGCCAACCGGAAATTACCTTTTCTAAAAAAAAAAAAAATTTAAAACCCGAAAATTCTGCACCACATACTTACCCCTCGGCCCTCTCTCTCCCCCTACTCTCTCTCGAATCTCTCTCCCTACTCTCTCTCCCGAAAATTCTTCTTCCTTTCCCAGAGAAAAACTCAAAAACAAAAACCTATCTCTTCCTTTGCCTCCCCGAAATCGCCTCCCTCCTACCTACCCTCACCTCTCTCGTTCTGCCCTCTGCCTCCCCGTTGACGGTGACGAGAACAGCGGCGCTGCCGCGGCGACAGGCGCGGGGCGCGGCGCTGCCGCGGCGACGGGCGCGGCGACTGACGACGGGCGCGGCGACCTGGCCTCCATGCAGAGGAAGAAAGAGAGAAGAAAGAGGGTGAGGGTCGGATCTGTTGTAGGAAGAAAGAGAGAAGAAGAGAGAAGGGTCGAAGGAAGAAAGAGAGAAGGGTCGAAGGAGTTGGGAAGAGTCGAAGGGTCACAGAAAGTCAGAAATCTTTTTTATATTTTCGGTTGTGGGTCGGTTGGCCGGTTAGTCACGGTTAACCGGCTTCGGTTACTCGGCTAACCGGACCCATGATTTCCTCTACCGCCAACCGACCGCCCTCTTCTTCGTCAATTTTTCGGCTAGCCGAAAACCGGTCGGTTCGGTTGAAACCGACCAGTTAGCCGCTAACCGGAAAACCGTCCGCCAGCCCTAAGTTCAGTTGCCTCTTTTGTTTTTGTACATTGAAAAATGAATAATGCATAGACCAGGCATTTTACCATTGCCGCAATTATCTCTCTTTTCCTTTCAAGCGATTGAAAAATCAACTAGCCTATAGCCCGGCCCGTTGGCCGCATTTGTTTAAGGAAATGGAGTTACAATATCTATAATGATAGTGTCGAGAAATGAGTCTTGTTTTATATTATCATAAGATTGTTGCAATTTTGCAATTCGTTGAAGACGAACATGTAATATGAATGAACATTCATAATAAGTTAGAAATACATTTGAAGATTAGCTAATCACAATAAAAATACTTACATGAAATTTTACTAATCACAAATCTAATCTAGTTGAGTATTACGACAAATAACATGCAAGTCCAAAATAAGAAAACTCAATACATTGTCTCATTGTTCATGACATGGTACTCAATTCAACAAAGGCAAAAATAATTTCACCAACACAAGTTCACAATAACCAAATGCATCGTTCCAGGGACCGACTGTGACCATGACTTCAAATGTCTGTTCTCCAAGCATGTTCAGAAGGGCCATATAGTCAGCATTGACAACATCTGCATGACTGAATACAGATTCAACAATCGTTCGTAACTGTGATGACGGGAAGACGATGTCAACACCAATGAATTCGTCCTCAATTGTGAGGTGGACGAAATGGATTCTGGATGCAGGGGACCAGGACGTCGTCAAATTCGTTACATGTCCGGATAACAAAAAAGAGGTGCCCTGATGTAAACACAGAAACGAATATTGTCAAAGCAAATCGACAAAATGCAGCATGCCACAAAAGGCGTACCATTAAAAAGAAATTTATTTGTTTAGTTACCTGATTTTCGACATCCACTTGCAACATAATGAGATCGATGGTGTCGGCACGCTCACAAATTTCAAGAGCATCATCATATTGCAGATTGGCAA